TATATATATATATATATATATATATATAAAATATTTCAAATTGTTTTTCCTTCCCCCTTTAACTCATTTACATTGAGATACACAATTGTTTTTGTTAGGATAGAAATTTCTAACGATGTATATGAGATACAGAATATACATTATTGTTTATGCAGCTCAAATTTCATATCTTATAATATCTGAATCAATTTCGATCTAAATCTAAATGGATATAATTTTTTAAAAATTAAATTAATTGATGTTAAGAAATAAATATGAAAGTAAATAAAAATAAATGAAAATGAAAATGAAAATTTAATAACAGAATTAATATTTTTTACAAAAATTGTTTTGAATTAAACCAACTAAAATGGAGAACAATTTTACAAAAAAAAAAAAATTGAACGGTATAACTTTTCAAAATAAAAAAAAACTCACTAGAAAAATTAAGAAAATAAAACCAGATCAAAACGCAAATATATTCGTATATGACTAAGTGACTAACTGTTCAAAAATAATTTCTACTGATCAATAATTGTGGAAAATTAGAAAAATATTGAGCAATCACAGAGACACATTCTCCCCATGTTTCAGTGTCCCACAATGTCCTAATATGTACACAACTTTACAAGTCAGTCAGTGTCTTATGATTAGTTTGTTTGTGACCCCAAGATCCCACGAAGCTATTCTCATTACTTAATTAATTGTTTTGCAACTTAATCATCTTTAATAATTTCAGAATCTAATGCTCTGTAAATGAAAAAAAACGTCAGATATTGTAGTGAATAAAAGTATATGGGATTGATAGAAATTATCAAGTAAAAAAAATAAAATTCTTATTATTATCTCACAGCTTCCCTTCCCCTCTCACATTATGAACTTTTCCATCTCGGACCATTGTTCTCCTTTGTCCCATTTTCGCTTGAAAATGCCACAAAATTAGCCAAGTGACCAGGAAACAGAGACAAGAACAAAACAGAGCAGAGAGAACTGCAGAACAAACAAACAAAAAATGCAGATTCCCCGCTTGTTCTTCTTCTGTTTCATTGGCCTCTCTCTTGTTTATGTTGTTTCTTCTGAGACATTTCTGGGATATGAGCAAGAGATCTTGTTGGCAATCAAATCCGACATCATTGATCCTTCTAACCATCTCCAAGATTGGAAGAAACCAGAGAATGTGACAGAGTTTGACGGCTCGGCTCATTGTAAATGGACCGGTGTTCACTGCAGCTCAAAGGGTTTCGTGGAGAAGCTTCTTCTCCGGCAGATGAATCTCACGGGAAACGTGTCGGATCGGATTCAGAGCTTCCGGTTTCTGCAGGCCATTGATCTCAGCGACAACGGGTTCGAATGCTCTCTCCCCAAGTCTCTTGCCAATCTCACTTCCTTGAAGATCTTTGACTTGAGTCTGAACAGCTTCTACGGAAGCTTCCCTTCTGGTCTTGGAATGGCCACTGGTCTCACTTACGTCAATGCTTCAAGCAACAATTTTTCTGGGTTTCTTCCAGAGGATCTGGGGAATGCTTCGATGCTTGAGGTTTTGGATTTCCGAGGAGGTTATTTCGAGGGATCCATGCCTTCGACGTACAAGAATCTCAAGAATCTTAAGTTTCTCGGCCTCTCGGGTAACAATTTGGCTGGGAAGTTTCCGAGGGAGATCGGTGAGCTTTCTTCATTAGAAACAGTCATTCTTGGTTACAACGGCTTCAAGGGCGAGATTCCGGAAGAGTTTGGGAACCTTACAAATCTTCAGTACCTCGATTTCGCGGTTGGAAACCTCACGGGTCAGATCCCATCTTCCTTGGGGAGGCTCAAGCAGCTCACAGCAGTTTATCTCTACCAGAACTTGCTCACAGGGAAGATCCCTCAAGAACTCGGTAACATTACTTCTCTCAAGTTTCTTGATCTTTCCGATAACCAGATTTCTGGAGAGATACCGATGGAATTAGCAGAGCTGAAGAATCTGCAGCTTCTGAATCTGATGAGGAATCAACTCACTGGAACGATTCCTTCCGGTATCAGTGAATTGCCCAATCTCCAAGTTCTTGAGCTGTGGAAAAATTCTTTCACAGGTTCTTTGCCAATTAATCTTGGAAAGAGTTCGCCATTACAATGGCTAGATGTTTCGTCGAACAACCTATCAGGCGAAATCCCGCCCGGACTGTGTGATTCAGGAAACCTCACAAAGCTCATTCTCTTCAACAACCTGTTCTCAGGTACAATTCCAGAAGGAATCTTATCATGCAAGTCATTAGTTCGTGTTCGTATCCAAAATAATATGATTTCTGGCACCATACCCGTCGGTCTAGGCAGATTGCCGAAGCTTCAACATCTGGAACTTGCAAAAAACGATCTCGCCGGTCAGATTCCTGATGATATAGCTTTATCTACATCGCTCTCATTCATAGATGTATCGTTTAACCGTCTCTCATCGTCCCTTCCTTCAGCCATTTTCTCAAGTCCTAATATCCAAACCTTCATTGCCTCACATAACAACCTCAATGGGAAAATCCCTAACCAATTTCAGAATTGTCCATCTTTGTCCGTCCTCGATCTTTCTTCCAACCGATTCTCGAGTGAAATGCCAGAAAGCATTGCCTCCTGTGAAAAGCTTGTGAGTATCAATCTCAGAAACAACCAGTTGAAGGGAGAAATCCCCAAAGCTTTAGCCATGATGCACATGTTAGCAGTTCTTGATCTTTCAAACAACTCTTTGACGGGCAAAATACCCGAAAGCTTGGGAACTTCTCCAGTGCTAGAGAATCTGAATGTGTCATTCAACAAACTCGGAGGTCCGGTTCCTTCAAACGCACTGTTTGCAGCCATAAATCCGAACGATCTCACGGGAAATTCTGGGTTATGTGGTGGAATTCTACCTCCTTGCTCTAAAAGCCTGGCTTTGTCTGCAACCAAGAGAAATCCCGGGAAAATGCATATGAGCCATGGGATCTTCGGGTTCATGTTCGGGACAGCGGTCATACTGTCACTAGGGATCATGTTTTTTGCAGGGAGATGGGTATACAGGAGGTGGGATCTGTACAGAAACGTTCTCAGAGAGTTCCTGTTCCTCAAGAATCCACGAGAAGAGTGGCCATGGCGGCTGGTGGCTTTCCAGAGAGTGAATTTCACAGCAGGAGACATCTTATCACACATCAAAGAGTCAAACATCATCGGAATGGGAGCAACAGGGATCGTTTACAAAGCAGAAGTCATGAGACGACCACTGATCACAGTTGCTGTGAAGAAACTCTGGAAATCGACACAGATTGACGTTGAAGATCATCAAGACGAAGAAGAAGACATCCTCAAAGAAGTGAACCTCCTCGGTAGCCTCCGACATAGAAACATCGTGAGGCTTCTCGGTTACATACACAACGAAAGAGAAGTCATGATGGTTTACGAATTCATGCCGAATGGAAATTTGGGCAATGCATTGCATTCAAATGACCAGAATCTCTTACTTGTGGACTGGGTCTCGAGATATAACGTCGTTGTCGGTGTTGCTCAAGGGCTCAATTACTTGCACAACGATTGCTACCCTCCGATCATTCACAGAGACATCAAATCCAACAACATTCTTCTCGATTCAAACCTCGAAGCGAGGATTGCGGATTTCGGGTTGGCGAAATTGATGCTTCACAAGAACGAGACGGTCTCCATGGTCGCCGGTTCTTACGGGTACATAGCGCCGGAGTACGGATACACAATGAAAATCGATGAGAAGATCGACATATACAGCTTCGGCGTCGTTCTTCTCGAATTGGTGACCGGAAAATCGCCGCTAGACCCTTCATTCGGCGAATCGATTGACATCGTGGAATGGGTACGGCGAGAGATGAAGAACAGCAACGAAGGATTGGGAAAAGTTCTGGATCCAAGCGTCGCCGGAGACTGCAAACACGTGATCGAGGAGATGCTTCTGGTCCTGAGAATCGCTATTCTCTGCACTGCGAAGCTCCCGAGGGATCGACCCTCGATCAGAGACATCATCACCATGCTCGGAGAAGCGAAACCTCGCCGGAAAAGTGTTTGCCAGGAAAGAGAAATGATCGGCGGCAACAGAGGTCGGCCGATTTTCAGTAACTCGCCGGTGATAGGGCTGATCTAGAAGAAGACGGGGGAGGAGTGAGACGATGACGGTGACGGAGAAGGAAGGGTGGTTTGGTAACTTCAACAAAATATAAGGGTAATTTTGTAATTGGGCATAGTCAGGGGATTAAATCTTTTCTTTATTGTAAAGCTAGATTATTAATCGCTCATCCTCAGCTCTTAATGTAAATTCAGATCCGGATGTATGTTGATAATGCATTTATCAAAAGAACAGTTTTTGTAGGGAACCCCCAAAAAAGAAGAAGTGATTGATTTCTATTAAAAACATATAATAATTTTTTATTATATTTATAGTTTTATATAAGATTTTTTTTTTTTTTTTTTTTACAAAACTAATAGTATTTTTGTGCTTTTGAAGTTCTAAACTTCCAAAGCTAAGAATTTCAGAAGGATCCACCTCCAATGTCTTGGGTCGTCAACTCCGACATAACATAAACTTGTCTGAAAATGATGACACACTTTTTGAATAACGAAAAGTGAATAATGACTGACGATATAAAAAAAACATCCAAAATAAAAAATTGTAAATTGAAGCAAGATATCTCCACTGATATCACCAGATTTCAGATTGCGATCATCCTGTTGCGGGTTTTTTCCGTGCAACTCAAGTAACTCCCTATGGTTCCTAACAAAGGCGCATCATCTGAATCTGGGCCAATTGTGTTTGATTTGGAAATGCTGACAACTTCCGTTTTCGGTTCTTGCAGACTCAGTTCTCCTAAAACCGGTCTACCCTTCCTGTCATTCGGCGAACTTCTGCTCTTTGAATCTGAATTCTCGATAGAGTTAGCTCCTGACGATTCGACTAGCCAGCTCGAGAGGCTCGTGTCCACCGCGGTTTCTTTGTCAGCAAGTTTCTTCTTGCCTGATAAATCCAGTCCCGCACTTAGATTCTCCTTCTCAAAATCTTCTTCAAGCTTCTCCTTGTTCACTTTGACAGTTTTCTGATCAGTAATTGGATTCAGTACCAACTCCAGAACCTGTTCTTCATCATTTCCCTTCCCATCCTCCATCAACTTAGCTTCTGCCATCCTCGGGACATTTTCTTGCTTTGTCACTGGACTTGTAACTTCTCTGTCGCCATCAAATTCGGGTCCCTTCACTCGCCTCCTAGAGTCTATTGACAAAGAAAACAACGACTCCGATGATTCCTCTATCAAAAAGTCCCTCCCTTTTTCTCCATCCTGATCACCCGTTTCTTCAAACCCTTCAAACGCCAAATCTTTCAAACTACGATGAGTTCTTGAACGGTTTTGAGACACGTCGGTTGATTCGGGTACTACTGATTGGCTTCCCTTGTGCTCACTTGACTCGCGTACTACTCGGGCTATTTGTCGTTCCTCGCCACTTTTTTCGCCTTCTTTCCCTCCATCCTGCTTTATCAACCCATCGGAAATCACCTCAACAGGCAATCCCTCGAACAGATTTACATTCCCAATGACACGTCTTTCTTCGGGTTTTACTCTAAGCAAGAGAGAATTCACCTCATTATAACACATCTAATAAGCCAAGAAAACTGAAGCAATGAATAGTAAAAGACCCGCCATTGAAGTTGGGAAAGCGTTTCTCATGTTATTTGATTTATATGAAGAACATGCCTATTTAAACAACAAATACGATCAGAACCAAACTAAACCGAATTAAACCAACCTAAACCGGTCTCTCTCTAAGGAATATATTGAGTTCGGGAGAATTCAAAGATGGGTCGAGGAAAACTTTCTGTCGATCGGGGTATTTGATTCAAATGAAGAAACTTTGTGTTTATACAACCGAAATGGCCTTAAACCAAACTAAACCGGCTTCGCTAAACCGCACAGAATCTCAAGGAAAGATGAGAGAATCTTACCCAGATGTTGCAGTTGTTTCACTTGTCGTCTGAACAGGTTTTTGATTCTCCAGCTCCTTGGCTTGAACAAAAACTTCATGATCTCCACGTCTCTGCAAAATCCCAAATTCAAAATCTCTGGACACTAGAAATGGATAATCTGAGATCATACCCAGAAACGATTTTAGAGCAAAAAATGCAAATGCTTACTGGGTCTGTGGAAGAGGTGGATTTGATGAACAATCTGCGTTTCTTGTGCTTGGAGGCAGAGAAACAAGAGAGGAGACAGGGCATGATTATATGGGTACGAAGAAGAAGTGATTCCACTTTGAGCTTACAGAACAAAAAAAAAGGGTAAGCTTTTTTGTTTATCCTTTTCCTGACTTTATGAGAAAGGTGTGAGGGTTAAGACAGTGGAGAGCGCTGCACAGATTGATGAAGCTATTGGAACAGAGGAGGAGCCAAGAAAGAATATGACCGTTGGAGATGTTTGTTTAAATAAAATATATTTTTTCCTTTTAATCGGACTTGGTTTTTTATTTAAAAGTGTACCAGACCTGATAAGTAGGGCCCAAGTGTCTGGGGGGAACGGAAGACATAGTTGAAGAACTGTTATGGCAATCGGTCTAACCGGTTCCGGTTAAGATATATCATTTTTCTATATATGTTTTTTTTTGGTAAAAAAATTTTCTTATATATGTTGTGAACACATGTTTATAAATTATTAAATTTACAAGGAATGTTAAAGGGGATTACAAAAGAAAATTAGTAAAAAGAAATTTTAAATTTTTTTTATTGGATTTAAAGTTTTATGAAATTCTCGTCGATTTTATAAGTTAAAGTATTTATTTAAAACATTTCAATATTTGAGATATCAATTTGAAATATTTTAATATTTGAGGTATTAATTAGATCAAATTAAAATTTTAGTTATTTATTTGACACTAAAGTTAAAATATTTATATAAAATGTCACATTAAAGATTATGAATCAATTCAAATACTAACTATTTCAACTAGTTTATAAATAATATGAAATGGGATAGCAGAACAATTGTGTTAGACAAAATCTAAATGAGAAATCAATCCAATAAAAATTGAAGAAGAAATAGAAATCCCAAGAGACGAAAAAAAGTGTAGAAAACGACCCGATAGACAAACGGAACTCAAATCTTTAAGTCCAAATCCATAATTTGGGGAATTGAATTGTGTTGCTGAAAATATTGGTAAGTATCAATGCGCCTTTAAATCGTGTATTAGTTAGGAGTCATAGAAACTAAAATGACATGTGTAAAGGGAAGGAAAAAGAATACGAATAGTTTGAATTTCAAACAGAATATTAATTTTTCTTCATAATTATAGGCGAATAAAAAAAGAGAAATGCATGCTATACAAAATTTTGACTTGCTTTGTATTTATAAAAATGTTAATTTTTTTACTGAAATTTTCGATACTTCTATATATATATGATTTTATATTAGATTTGTTTTGGGTGTGATTAGAGAATCCTAAATCCTAAACCCTAACCAAACCAATCGCAACATGCAGACCAAACCGGACCAAATCCACTAGAATCAAACAAAACTAAATCAAGCCGGTCATAACCGATCAACTGGTTTTTAAGGCTTTTGTAATGAATTCAACGTGTAGCAGAAAATGCTTGTTATTTTTGTAGAGAAAAGCAATGACATGTGAACTTTAATGTGCCACGACAAACGATTTTTATAGATTGAACGACGAAAAAGTTATAATTAAAAGATGTTCAAAATTTTGTGGCATTAAAACTAGCGCTACTAATTTTGGAAATTAAATTGTGTTGCTGAAAATGGTATAAATGTGCCTTTTAAATCATTTATAAATAAGAAGTCAGAGTTTGTACAGTTAGTTGGGAAGTTAGTTGCTGTCCATTTATTTTAAAGGAACAAAAAAATCAAATGTTATATTTATGATCCAATTTGAAGTTTCCAATTTTAGAAAAATTATACTAACTCCATTCTTTTTTGGATTCGGTCTGTGTCGACTTCTAGATTTGTGTTATATTTATGAAAATGTTATTTTTTTACTGAATTTTTCGATATTTCTATTATTTTTTAAATTCGTTACGGGTAATTTTGTTTGAAAAAAAAAATATACATTTGATTTGATTGGAAACCGTACGTGACGCTTTTTCAGTATAAATTAGATTTATCATTTCATCATTAAAAAAACACGAATCCACAAGAGAGAAAGATCAAACGCCGAAATGATGATATTAGGAGAGAGAGTAACGGCGTTATCCCCGTACGTGTGGCCGTTGACATTGGTGGCCGTCGTGCTGACGTGGACGGCTTTCAATGTCGACAAGAAGAAGAAGAAGAAGAGACAGAACAACAAGGCGGCTGCCACGGCGGGAAGTCGGAGAAGTGATACTGACGTCATCATCGTCGGAGCAGGTGTCGCCGGCTCTGCTCTCGCTTATGCTCTTGCTAAGGTACGTATAATCCGCTGTGTATATATTATATTATATACATATATACATATATACATATATATATATATATATAAATGAAGAGAATAATTTTTTTTTTGCAAATAATGGAAATGTGACGTAAAAAACGCAGGACGGGAGGAGGGTGCATGTGATAGAGAGGGATCTGAGGGAACCGGAGAGGTTGATGGGCGAGGGAATGCAACCCGGCGGCCGACTCATGCTCGCCAAACTCGGCCTCCATGGTAATTCACCTCTTTTATTTACTCTTTTTTTTTTCTCTCTCTCTTATAATTTGGTAACTCGCTTTTTTTTGCGCATTTTATTATCCGAATGTATTTGTATTTTCATATATTTTAAAAATAAATATATTTGGGTTTAAAATCACATTTAGTACTGCCAACAATCACACAATTCGGCAACAAAAGTGATATATATTAGCGGAAAAAGACGAATAAAAATAAAATTCCGTTCATTTGCAAACTATTCTTGATGATATATGTAGATTGTCTGGAGGGGATCGAATCTCAAACGACGATCGGCATGGTGTTGTACAAAGATGGGAAATGCGTGACCGCGGATTTTCCGGCGGACGACAAGTTTCCTCACGAACCCTACGCTCGAAGCCTTCGCAATGGCCGTTTCGTCCAGAGATTGCGTCACAAGGCGGCTTCTCTTCCCAAGTATGCGATTGGTTTGACGACAAATCACTTGCACTTTCAACAAAGTGGATCGTTTTCTGCCCTTAGAATCCGATATATAACATTGGTTTGATTTGACGGTCGATTACGCGCTTTTAACGATATAAATTTCATTAGATATCCGAGTTTGATCGTGTCTGTACATTTGCAAAATGACAGTGTGAATTTGGAAGAAGGGACGGTGAAATCATTGGTGGAAGAAGGAGGAGTAGTAAAAGGGGTGAAGTACAAGAGCAAGGTGACCGGCCAAGAGACATCGGCCTTTGCTCCTCTTACCGTCGTTTGCGACGGCGCATATTCAAACCTCCGTCGATCCATTCACAACTCCAAGGTTCGAAAGAAAAGAAGAAGAATGTACTTAGGGAAATGGTAGAGACGTGTACATACTAAAAATATGATATATATATATATATATATGTACGTATGTATGTGTGTAGGAGGAGCTGCACTCACATATAGTGGGATTCACCACGAAGAACTGCCGGCTTGAAGACCCAGAAAGGTTTAATATGGTAATGACGAAGCCAAATGTGACGCTTATATATCAATTAAGCGACAACGAGGTTCGTTGCTATGTCGAGGTTCCTCGTGAAAGCGTCGCGAATGGCGAAATAACTACCTTCCTCAAGACCACTCTGGCTCCTCAGGTATCGATCGAGATAGAGTTGTATGTATACTTTTGTTGTTCTTTTGTCTGCCGCAGACAGAATGCTCCTCGACCAGCAGATACAGTCTTCGTGATCCGGGTCATACCAACTTCGTTCGATGAAATAGATCAACGTTCGCACCCGAGTTCGAACCCCATTTGGTTACCCTTTACCAAAAAAACGTTCAATGCCCTTTCTTTTTTTCTTGCAGCTCCCTCCTAAACTCCGGGATATATTTTCGAAAGGACTTGATGACGCGCCCAAGATATTGAAAACGGCAACGAAGAGCATGACGACTCCGCAGTACAACGATTACAAGGGAGTGGTCGTGTTAGGAGATGCGTTCAACATGCGACATCCTATAATCGCCTCTGGAATGATGGTTGCATTGTCCGACACTCTTATCCTTCGTGATCTTCTTCGGTCTTCGGACAACCTTAGTGATGCTAAGAAGCTCTCGCAGGTTGTCAAGTCCTTCTACGAACACCGCAAGGTGAGTTGTTATATAATTAATTAGATTCTATAGATGAACATGCCTATGCCGATGCATATATTGAACAAACACAAAAAAAAAATCATCAAATTAAATTATAAACATAAAAAGTTGGCACAGAATTGATACATCGGTGTTTCTCTTTGATTTTATATTTTTTTTGGTTCAAGCCAATGTCAGCGACGGTGAACACACTGGCTGATGCGTTTCGCCAAGTGCTCCGTGCATCGGACGACGAAGCGAGAGAAGCGATGCGTCAAGGGTTCTTTGACTATATTTCCCGAGGCGGCATTTGCACGTCGGGAGTGATGGCTATTTTCGGCGGTATGAATCCGAGGCCGATATCTCTCCTCCTCCATCTCTTTGCCGTCACACTCTCCTGCATCGCTCGCTTTCTCTCCCCTTTTCCTACGCCCCGAGGCATTTGGCTCAGCCTCAGGCTGTTCTGGGTATGTGACATGGCTCTCTAGTCTTTATCTCGTATCTTAGTTTGCTCATGAACACATTCATGGGTATGATGTCTGTAATTGTTCATGGTTTTGATGGAACTGAAGGGTGATGGATGCTTTTTGTAGTTGGCTTTGGGAATGTTAGGTCCGAATCTAAAGAAGGAGGGAGTTTGGCATATGTTGTCTCCGACAGCAGCTGCTGCTTACCGCAAACGCTATATGACCGCAACCGCAACTGCAGTCGCTTTCTAATTAATTACTTATTTGGGTTATTTCTGATTATTTAAAAAATAAAATACATAAATATAAATGGAAGGACCATCATGTATCCCATTTCGTTTTGTTTATTCAGTCGAGTCATGTATAATTGTAATGACACTTACTGAAGTTTATGCTGTAATATATATACTTGTCGTATATATTGAATAAAGAAAAATAAAAGTATCTTATTGTCAATATCAAGTTCTCTATATTGGAGATTTGTAGTAATGCTGGCCCATGCACGACCTAACGGTAAATTAAACGGCGTTAAATATAATAACTTAAATGACGAAAATATTAGCCGAAACAGATCTTCGGTCAAGTCAGATGTTCGTGTTGCCTCGCTAGCATCAAGAACCGTTACATCATGCTGCGAGATCCATAAATTTAATTTACAGATCATATAATTAAACACATGTTATGTTTATATATATACACATATATATATATATATATAATTCGCAAATGAACTAGTAAATACCCAAAACGATTAAAAAATAATATACATATACATATATTAACGTATGTTGGTCCGCGTGATTTTCCAATAAAATCCAACATGAATATGTCATTATGGATTTAGCATACTAATTTTCTACGAAATTTTGGTTTTCTGAATATTAGTAAGATTTTTTTTATGAATCCATAAAATCGGTCGCAGGTACCAAATGTGTCGGAACATATTTGAAGGTTTTTAGATCCAAAAATCAGAAAAAAGATCTCATAAAAAATGGAGATCATGGGAAAAAATATCTAATGAAATCAAGAACCACTGTTATAAATAGAATTAATTTCTATAAGTTTTAAATTCTAGTCTATAAAAAATAAAAAGTTAACGTATAGAGAAGTACATAAAGTATCTGCACGTTAATCTTATATATTTATTTATATAATATGTTAGTTAGATCCCATAATTTTATCAAATTATAAAATTATCCAATAATAACACAACATTCTTAATACATAATTAAAAGATGTACATAATATTGAAAATATTCGAATAAAAAGATCTATTATAATAATAAAAAATAAACAGAAGCTGTTTCGGTGGGTTGTTTCTTTCCAAGATCGGGTCTGGTTAAGAATTAAGGAGAACACGACGGTCCATTAGCAAAATTTGGTAATTGCCACCTCCCACGTGATTTGTGTCCATGGCGAGCCCGGCCACGAATTGTTTTTTTTTTTAAAAAAAAAGAAAAACATATGAAAATTTTCAAAAAATATCATTCTTTCTCTATAATAGATAAGTAAGATTAAAAAACACAAAATATTTCAGTTTACAAAATAGTAATGATTATTTCGCCACTAAAGAGCAACGGAAATTTTATTTGGAAAGATGTTACAAATTTAACTAAATTGAATTTCAAACAGAATATTAATTTTTCTTTATAATTATAGGCGAATAAAAAAGAGAAATGCATACTATACAAAATTAGGAATTTAAAAAAAATCGCTAGGTGAATTCTCAATCATGGAGAGGTGAATTAGTAATAAAACAAAGTATTGAGCGTGTACGTAAGTTTTACAAAAATATGGGGATGTATTTGGTATTTTGACCAACTTTTATGAGCATTTACGAATACGAATTTATTTATTTATGGTTGGGACAAATCATAGAGCATTGCGGAGGAAAATGCCTACTTGCTTTTGAAGCGTTAGCCAAAAGACCGAAAGCCGCATGTCTCCACTCATAATAACTATATGTTACAAAAAAAAAAAAATTAATGCCCATACGGACCGGTAAATATAATTCCTATTTTACCCTTATCTTCTTCCTTCGTTCCGAATTCTGAGCTTCATCCATGGTGGGACTGGGTGGGTATTATGCTCAATGATTCCTGTGTAGTTCTAAAGCCTTTTTTTTTTCTGGACTACGAAAAAAGTTGGTTTCGTTTTTGGACTTTTATTACAACTTTGAATATTTAAATTTTTTTTATAATTAATTTCTGTGGAAAAGGACTTGGGAATTTTCTTCTTCAATTCCGTGACGTCTGATTCTACGTTCAGGGCTAGGGTCAGATCTGCTGAAATCGGATTCATCAATTCTGACTGAAGTTTTGGTGGATTAGGGTTTTTTTAGATCTTTCATTTCTAGGGTTTTAATCGTTCCTAATTTTGTGGGTTTGGATTTTTTCTGGAACCTGGTTGTAGTTGATGGAGCTTCAGATGTTTTGACCAATCAATTCCAGAAACCCTAGATCAGGACAGAACACGTAAGCATACATTTCCTTTAATTTATTCGTTTATCACAATTTGATTTTGGATAAATGCTTATGAGTCTGATCATGGCCTTTGCATGAAAAATAAAATCTAGGATAAATTATGGTAATGGTTGATGAAAAATTGGGATCTCAGTTTTCAGATATGGACCCATATCCATCATCATCATGGGTTTTGTGATATTTTCAGGGATCAAAGTAAAGGTGCTTAAATAGCTCAGAACTATGAACATGCTATTTATACTTTGTTATGTACTAGTTTTGAGAATTTCCATTTTCTACCTGGTAAAATTGTTAAGATGTTGCATGAGAAACTCTTGATTCATATGAATTGGTCCTAACCAAAGTTGTGTTCTTGGTATGATTCCTATAGAATAGCATGTTTAGTTTCCGAGATGAAATTTGTTCAAGGGTTTCTAAAGCCAATGTGGTTGGTGGATGTCATTCGCATCGCAGCCATCTTGTTCATGATTCTACGTTCTTCATCGGGAACGTTTCGCATTTAACCTCTATTTTGTTTTTATGTATCCCGGAGAAAGATTCTGATTCTTGTTTCTGCTACGGGTTTCTTGAAAAATGATCATCTGATTATATTTCCGATACAGAATTGATGGGGACAGAGCTGATGAGAGTGTGCGTCAAAGAAGAAACCGATGAACTTCCGTCCGTTCCTCCTGGGTTTGAGTCATATTCATCTTTGACCTTACAAAGGGTGGCACCGGGTGGAGAAAAGACAAAGATTAACAATGTAACATGCGGCTTGCCCGCAGGAAATGCTCTTGCAACAGAACGAGTTAAGACAGAAACCGGTTCTAACCTCTCCGATACCTCGAAACCTGCAAGGCCTCCGAGGCGGAGACCTTGGATAAACTATGTTGGTTGTGATGACGATGATGATGCAAACAGCAAGCCCATGTGTCAAAAGCTTGATCAAGTTAGTTTTTTCTCCAATGCCTGTTTTTCTTCAATGTATGCAGAATTTAATCTCTGTTTCTTCCCCTTATGGGCTTTTTATTCTTGCAGAATGTTATTGCGAAGCCTTCTTTACCAAAGGGTGTCATCCGGGGATGTGCAGAGTGCCCTGATTGCCAAAAGGTTAGTCTCAATCGATGCTTACTCTCGTTCTTGGCTTCGATGTACTTTGTTTTCGGATGCATCTTTTCTTTTCTTCCTGTCTTAGTTGTTTCAAGACCATGTAACCATTGTTTGCATTTCTTTTTTCAGGTAAATGCTAGATGGCATCCAGATGATGCTCGTAGGACAGATCTTGAGGACGCTCCTGTATTCTACCCAACCGAAGAGGTCTGTACCACGTTCTATGGGTTTAAGCCTTTCAATTGATGTTTCTATGTGGTTGGATTGATGTTTCTGATATGTTAATTGGAAACCTGTTTGTAGGAGTTTGAAGATACTCTAAATTATATCGCTAAAATAAGGCCAACGGCCGAAAAGTATGGAATCTGCCGCATTGTTCCTCCTCCATCCTGGAAACCCCCATGTCCGTTGAAAGAGAAGCAAGTATGGGAGGGTTCTAAATTTGCCACACGTGTACAAAGAGTAGATAAGCTTCAGAATCGGGATTCAATGAAGAAGGTTTCAAAGAACTTTAATCAAATGAGAAAGAAAAGAAGAAAATGTATGAAAACGGGCATGGACGCTGTGGCTGAAAGTGGGAGCGGCTCCTGTTCCGATACCACTGGAGTTTGTGAACTTGAGACATTCGGGTTTGAGCCTGGTCCTCGGTTCACTCTAAAGGAATTTCAGAAATATGCCGATGAATTCAAGGATCAGTATTTTAGAAAGAGTGAAAACCCTATAGGTGGTGAATGTAGTAAAGTTGTCAACTCTTCTGAGGGATGGGAACCATCGATTAAGGACATCGAAGGTGAATATTGGCGGATTGTAGAGAAACCAACCGAAGAAATAGAGGTGCGAACTGTAAAATCCCCGGCTCTTTTTCCCTTTTTATTTGTCTTTTGTGGACTAGTCAGGAACACTGAAAGCTCTTAACTAATATATTGGTTCTTAAACGTAGGTGCTCTATGGCGCTGATATTGAGACTGGGGTTTTCGGTAGCGGATTCCCCAAGATATCGAGTCAGGAGGGCTCTTCTTTGGCCGGGAACTATGTGAAATCAGGCTGGAACTTGAATAACTTTCCGAGGCTCCCAGGATCTCTCCTTTCTTATGAGAGCAGTGATATTTCTGGTGTTCTTGTACCGTGGTTGTATATCGGGATGTGTTTTTCCTCCTTCTGTTGGGTAAGACTACTAAATCTCTCTCGGCGGATTGCAAGAATTTGTTTTTCCTTAATATCGATATCTCTCTTCCTTTAGTCAAATCAAATCTAAGGGTTAAGAGTGAAGTTAACAACAACAACACATACTTGTCCCTGTTGCCATGTTCATTAACTTATTTACACTAACACACCAAGATGTTCTCTTTCCATGTTTTCCCAAGTGTGGAGCATATTTTATATTCTTTGGCACAAAAAAAATGTACTTTTCTTGTAACTTTACATGTTGGTTCCTCTATAGTTTTCATTATAGGTGCTAATTTCTCTGGTGGCTTCTTATTTTTTTGTCTCCCCTAACTAAACAGCATGTTGAAGATCATCATTTGTACTCATTGAATTACATGCACTGGGGTGCACCAAAAATGTGGTACGGCGTTGGCGGTAAGGACGCTGTTAAACTCGAGGAGGCAATGAGGAAGCATTTGCCTGATCTTTTCGAAGAACAGCCCGATTTGCTTCATAAGCTAGTAAGTGATATCTCTTTCTTGTCCATAATAGAAGGGAGAGGGGCCTATTGTTGTTTCTTCATCATCAGTGTTGTTAGCTCACACCGACGTAAAATTTATCCGTCGATGCTTCTTCCTCATAGGTCACACAACTCTCTCCATCACTGCTGAAAGCTGCTGGAGTACCCGTGTACCGATGTGTCCAGAGCGCTGGACAGTTTGTCTTGACTTTTCCGAGGGCATATCATGCCGGGTTTAATTGTGGTTTCAACTGTGCTGAAGCTGTGAATGTAGCTCCAGTTGATTGGCTGCCACACGGGCAAATTGCCACAGAGTTGTATTGCCAACAAGGGAGAAAAACATCCATTTCGCATGATAAATTGTTACTCGGGGCAGCAAGAGAAGCCATAAAAGCCCACTGGGAGCTTAACTTGCTGAAGAAAAACACTCCAGATAACTTAAAATGGATAAAGTTTTGTGGGAAGGATGGGATTTTAGCAAAAGCCCTCAAGGTAAGAATTTTGACTGCTTACTCTGAAAGCTCGGATGTTTGTAAGTGTGAATTGTCGAAGAATCTGGAACTTGTAAACCTGTGGTTGGATCTTTATGGTGTATTTGGATAAACAAATAGCATTTCTCTATCATTCATTTGTGAGGAGGGAAAATATCCCTAAGAGCTTTAGTTCTGCTGGAACTTGGGTTTCTCTAGTTCTAAAAACATCGAAGTATTGTGCCTCTTAGAACCCGATTTAGTGGTGGTATTTTTCTCGGGAAGGAGTAGGGTTTGATCTAAAACTTGTCGCTTTCTTATCTTTTGCTGTTTTTTCAGCCGAAAAATGAAAAGATTAGGGAGCTTCTTTGCTGTTGGTGGTCATTTGGCTTTGTTTTCTTGTATAGGCCCGTGTTGACATGGAACGTTCAAGGAGGGAATTCCTTTGCAATTCCTCGCTTGCTCTGAAGATGCACAGCAATTTCGATGCCACCAACGAGAGGGAGTGTTGTATATGCTTCTTCGATCTGCATCTGTCGGCTGCCGGTTGTCGTTGTTCCCCGGAGAAGTATTCATGCTTGACACACGTGAAGCAGTTGTGTTCTTGCCCATGGGTTACCAAATATTTTCTCTTTCGGTACGATATTGATGAACTAACTGTCCTTTTCGAGGCATTGGAAGGAAAACTGAGCTCTGTGTATAGATGGGCACGTCAAGATCTGGGATTGGCCCTTGCACCCACATCCGGAAACAAGATGAGCTTTGATAAAATCTCTCCACGGGATGAAGAAAAAGTGCCTAAGGACTTGACACCGGAAACATATGCAGTTTCAGGGAAGGATTTGCAGGTAAAAGAAATATCGAGCGAAAATCTAAGCAACCCATCTGGGAATTCTGGTGTGATCAACTTGGAAAAGAAGAGTAAACCTTCAGAAGTTGGTTTAAGCGTCAAACAAGAACCTGTTTGTCATTTTTCTGAGCTAAAGACTTCGATAAGCCAACCGTCCCATGGAGAAATGCCGGTTACAACTACTGAACCCAATGCTGGTGAAGAGCCTTGTCAGAGTTTAGATAACGGTATCATACTTCTCAGCGACGATGAAATTAATGAAACTAGGAAACCCTTTTCCGAGGGGGCAGGTGAGAATCCTTCTGCGAATAATTTGGAACTCAGGCAGAATGATAAAATGAGCCAGCAGGGACTGGACAAAGATTTAGCTAGAGAAGCGTCTGGGAGTATTGCTACCTCAACTGGCCAAAGGGAAACAGATTCTGTTCTTGATGTCCGGAGGAATATTGGCAATCATGGTTGTGGAAACCGTAATAGCAATGATCGAGTAAAAAACACCGGAGTTTTGGCTATTTCAGATGCAGTGGATGGGGCAAGAAGTAATACATGCCTTCCATGTTCTCGAAATAACAGTCCCGACAGGTTCATCCGCCAAAAGGGTCCCCGTATAGCAAAGGTCGTGAGGAGAATCAATTGCAACGTCGAGCCTTTAGCCTTCGGGTCAGTGCTTCCTGGAAAATCATGGTGCAGCAGTCGAACGATTTTTCCCAAAGGTAATGACTTTCCATCGCCTATGATTAGTTGCTACCATAAACAAAAAAAAACCGATATCATCGAGCAAGTGCTTAAAATCGTTTCCTTTTTCTCTCTGGTGCAGGGTTTCGTAGTCGGGTTAAGTATATAAACATTTTGGATCCAACGAAAATGTGCTGGTATATTTCTGAAATCCTCGATGCGGGACGGGGAACTCCTCTGTTCATGGTAGTTGATTTCCCTCACGCTTTCCAATGATTTTTGGCAAATAAAATTCTGATTTTGATCACATGGTCCTTCCAGGTTCAGTTGGAAGATCATCCTAGCGAGGTGTTCATCAATGTATCAGCTGCAAGATGTTGGGAAATGGTGAGAGAGAGAGTGAATCAGGAGATAACGAAGCAGCATAAAGCCGGAAAATCGGATCTTCCTCCTTTACAGCCTCCCGGGAGTCTCGACGGTTTCGAAATGTTTGGATTCTCTTCACCCACGATGGTACAGGTAAGAATATTGCATTACATTAAACTCTCATCACCTTCTAGAGATTTTTCGTCGAAACTTCTATCCTTTTTTTTTACCTTAGTCTCTCTTTTTGCGATCAAACAGGCTATAGAAGCACTAGACAGGAACCGGGTGTGTACCGAGTACTGGGATTCCCGGCCGTATTCCAGGCCGCAAGTTCAGTTTCCGGCAAACCCAAATCCCGGAGACATTAACTCCGGTGGCAGAACAACGGCCGATGTGAGAAATGCCCGAAGTGCCCCTGGAACGGACTCTGTACTCAGAGGCCTGTTCAGGAAGGCTAATTCCGAGGAGCTAACGTTGCTTCAACAGGCTTTGAGCGAAGCTAGCTCGGGTTTGGTGACCCGACTTGTCGACGAAGAGATACGAAACCGCCAATGATGAATTTTTTTTCGGTTCGTCATTTTTTTTTTTGCGACCCACTCAATGTACAGGCCGAGCTTTCTTCCCTCGCTCGAGCTTTTCAACATACGTCTCGTCCTCCGGCATTTGTTCTACTCGTCGATTCTTTTGGGAAGTAGAGATAGGAAACAACAGGAAGATTGAAAAAAAAAGGAATGAAAACTTTCTTTGATTCGAGTTTTCTTCTTCTCGTGTTTGATCGATTTGGTTTCGCAAATTGGTTCGGTTTTCGGGTTCATACCTCACGGAAGCAAACCTCCATCGTCAACGAAACAAGAACGTACTTAAAACAGATCTCAGATTTCGGACCGCTTTAGATTGGATCTTATGCAAAGAAACGACACAAGTGTTGCACTTAAAAAGAAAACCTTCTGTTTTGTGTTTCCTTAGTCGACGTTTGCTTCTTGTGCTCCGTTTACGGCTTGCTGCAGCCACCAGCAGACAAAATATCAATAAATAAGGTAAAATAAACTCATCAATCAGCAAAAACATTTGTTAGTAACACTAATAATAACTCTAATCGTAAACCTAACAAATAATTTTGATTTATTTCTCTTTTCATGCGTTAAATAGTTTCAAGATCATCATATCATTGAACGGTGAAATCGGATAGAGATATATGTTACTTGAATACAGGACAGAGTGTGGTAGACGTCGCCTGCTGATATCTGGTGATGTATCACGATTCTGATCCTGCAGCCACATATCATATACATGAACATGGTTTAGCAACTCGTGTTCCATGCAATGTGTTGTGTAACGGATTCCGGATCGAGGGATGAAATAACGATATCGATTCAGGGGTTTTGCACGTACCGATGCTATTGTTCATCGGATTCAAGAGGAAATAGGACGTAAAATGTTTTGTAACCATTCCAAACGTATTGATCTTGGCCGTGATTTCGCAACATACCTAGATGAGTTGACGGGGATGACGAGAATCCCGTTTTCCTCTAGATTCTTCCGTAGCTTCTCGGCCCCGAGTCTCGAGCTATCCTCCATCTCTAAGAATATCTAACTCGATTGATCGGACAAGAAAAAAACTAAGAATCAAATCCGACGGAGAACAATGATCCGAAACTGAAACAAGATTTTTTGGTCGGATACTCACAATGTTGGTCTCCACAGCTGCAGCATTCACTCTTATGCCTTTTATTTGATTCAGCCCTTGTGCTAAGATCTTGGCCTTCTTGTGATCGTATTCGAGCTTCGAGACGTTTTCTTGGAGGGCGATCAAAGCGGCCGCACAGAGAACGCCTATCTGCCTCATTCCTCCCCCTAACGTTTTCCGAAGTGTCCTCGCCTGAAAAAAATCCCGAAAATTTTCGCAAATGAAATCCGAATAGAAGATCGAGAATTCATGGATTCATAACAAAAAAAAAAAACCGGAAGTGTGTCAGATATACCTTTTCGATGAAACGGTGGGAACCGACGATTACAGATCCAACAGGAGCTCCAAGACCTTTGGACAAACACACCTGTTTCGACGCGCAAGTGTTGAAGAGTGTGTATATATCTAAAGAATGTATATAGATTTCCGAAATTGTAATTTTAGGATTTATATATATCGGCATTGATATAGTCGAATGTAGAGAGAGAGAGAGTTATTACAGAAACCGAATCTGCGGCATGTACAAGGCGATCGACCGGGACTCCAAGTGCCTGAAAGAAGAAAACATTTCTTCAAAAGAAGATCTCATAAACCCCCCAATGGCAAATTCTGAGGAATAATGACAAAAACCCATAATGGGAGTTGGAAAAAGCTTTGCTATATTTACATTTCCTCACAAGTTCATTTCGTTTTTGTTAATATCTGACGTTTGGTAAATGCCAATAGAGCAAAATATATGTTTGCAATTTAGGTTTGAGTTCGGGTTCGAATGTCCGTTTAGGAAAGGTTATTCATCTGGACTTTTCTAATCCTCTAATATGTAATTGGATCGAATGCGCAGTGAATTTCTGAAATGTAAAGAAAAAAGTATCGGGTTTACGATCGAGGCATTGAAAATGCGAGCTCCATCGATATGAAGCTTCAAACCATGTCTCCGAGCTAACTCTCCCACTCTGTCTGTATATTCCACCGTCAAACATCTTCCTCCGCAGCTGCATTTTTCACGAATTGTATTACATAAAGATAGATCTTAGTTTTTTATATGATGGATTTAACCGGAGTCAGACATTTAAAAACCGGTATAATCTTTCGGTTTTTATATCGGTTATCATATATATATATATATATAGCTAAAGAATGGGAGATCAAAATAATTTGAAATGCAAGAAACAAAAATAAACCGAACTTCTAGAAAACGAGTATTTTTTAGCCAAAACCAAAACCGAAAACAAATTTGATTTGATTATCTCCCAAAATATTCTGCAGTACGCTTGATTTAACAAAAACCGGGCCCAAACCATAAAAAATCTCAACCTGATTATCAGTTATATATCGGTTAAAATGAATATATACCGAACCAGAACCCGAAAAAAACACACACACAAAGCAATAGAACTACTCACTTGGCATGTGTGTTCTCCAAGCAAATAAGCCGTGTACGAGGATAGAACATTCCTCCTTTAGGATCTCTAATGGCAGCTTCGACGTCATCAATATCCATCGTCCCGTCCTCGTTGTTTCTGACCGTTCTCGGATGAATTCCGCCGACAGTGGCCACTCCTCCGTTCTCGTAGATGTGAATGTGGCAGTTGTCTCCGAGAATCACTTCGCTGCCTCTCACTTCGCAATGAGCCATCACACTTATAAGATTCCCCATCGTGCCCGAGGGGACGAAGAGCCCGGCTTCTTTCCCCGTGATTTTCGCCATCTCTTGCTCGAGTTTCCGAGCCGTTGGGTCGTGGCCGAGGACGTCGTCATCTACCTCGGCCCTCGCCATCGCCGATTGCATTGATTCCGTAGGTTTTGTCACCGTGTCCGACCGGAGATCAACTGTTCTTGCAACCGTTTTGTCACCAAGTGAACCTGAATGTTATGATGCTCAATCTCTGTTGATAGCGTTTTTTTTTAATAAAAAAACAAATAGGGTTTAAAATAAAATATTTTTCAGAAACACAAAACTAAATTTAGGGTATTTTTTACGAAATGTCGAGGTGATTTTGCATAAGTTATTATAATTATGGGAACCTAAATTATTTTGCTACGTCACAAAAGAAATAAGACATACCCATCAATGCTCCTCCTTGATACTTCTTTAGAAATCTCTCAATTTTTTGTATTCCTGAACAAAAGAATTGATTATATTTTTGTTAAATTCGGGAGAATTCAGACAAGATTTTATGAAAAAAATTTCTTGTGTTGTACAAATAATTCAAATGAATTACAGCTGTATTTACTGAACGAAGTAAAGGGATACATGTAGAAAGATTCTAATTTCGTGGGTCGCTAAATTAAGTAATAATATATCCAAAACATATATATATATATATATATATATATACACACTGTCATGTACGTTATTAAAACGCACACACATGACACATGACTCATTCACACTGTCACACTATCTGATCCACTTAACCTCCAGAATTTTGTAGAAGTTGCATTTGTAAAGCAACTTTGTTTTTTTTTTTTACAAATTTTGTTTTCACATTTTCAATTTATTGGCCAAAAGCGAAATAATTTTAACTTAAAAGAGGAAAAAAGAAAAGCAAAATGAAACACGAAATATAGTCACGAGAAGAGGGTGAGCTGTTTTCAAGGAAAGCGACGTTGCATGCATGATGATCATACATGTAACATTTTGTGATATGGAGCAAAACCAATTGGTATATATGCATATATATAAAAGAATATAATGAAAATTAAACTTCAAGCATTTTAGTGTAATAACAATAAGTCATAATCTTTCTCAATCTTATAATAAATCCTCACAAATTTTTGTATGAAAAAACATCGGAAATTAATATTTACGTTGCATATATATATATATATATATATATTGAGGGAAACGTTATCAATTCCATTTGTATTTTTTTTTCATTTAACGCTATATATTGACAGTAGTTATGCCTTAGAAATAATATTGGATAACCCAATAAAAAAAGAATTACAGATTTCAAAAACTGCATGTTTCTGTTTCATCTTATGTAGAAAAGTTTTATTATTTTTTTGTTAAATTTGGGGAAATTAAGATGTCTCGAGCAAAACACAAAGAAAAAATGTCGTTTTTCAACACGAGAAAAAAAAAACAATATAACTCATAAAGAAATATTTTATTTCTCTTATGGCTCTTCACATATTCCAAAAACGTAAATAAAATCTCGACTTCATTTAAAATGTAAACAGAAAAAAAAATATATATCAAAACACATGATCTTGTGAAAGGGGAAAACACTATTACAATGTTTTTGGATATTCTATTTGAAATTGAAATTATTCAAAATGAGACGCGGAAAAATTCATCACAAAAGGTGAAAAATAAAATGATAGATGAGTAAACTTAATGCTAAGAAATGTTTGGAATTTCAATGAGAAAATGTAGAGACGACAGCCAAAGTTCAATATATTCTAATCAACAAAACCCTAAACATGAATTCCAAAATATAAAAGAAAACCATTAATACAAAAACATTAGAAGAAGATACCAAAACATACCTCTACAAAACGATGAACTTTGCTCAAACGTATTGATCACAAATTGAAACTAAGACATCCCCAAGTTTTATATATATATATATATATACACACAAGATTGGACAAGTGGAGTAATATGTGTTCATAGACTATAGACTATAGAGACGTGTTTGGACTCCGCTCCTGACTCAGTTTCGACGTGGCAATTTTACTCTCTCCAAAATATTCTCCGGTTTTCAACAAATAAAAGGCGAAACTGCAATTTTGTAACACGAGAAAATATAAAAATAAATGTGGTTTCATTGCTTTTTTCACGACGCGGGGCTTCACACATTTTTTTCTTTGTTAGGTTGGTGTATCAAAAAGATGAAAACTACAACAAACACAATTAAATGTTTTTTTATTAATAGTATCCATATATTCAATTTTTTTATTTATATATATATATAATGTTTCATATTATACATATATATGTACTTACATATACATGTCAATCTAATTATTTATATATATATATATATAAGTTGCCTAATTACAAGGACTCGTCGTCGGTGCTATCCAATGCTTTTTTGGACAATGGTTTCTGACATGAATCCTACGTGTCAATCTCTATACTCATGTCCGAAATATTAATAGTTTATTATAAATATCTTTTAACTTCCTTTGCAATGGTCCTCTCTCTTTTTTTCATATTTTTCTTCCAAATTTATCATTTACGTAAAACCAAATCTATATAATATTTAACTTTTTTTCTAATTTTAAAAATTCAAAACTAACTATCCAAAAAAGTCTTGTAAAGGATAAAATCTAATAACTTGCATAACTCCTCTTTGTCCCACCCACCTCCACACATCAAATGCAACACAGTCCTTATCATTATAATAAATTACATTAAATTGATATTTGAATTTTTTATGCCCGAACTTCCAACTGCTAAATATGCATAGACATTATCAATATACTAAATTAAATTAAACCATATTCATGGTAAGAGAGAGAACGACGGTCGGTAACTATAAAAAGAGAATTTAAAATATACCAAATAACCCAATAAATTTTTTTAAAAATACATTTATAACTAAAATCTAGGAGGACAAAGCATTGCAATTTTTTTTTTTACTTTTAAATCTCCTGAAGGGTGGAAAACTCTTTCAAGAGTACAACTTCCATACGAGGATTCACCGTATGAAACAGAGTAAATGACGTCTGCGACTACAAAACTTCATCACGACAAACTCAGTAGATACATTCACCAGAGACAATGGCGTGGTTTCCTTTTCATCCAAACCCCACTTTTTTGGAAGAAATCGTTCTTGAGCAATGTCCCATCTAGTTTTCAACAAATCCATCGAACTTTCATGCCTTCTTAATCTTTCCGAGCCTTTCATCCAGCCAAAACGCGACAAGAGACGAGATTCTTGGTCGTAGATAGATTCCCTGGGTCTTGTTCGAGAGGTTTCAACCAGAAGTTTCCATGGCATTGCCTTCCCCGTCGTGATCAGTTCCTGCCATCGTATTATTTTCACGTTCTCCGTTTTCTTTTGCATCTAAACTCTTTTCCTCTGAACCCACTGTCGTGATCTCAGTGGCATGGTTTGATTGTGTTTCTTGCTGTTTCGAGGCTTCTGACTGGAACTCGACCATTAGTTGCTGCCCTTTTTCTAACTTTGACAACAGATTTCCGTACCGTGCTTGAAGAGTTCGCTCGAGCTCCTTTTGCATCTTCACCTCGTCCCGTAGATTATTTTTCCTGAACACTGCAGCTAGTTGTTCTTGCCTCTGCAAGGCCTTGAAGCACTCAAGCTCGGTTCCAGCAGTGTCTATTTGCTTCAATGTCGACTGGATTTGGGTCCACAAGTTCTCAGCCCTTATCTGAAAATCAGGAAACATAAATATCAAGGGAAAAAAGTTTAAGTCCCGGCAAGTTATAACACACAATGCACAAGCTCGACAGACGTTTAAGGCAGTTAGTGAAGGGCCTTTCAATGAAACACACCAATAAGGAGTCAGAATAGATACTAAAGCCATCAAGATACTTAAGAAATAAGAAAATACGAGAAGACCACATTCATATTGATGTATTGTACACATACCTCATATCCTTTTGTATAGGTTTTACACTTTGCCTTAAAGTGTTCTGCCTTCTTCTCATCTTCCTCTATCTTTTTCCTTATGTTATCCATCTCGATTTGCAAAGCTGCGACCTTTTCAGCGTGCCCAGCAACACTGGATAGTCCGTAAGCGTTTCGAGTGGGGAAGTACATAAGATCACTCAGGCATGTGTTGTGAGCTTCCACGAAATCATCGAGGGACTCATTCTCATGACCCATTGCCACGCGAAGAAACTGAGCCGCCTCCTTTATCATACTGTCAGACTACCAACGATAACAGGTATATTATTAATCAAATAACCAACCAATATGTAGAAATAAATGTGGTTGACTAATATTTACAAACCCAAGACTGAAAGCCAAGCAAGATCAGAGACAAGAAAAATGAGGGGAAAAAAGAAACAAAGATAATGGAAGATAGACAATAGTTTCCCAACTGTATGCCAAAATCATGAAAATTGTGACACCGCAAATGCAAATGCAATGCGCATATATGTTTATCAATTAATCTATCCGTAAAGTCGTAAACCATGAGCATATATATAGAGAGAGAGACAAGAAAAAGAGTGAGACCAAAGGAATAGCAAACAAACAGATGTAGCCTGAGGCAGCTATTCCACATTTAAGATTCGCAACAGCAACCCTTGACACTGAACACCAAAAGAAAATCACAAAGAGAACTTATTCCGTACCTCCTTCAGGTCATCTTCCTCAAAATCTTGTATGGCAGGAACATGAGAAACTGAACCATTGCCACGACGTTTGACACCTTTCTTTTTCTCCGCTTTCTCATCGAGAGGATACTTCGCATTATCATGCTCAAGTAACTGTAGAAGTTCCGTTTTTATCATTTCATCAGCTTGTTCAATCATAGTAGGGGGAACAAAGGAACTTTTGTCTCCATCGGAAGAAAGCAATGAATTCCTAATTAGCTCCAATGAAGCAGCAGGAGGTCTCGGAAGATCCCTCTGCAAAACTTTGGACCTTTTCCTAAGCAATGCCTGATGTCTCCCTTCCTCCTCAGCCTTCTCCCGAGCTATCCTGTCTGACATATCTTCCTCAATCTTTTCTTCTTGCTCTTCGGTATCATCTGGAGGAGGTTGTGCAACAATCTGGTACTCATTCTTCGGCTGTGGAAGATCACTCAAGCCAGACCGCAAGCTCCTTCTCGCTTCTTCACGTCTTTGCCGCTCAAGTTTTGCATTTTCGAGTATATCCATGTCTTCATTTATGTGAAGTTCATCTCTGAATGGAGTTCCTTTAGGTGTCATAGCAAAAGACGAGCCATCCCTTGATGGTGTCATGCCAATTCTAGGTGTAAGACCAGCACCACCGGGAGTCATGGAAGGAGTCAACATTGGATTAGGCGTTTGAATCTCCTTCTTCCTCGGAGTGACCCCAGAAAAGTCAGAAGGATGCAACTCAGGGTTCTCTCCTCCTAGCAAAGGCGTCTGAGATTCTCTTAGCCTAGCCAGATTTTCTGCTTCCATCATGATAGCATCACCTTTGCCAGCAGGAGTTCTTTGAGGCGTTCTCATAGGCGTCATTCCTTGCCTTGGAGTTTGTGAGTAATTTGCCAGAAGGGCACGAGTTGCAGCACTACCTTCTGTCAGCTCCTCATTCTCGGCAAGAAGCTCACTGGTGTAACCCATCTTTGCAATCTCCTCTAGTTCATGGTCTGAAATCTGTGGTGGCGGCAACATCAGCTTTGATCTCTTCCTAACAGCCTCTGGGTCATTCAGCTTGTTAGCTTGCAATATAGCTGCTGGAGCGTCCTGTCTCTGAGCAATTTTATTCCTTGCAATATCTTGTTTACGTAATTGAGCTTCCACATCAGCTCTTCTTTTTCCTTCAAGATCTTCAATGGTGGTGGGGAACTTTACTTGGTCAGCAGGTCTATCTTCATGAGCAGTATCGTAAAATCCAGGAGGTGCCCTCTTCTCAAAAGGAATTTCAGTATTATAGTCAATTCCCTTTCTTTTCCGTTTCCTTTGCCTTATATCAATTCCAGCCGCCTTTAATTCTCGTCTCTTTTGCAGAGAAGCCAGTCTCCGTGCTTCCTCAAGTTGCTTTTCCCTTGCTTTTCTTTTAGCCTTCTTCCCCCTGGTGTTGGCCAGTCGAGCTCTTGCTTCAGAAAGCATTTCCTTTTCATCTTCGTCCATATCGACAGGATCCGGACGTGCAGGTTTTGACTCTGGATTCGGATCAATCTCACCTGGTCGTAATTTTCGTGGATCATCTGATGCTTCATAATTCTCATCCTTTGCACATGCTGCATCAAGGAGCTTCTCATAGCGCTCGAGACACTGAGACGGTGTACGACCAACAATAGGAGCAATAGTTCTCCACTGAGTGGGCATAAGCTTTGCAAGATGAAGAAGCTTCTCATCTTCTTCTCTGGTCCATTCAGTCTATAAAAATAGAAATGCATCAGTCTCCTTCAAAGACATGATACTCGAAAGACCTACAATTTCATAACAATTCAAAGGAGAAACAACTCAAAACACACAAACAGATGCTGGACTCGCATGTGAAAATATAACGAATTTAGTGCCCACGACTTGGGTAAAAACTGAAAGGCATAATGAATAAAGCCCCTAATATGACTCATCACTCCAAACACTAAAAAGCTAACAACTAGCTCGAAAACAATCTATCAACCTCAAAGCTCCACTCCGGGCATTTTAATTATTTGAATGCAGGAATATATATCTATAAATTACATGATTTTCGCCTCTATTCTCATGAAATCCACTGTCTATGATTCAGGTACAAGCTGAAGGACCAAATGACTAAAGCACCTGACGCGATTCAAGTAATACTAAACTTATTCTCCTCCTATCAAGCGCAATGTCAAGTACACATCAGGTAACAAAAGCTCATTCAAAAAACCACCAATCAACTACAAAGTTTCGCACACATCTTTAGCTACTCTCAGTAAACGAATAGACTATCTGCAACTTGGATAAAATCTGAAGGGCCTAATGAACAATGACTAAAGCCCCTAAAATAATCCCGACTCCGGAGCACCAACTAAGCCCAACCTCCTTCATCAAGTGCGACTTGAGATGCAATGACCACAAAACTAGTTCATAAGAACCACAAATTTCCAAGTTCTGTCCTTGTTTCACTGATCCAAGTTCTCATCCAACACAGAAAAACACTCGGAAAGAATGAGATAGTGATTAAAAACAGTACCTTTTTTATTGAAGGATCGAGCCACTCGTACCAGCGAGCTTTGCACTGCTTGGCCGACTTGCGAACAAGAAGAGATGAGATCCGAGCCCACTGGTTCTTCCCATATTTCATCACCGCCGCTTTGAGGATCTCATCCTCCGTGTTCTTCCACACGCCTCCCTTTATCATAATCCTCATTTTTGCTGAACTTTTTGAAATCAACTAAACAATCCAATGCTAGGGTTCGAAGACCAATGAAGAAGGAGAAGACGAGGCGAACGACAATGGTAGACAGAGACAAGCAAGCGAAAGCCACAAAATCCCAAGATTTAGGGTTTACAAACAACAAGAGAAGAATTACTCTGAAGATAATTGACAACTGGATACAAAACTCCTAGCCTGTAAATCTCTTCCCAAGGATTTGAGATCACGAAGCAAGATACGACAACGGCGACAGAGAGAGAAACCCTAGCCTTTCAGCTGAGCTTCGCCAAAATTGCAATGTTTTACCGCTTGCGGGTTTTAGGATTTTTTTCAGAAGACGGATCCGGATCCGGATCCAGATCCAGTTATGTCGGGTCGGGTTCACACACATATACACACGTACATATGTACGTATATATATACACACGTACATAATCTTTTCCATTTTAACAAATTTAATAACAGAACTATTTTTCTTTTGGAAAATAAACCTTCAATTCAACTAATATAATTTATAAAAAAATATGTTTATACTCTTAAATCTTGTCCCAAAAAAAGCCTTTATTTGATGACGTGGAGAGCTGATTTGCTCAAATCGATTGCGGGTGTGCTTACGTGGCAAGTGAAAGGTTGATCACCCCTCTGACATGTTATCACCTGCGACATAAAAATAATAATTAAAAAAAAACAGAATTTCGGTTTTAATAAACCGGAAATCAAACCGTTTGATTTCTGGTTCATTAAAAACCGAAGTTTCCTGTCAACACAAACTCGTCCTCTGGGTCTCTTTCAAGTATCCGAGAAAATCATCGGAAAGAGCTAAAACAGAGCCTTCATTCATTTACTTTACTGTTCGATCTGTCTCAGCGCATGTGAAGTGGATTCTCTTTACCAATAAATCGTGTTCTTCCTGGGTTGTGTTGTGAATCAGTTTATGTTCAAAACCCTAATCTCAGTATGGTTTTTGTGGGGTTTTAGGAAGAGGAAAGGATTGCAAAGATTTTATCTTTTTTTTTTTTCTGGGTATTTCGATAAACACCGTGATTTCTCCGAATTTTGTTCCTATTTCTGGTGGGTTTTCAACATTAACTCTGAGAATTTTGTTGTCTAAAGCGGAATTCTGGGATTTTTCGAGTTGGGGTTCAAACGGGATCTAGGGTTTTCGTGTTTGGAACTCAAATCAAACCGGTTTGATTTTCAGTTTATGATTTCTGGTTTATGAAAAACCGAAACTCGTCTTTTTTTTAATTACCTTTTTTTCGTGTCAGTCCACGGTGGTCAATACTCGTCACGTCACCATGCGACCAAACCACGTGAGCAAATCATCACGCCACGTCATTAAGATATGATTTTTTAACAATATTTCTTTTATAGAATTTGATAATTGAAAGTTTATTTATATAAAAAAAATTGTTCAATGTTAATTTGTTAAAATTGAAAATTTTGGATTCTTTAATTAGATTTTCCCTATATTTTACAGAAAAAAAAACTTGCAATTAGAGATTAGTTATGACGATGATCAACTGCAAAAGAGTACGCGAGAAAACTAAGGGAGATGATAACGATAGTCTACAGTCAAAATTATCCGAATTTCGGATATCCGTCCCGACTTAAAAGTCGGGTATCCGAAGTTTAGATATCCGCGGTACGAGATAGAGATCAGATTTTAATATGTTTAAAATCCGAAATTTAGGTTCGGGTTCGGGTTTGGGTTTGTATTTTGGGTCGGTTAGTTATCCGCGATTACCCGAATAGTTAAAAAAATAAATACTATACTTTTAAATTATTACAAAATTACAAATGTATCTATTAATACTTAATTATTTTTATATTTATTTATACAAAAATTATCATTTTATAATCTATTTATTTTTAATATAAATATTTATCATTAATTTTATATTTTATTTGTATAAAATATATAAATTTGAGAATTTTTAATTAAAATTTGCTTAAACCTATGGGGTTCAGATATCTGCGCGTATCCGAAAATTGTCTCACGGATTAAGTCGGTTCGGATACCTGAAAATTCGGGTTCGAATTTGAATTTTGAAATAAATAACTCGTCAGGTTCGAATTCGGATACTCTAAAAATCTCGGATATCTGATCAGTGTCCGCACCTAGTCTATACTATCTTCTTAGAGATTGGAGAATGATATTATTACATATTTTTCATTATTCGGAATTTAGAATTATAAGATATAGAAATAAAAATACATTAATAATATATTCTTATTACCTCTATAAATAAATACATCTAAATTAAATTAAACAATAAAAATATATAAAATCCAGTATTATATAAACTCTATTTATCCTCTAACCAAATTCAACAAGATCTCATCTAATATTGTACAACAATCTGATAGAAAATTTTGAATTCATTATTATAGTGAACATATATATTACTAATTGTTCTAAACAACAGTTATAAACTTTTTAAATTCCAATTTAAACGTATTTCAAAACTCCCATAGAATGTTATAAAGATGTCTTTCCGGCACCAATCTCATTAATTACCATTGATTATATGGTTGAAACTTGAAAGCATTAAAGGTGGAGAAGTAATGATTACAATGTGGATCATTGGAAACGTAACGTCCTTAATTGGATAAACTTGCATAAAGTAATGGGATTAACATTCGTATTACTTTTTAATTATCTAACTATTTAATTTTTTTTCTCGTGTCAAGTTGATGACTCACTATTTATCTTAAACTATTGAATTTTAACAAACAATAAATTATGAATTTTTTTATTCTTTTAAAGATTATTATGACGTTTTTCTTTAATCTTTTATGGTAAATTATTGATTTTTGTTTGGGCCTTTTATGATATATCACATATAATTCGAATGTCGGTTTTAATAACAATATTAGAGTTAGTTCTCGAAATTGTATATCTTAATCACGTAGTTTTATTGTAATATACGTAATTTTCCCAACAATCTTCGAGGAGAAAAAAGAACTCCTTATGATTTTATGACATTATATTTATCGATGGATATTTCATTTTTTAGGCTAACTTAAAATTAGATAAACAATTTGTACAAAATATAAATAGTTGTTGTTAATAAAATTATCACACTAATGATACATTTTGAAATATAAAATTGTTATGCGAAATATATAATACATTAGTAGTTATTTCTGGGTTTCAATTTTCCAACAATGCATCTTACCAGAGTTGGGAACTACATGGAATAACAATTCCTCAAATAATTTTACCGGCAGCGCGAAGATAACATAAATTATAATATTATTCAACGTAACAAAAAAAATTACAATTAAAATAAGTTTTATTTCGATTTCCTTTTTCAGGAAAATAACTATTTAATTTAATTTAATATTTCGTAACATTTTGAATATTTTTTTTAAAAAATAATATTTATTATTACGAAAAAATGGATTGATATGTTATAATTCAACCTTAAAATTTAGAAGGGCGATTGACTAAGTCTTAAGAGCAAAGTCAAACTAAAGAAAAATATATTTAGAAATATTTACTATAAAGATAATATTCATAGAAAGAATCTGAAATTTGAAATATGAAAAAGTAAAAAAATAATTAATTTTATTATGTTATATATTCATTATTTTCTTAGTTATAATCTGGATATTTTTAGTAAAAACAAAAAAAATAGGTGTAAATTAGTTAACAGATAAAATTTAATTATTTTTATTATTTTATCTTTAAAGTAAGTAAAGGATCGATCATGTTATGAAAAATATGGTAAAACATAATGAGGAATCTTAAATACCTTATAACGCACATAAATATTTAGAGGTGGATTTTCGTTCTTGCATCATATTCTCTATAACACCTGTATTGATTAAGATAAGATTTACTTTCGAAATATCATATTTGTATTATTTTAATATTTAATTTCTTAATATCTTAATTGCTTTATTCGAATTATCACTGTGTCTAAAATATTGAAATGGATAAAAAAAATATTTTACTGCTGATAGAAAAACAAATAAAAAGGAGTCATAGAATAGTAATCCCGTGAACATTTTAAATTAAAAGAATGCAAAATATTTACGTGACAAAATAACAAAATTAAATTAAATACTGAATTAAGGAAAAATATAACAGAAAAAACTACCGAATCTTTGGAAACCGAATATTCCGATATGTTATCTCCTTATCCTTCGCCTACTTGGATTCCCATAAATTTTTTTCTCTATAAAAGTCCCCACACCACCAACTTCTTCAGTTCCTTAACACACACCAAAGAAAAACATAAGACATGACCTGCGCCCAATCACTCAGCGACAAGTATCAGACCTGCGAAGAAGTCGGTCGTGGGCGCTTCGGCACTGTCACGCGCGTGTACGCGCCGTCGACCGGAGAGTTCTTCGCCTGCAAGACCATCCACAAGGCATCACTCTCCGACGACGCGCTTGACCGCGCGTGCATAGACAGCGAGCCCAAGCTCATGGCTCTGTTACCTCCGCACCCAAACATCGTTAAGATCCACGAATTCATCGACACCATCGATTCCCTCTCCATTGTCATGGAGCTCGTCGATCCGACGGTCACCGTCTACGATCGCTTGGTCTCCTCTGGCACTTTCTCCGAGGCCCAAACGGCGTCGTACGCGAAGCAGATTCTCTCCGCCGTGTCGCATTGTCACCGGCACGGCGTCGTTCACAGGGACATCAAGCCGGAGAATATTCTGGTCGATCTGCGAAAGGACGCCGTCAAGATCTGCGATTTTGGGTCTGGGATTTGGTTGGGTGAGGGCGAGACCACCGTAGGCGTCGTGGGCACGCCGTATTACGTGGCGCCGGAGGTTTTGAGGGCGACTCCGTACGCCGAGAAAATCGACGTTTGGAGCGTCGGCGTCGTTCTCTACACTATGCTCTCCGGAACTCCTCCATTCTACGGAGAGACGGCGGAGGAGATCTTCGAGGCTGTGATCCGCCGGAGTCTCCGGTTTCCTCCGAAGATTTTCCGGGGAGTTTCCTCTGCGGCAAAGGATTTTTTGAGGAAGACGATCTGCAGAGATGTTTCTCGGAGATTTTCAGCAGAACAAGCACTGAGTAAGTTTCTTCTCTATGATTTCTCGTCTGGAAACTTCTCATCCGGGGTTTGCCTGAATTTTCTCGTTCGGGTTTCAGTATTCGGTGCAAAGTCAGAATCTTTTTTGGATTCTGCGTTGAAATTGTTTTCCTAATATCCCAGATCTGTCTGAAACATTCAGAATACGCGAGATTATTTCCCATCTGTATCCATGTTTGTTTCCTTTCTTCGACCCAAAATCTGCATGCGTTCATTGCAAGTTCCTCTCCACTGTTGGATCTGAAGAGTCAAAACCTCATAATCCCCATTGTATTTTTTTTTTCTGATGAATCTGAAACTATAATATGTTGTTATGTTCCTTTTTGCCGAATATTTTGATTTTTATGGGTTTGTAATATATGAAATGTTCTGTGATTTTGGCAGGGCATCCGTGGATTGTAAATGCAGGAGCAGCGGAAATAGAGCAAACCTTCGTCTAATCCGGAAGTTCACGGGAGCTTTGGCTCGGGGATTTCTTTTCTTCTGAGTTGAAGTAGGCCGTAGAACAGAGGATTCGGGTCTTTCCCCACCTTTTATGGGTTTCCTTTTTTTTACTCCTTTTTTGGGTGAGTAATAGAAAGAGAGAAAACAAAGTACTAGTTGTTACAACTCTTTATGTTCATAAATAATATATTTTAATTTTTTGTAAAAATATAATCTTTATTTTCTAGTTGTTACAACTCTTTATTTCATTTTTAAATAATATATTTTAATTTTTTTTGTAAAAATATAATTCTTATTTCTCTCTTTATTTTATTGTATAGTCTTTATAAATAATATATTTTAATTTTTGTAAAAATATAATCTTTATTTTTTAGTTGTTACAACTCTTTATTTTATTTTATAAATAATATATTTATTTTTTTCGTAAAAATAGAACCCTTATTTTCTAGTTGTTACAACTCTTTATTTTATTGCATACTGTTCATAAATAATATATTTTAAGTTTTGTAAAAATATAATCCTTATTTTCATTAACTTGCCTACAATTACTCTTTTAAAATTTAAATTATTACACTCAAATTTCAATATACATTCAGGAGGAAAACCGTCTAAAGAAATTCAGAACTTTTACCCCGACTAATAACTTAAAAAATACAAAATAATTTCATTAAATGGTACTCTAAATGGACTAACAGCAATTTTATATATGGACACTATCTGAGTTTTTATTTAAAATTTTTATTTAAAAAAAAATTAATTGAAAAAAGATGTTAAACTTTTAATCTATCTTTTTTGACCGGATTTGTAGAAAAAAAAATTTTAATTTGTGGATCTCTCCCCCGGAAAATACCATTTATACTTTACTATTGATGGTCACATTTTTCTTTCATCTTAAATGAACAAGTAGACTACTTAATAAGCAGTAATTAAGTACTTTTCACATGTATCACCATGGACAAAATATGAATATCATTTTCTCAAATATAAAAAATATTATTTTTTATATTTCCAAAAAGAAAATACAAGATAAAATATACTACCACTTTCAATCATATTCAATAAATTCAAACAATCCCTCTACTAATAATGAATTTACAGAAAACTTTTTAAAAATGTAAAATTTGTAATTCTACTAAGAAGAATTAATTGTATATCGATAAATAACTTTTGAAAACTTTTTGTAGTGAATTAACGCAGATGATATTTTGAACCATCGATTTTTTTGTATCAAGATAATTGAAATAATATAATTTATTTTTAATTGTCTTTGACTTCATTGTAATGTTCATCCACATGCGAGCGTGAGTTCCAAGAATAATAGATTCCATCATAAGAACTTTAATTTACTTATATATATAAACTTTCTTGTTTATGTATATTTTGTATTTGAAGACAAAATTAAACTATATAATACGTTATTTAGCAGCAAATAAAATAAGAACTATAAAATGCACTAGATAATTTTGAGAAAACAAAAAAAAAATAGCTTATAGACTAGAATTTGCCAACACAAATTCCGTGTATATAAAACATGAAACATGAGTTTGGTTTAGAAGTTGACCAAACACTCTCTTCTCTTGATGTCTCATACAATTATTAATTTGATTAATCAACTTTGAACAGAGTTGGGAGATTTTGTTATAGTTTGTAAAATTTGTGTGGGATTACTCGGAATTATGTCTAGATTATATAATACTAAAATTTCATATTGTATTACTTGTATACTTGATTTTTTTATTATATAGGAATTTTATTTTAAAACTAAATTATTTATTTAATTGGTCCATTATAAATGATAAAAATGAAGATTATTTTATAGTTGATTCATTTAGGAAATTAGGCAAAAACTAGCCAATTCATTCAAGTTTGATTAAAATAAAAAAAATAGTTTCACGAAAATGTTTTTTCCGATTAAGGCAAACATAATTTTATATCAAACAATAACAAATAGTTCTATATTAAAGAGAATATAATAATTTGACTTATATATGTGACTTGATTAAAAACAAAAGGAACAATACAACTCAATATTCTACTTTAAATTTCGTCTACGTCTCGGTGTCTAAGATTTGAATATATATAAATTCATATGCATCTGATTAATCTCATTAACTACAAAAGTACTTCTAAATTACTAATGTATTAATTTGAACGTTTGGTCACATTATTTTATTTCTTTATATTTTAATCTTCTATGTAAAAACCAAAAGAATCATACTAAAAAGCTCAAAACTATCTCAAATTTCACGATAATAAATAAAAGTTAATACTCCACTAAAAAAAACAGAAGAATAATCGTATACGACTTGTCTTGTAACACTGCGAAACTTGGGGAAGTTGCGAGGAGAAGTAAATGCAGAATTTTATATCTAGATCCCGTGTGGGACCCACAAGGATGTCAGTGGACCGTACGAACGGAAATATATGTAGCGTTGTGATAAGCTATCTGGATTTCTTGGGATAGCAGACTCTGCTTATAATATTACTGCAATGTTAAAAAAAAATTGTTAGCTGCATAACCGATGTCTTACATACCAATGGTCCTCTTTTAACAAGTGAAATCGTATAACGGAAAATGGCTCTACAATTTATGACATCTTCTTACAAAATAAATATTACTATTAGTTATATAGAATTATTAAAAAAATAAATTAAAACTAAATTAAATTACCGTTGTACGTATATCATACTTTTATTTAACTTTTATTTATACGCCTGATATTTAATTCGAATTACTGTGTGTAAATATCGAAATAGGAAAACATTTACTGTAGATAAAAATAAAAAAATAACGATAAAGTAGTAAATTCATGATTTTTTTACATAAAAAAATATTCGGAAGTATGCAAAATATTCATGTGACAACGTATCAAAATTAAATTAAATATTGAATACAGATTAAGAAAAACCATAACAGATAAAAAAAAAACCTACCAAATCTTTGGAAACCTGATAGCACCAAACCGAATATTCCGATATATTATCTCCTTATCCTTCGCCTATTTGGATTCCCATAAATTTTTGTTCTCTATAAGAATCCCCACACCACCAACTTCTTCAGTTCCTTAACACACACCAAAGAAAAACATAAGACATGACCTGCGCCCAAGCACTCAGCGACAAGTACCAGACCTGCGAAGAAGTCGGTCGTGGGCGCTTCGGCACTGTCACGCGCGTGTACGCGCCGTTGACCGGAGAGTTCTTCGCCTGCAAGACCATCCACAAGGCATCACTCTCCGACGACGCGCTTGACCGCGCTTGCATAGACAGCGAGCCCAAGCTCATGGCCCTGTTACCTCCGCACCCAAATATCGTTAAAATCCACGAATTCATCGACACCATCGATTCCGTCTCCATTGTCATGGAGCTCGTCGACCCGACGGTTACCGTCTACGATCGCTTGGTCTCCTCTGGCACTTTCTCCGAGGCCCAAACGGCGTCGTACGCGAAGCAGATCCTCTCCGCCGTGTCGCATTGTCACCGGCACGGCGTCGTTCACAGGGACATCAAGCCGGAGAATATTCTGGTCGATCTGCGAAAGAACGCCGTCAAGATCTGCGATTTTGGGTCTGGGATTTGGTTGGGTGAGGACGAGACCACCGTAGGCGTCGTGGGCACGCCGTATTACGTGGCGCCGGAGGTTTTGAGGGCGACTCCGTACGCCGAGAAAGTCGACGTTTGGAGCGTCGGCGTCGTTCTCTACACTATGCTCGCCGGAACTCCTCCATTCTACGGAGAGACGGCGGAGGAGATCTTCGAGGCCGTGATCCGCCGGAGTCTCCGTTTTCCTCCAAAGATTTTCCTGGGAGTTTCCTCTGCGGCGAAGGATTTGTTGAGGAAGATGATCTGCAGAGATGTTTCTCGGAGATTTTCAGCAGAACAAGCACTGAGTAAGTTTCTTCTCTATGATTTCTCGTCTGGAAACTTCTCATCCGGGGTTTGCCTGAATTTTCTCGATTGGGTTTTTGATGAAATTTTCTCATCCGGGTTTCAGTATTCGGTGCAAAGTCGCAATCTTTTTTGGATTCTGCGTGGATTTTTTCCCCTAATTTCCCAGATCTGGATCTTGTGCACTGTTTTCTTGTTGAAATTGTCTGAAATATTCAGAATAGGGGGAATTATTTCCCATCTATACCCATGTTTGTTCCCTTTCTTCGAAACCCTAAAAAGAAAGTGAAACCCTAATCCATCTGCGTTCATTGCAAGTTCCTCTCCACTGTTGGAACTGAAAATTCAAAACAGTGCCCTTCTCATGGATCCCCATTTGAATATTTTTCTGATGAATCTGAAACTATGTTACGCTGTTATGTTCCTTTTTGCTGAATATTTTGATTTTCATGGGTTAGTAACATACAAAATCCTGTGATTGTGGCAGGGCATCCATGGATTGTAAACGCAGGAGCAGCGGAAGTAGAGGAAAACTTCATCTAATCCTAAGACAGGTTATTTAAAAAAAAAAAGAGAAATAAATAAATAAATAAATAAAGTCTCGTCTCGATAAGTTATCTTTTCGTCTTGCTATGTAAATAGCTTATCGAGAGAAAAAAAAAATGAAAAAAGGAAGAGAAGAGAAGAGTTTATGGAAGAAGACGAAGACTCTGCTGGAGAAAGCGGCTTCTTTAGTTTTTTCCCTTTTTTTTTTGTTGGGTTGAGGGTGTACGTAAGGTTAATATAGGCCGTAGAACAGAGGATTCCGGTCTTTCTCCGCCTTTTATTAGTTCGGTTGTTTTTTTTGCTCCTTTTTTGGGTGAGTAAAAAGAATAGAGAAAGCAAAGATCTTTGTTGTACTACTCTTTATTTCTTTTTCTTTTTCAAGAATAAAATATTTTTTTTAGAAAACATATCCTTAATTTCCTTCAATTAATCTTTTAAAATGAGAAATGCAAATTTTATACAAATTTCGGGTAGAAAACAATCTAAATAATTTCATAATTTTTGTCCTAACTGATATTTAAATTTAATTTAATTTAAAAACTGAATATTTATTTTTTATGAACATATTTTTTTTTGCAGATGTTTAAACTAAATCCAAATAAAAAATAAACATAACCTATATTGAACAAATATAATTTTAAAATAATTAACGCTAAGAGCGAAACGGAATCTTATGTCTGCTCCAATTTTATTATTTTACAATTTCGGGATCATATGAAATAAGAATATCTCGAAACAAAACAAATGTTCTTCAACATCCAAAAGGTGAGACACAGAAAGGGCCCACCCATGTGATCCGAGGGAGTTTGTATTTTTGTTTTTTTTCTTCTGTATTATATTTTTCATAAGATATCCTTATGGATTTTAAAATGAAATAATTGAATGCTGCCGATATATATTTTCAAGAATCTAAAGGATATCTTATGAAAAAAAATATAATATTGAACACTAACCTAAGATTGAGTAGCTCAAATCATAAAAAAGAGAGTAAAACTATTCTCCAATCCAAATTCGAGTTTTCATTTGGAGGTAGAATATTTATATAATTTTTTTCGATTTTCTAAAAAATATAATTGAATCAAAATTTGGTTAAACTTTCGGATTATTAAAAAAAATACTGAAGACCAAAACTAAATTAAAAACATATTAAACACACGTGCATGGAAAACTTCGAATCATGTTACCCTAAATCTCGTTATTCATAACATAACAGAAAAAAAGGTGTTTTGATTCTAACATTTAACTTATCAAAGAGTGATTATAGTTCGACTTAATATATTAAAATATATAGAATGTAAAAAAATAAGATTTTAGTTCTATGTGAGCTCGAATACAATACAAGACTCTTGAATAAGACTTTTATTTGTTTAGCTAATACATTTCTCCCGTAGAGAAACCAAGACGATTATTCCAATTTCTTAAATAAAAATATTCCAGAATGTGAACAATAAATAGCAACATTCAAGTAAAATATAAAGTAAAAACATATTAGACTAGATTTTCATAGACACGTAAAAACAAAAGAGTTTTAGGAAATTGATATTTAGTATAAATCGAATTTATATTGAAAAGTATTGTATATCCTGCAAAAATCTATCATAATTTTTTTTAAAAAAAACAGAAATGATTCAGACCAATCAGGTCTTGTTTTGTCTTTTCGTAAAGCTAAGCCACATGGGAAGGGAAATTCATATTCTGGTCAACGTAATAAGCAAAGTTACATTTAAAGCGTCACAACTTATAAGAACTATTTCCAACACCGCCTCCCATGTGCATGTTAGCTAGTGTTCCAAGAATAATTTTTAATTGACTTATATATGTACTTTATTGTTTATGTATATTTTTATTTCGAAACCAATTAGATTATATGGTTCCGAAATAAAAAATAAGAAATTTGGCTTATAGAATAGCATTCGCCAACACAGAATCCGTGTGAATAAAGTATGAAACATGAGTTTGGTTTAGTGATTGACCAAAAACTCGTTGCTGTTTGATGTCTTTTCAATTTTATTATTGATTTGATTAATCAACTTTTGAATAATGTCGGCCGAATTTGTTATATTTTGTAAAACTCTGTAAATAATTATAGAGTCTGTAATATTAGAATTTTTATATAATAATAATAATTATTATTATTATCCAGTATAATTTTTATCAAATTAAAAAAACTTATTATTTATTTTAATTTCACTCTATAATCATAACCCATAAACTAAGAATTTTTTATAATTAACTTATTTAAGTTCGGCAAAAGCCGCCAAACATAGACTAAGTCATTCAACTCTGATTATAAAATTAAAAAAAAAATTTCAAGAAAATGGGTTTAGAAAAAGATAGTTAAACCAAAAGAATCAAGAAGGAAAATCAGTAAACCACGTTACATCATTTGAGCATGGGAAAGGGGCAAAACATTTTTTTGTGTGAAACGGCAACATTTTTTTCCCATCGAAACAAACAATTATTTTCAAACAATTAAATAAATTTTTTATATAAAAAGTTATCTAGAATTTGATTTAAACTATGTTAGATATATATAGCTTGTAACCATCCTGCTTGAGTTCCGTCTATGTCTTCTCGATCTAAGATCCGAATAGATAATTCACATGTAATAAAAAAAAAGTCTTTAACTACAACGATACTTCTAAATTACTGATGTATTTAACTTCTGGTCTCCTTTTATTTTTTATTTAAATATTCTATTTGATGCCAAAGAATACCTAAAAGCACAAAAAACGAGAATAAATTAAAATTAAATATTCCACTAAAAAAATAAGGATCTTTTGACAAAAATAATAAGAATCACCGTATCTGACTTGTCTCGCAAGACGCAGAGCTTATGTGGGACCCACAAAGACGGTGTTCTGTCGGCGACTTGGAATAAAAAGTCAATGGACCGTACAAAAGGAATTATACGTGGTGGTTGATAAGCTATCTTACTTTTCTTGGGATATCAGCCTCTACATATAATATGATAATACATCACAAAACAATAAAGGAAAAAAAAAACAAAAATTAATGGGAAGAAGTTGATATTTTATTTGAACGAAAAAATTAACAAGAGAAAGACTTTGGACAAAAAACCTAATTGATATCGATTTTTAACTAAACACAAAAATAAAAATAAAAATAAGAAAGTTTTTTGAAATATTTTGTCCAAGTAAAAAGTTATAGATCAAGTTGTGTATTTTTTAAGTTTGCCTTGAATTTTAAGTTGTACGAGTTATGTCATTTAAAATAAATTTATTCTCGAATATATATTATTCTAAATAGTATTGATATTAGCTTAACCCAATTTTTTTAATCCTTTTAATCATTTTTCTCTTACAATTTATTTTTAATAAAAATATTGTTTTTGAATTTATGATTTTTTATGTGCCAATCATGAAAGTATTAACTTTGTATTTGAATTTATGATTTTTCTATGTGCTATTAAAGAATATTATTATTATTTTTAGGAATTATTAATCAAATATTATGAAGAAAAAAATGATTATCAGGTATCGATAATATGATAAAAACAGAAAACTAACACAAAAATTTATTAATTTTATATAATGGTATATTCCCTTAATTTTTTTTAATCTTGTGGTTCAGAGAAAAGCGAAATTTCGAGATTTTAGTTGAAATGTATGCATCGGAGGAGAAGTGGTCTTTTGAACTCTTAGATGGAATGGCCTAAGCATCCGAATAGACACGTCACGACATCTCTTTTCTTCTTCTTTTTTTTTTTTTCATGAAAAACAATTTCCTTTTGTGAATTTTTTTTAACTTTTGTATGCTTTGATTTCAGATATACAGTTTCCATTTTAGTATATATTATTTCAGAAACATATAGCAACTATTCAACATCAACATCAACATCACTTTAATTCCAAATTTATTTGTGGTCGACCACATGAATTCTTCTTTTTCACTCATTTCGATTTTGTGTCATATCCTCCGAGATTCACAACAGATCCAAATCGTTCCTAATGATTCATTCCCAAGTAAGTCTAGCCTATCCCTTACTCGTTTCTTCACTTCTATCTTTATACTCTCTACTTTTCTAACCGGAATGTCGAACGGTCTACGTTTTACATGTTCAAACCATCTTAAACGCCATTCCCGTAATTTTTCTTCTATGGTTACGACTCCTAATTTCTCTCTAATACTCTCGTTCCGGATCCTATCCATCCGTGTATGTCCGCGTATCCATCGCAACATCCTCATCTCGACCACACACATTTTGGACACATGTTGTCTTTTTGCCGGCCAACACTCACTACCATACATCAATGCCGGTGTAATGGCTGTACGGTAGAATTTTCTTTTCAACTGTATGGGAACTTTACGATCGCAAAAGACCCTCGTGGGGCTTGCCTCCATTTCATCCATCCTGTTTTTATCTTATGACTAACATCTTCGTTACAACCTCCATCCCTTTAAAGAATTGAACCAAGATATTTAAAATGCGGATTTCGAAGTACTAATCCTCCTACATTGTTCGCTGTTCAATTTTCAATGGATGTTCTACACTGTTCAATTTTAGGAATTAATACCATTATCTATATATTTATTCCAAACTGTCCAACTTATTTTGAATCATTCTCTATTCGAAGTTTATTAAAAAAAATATATTCATTTTGTAAGCAAATTTAATTTTCATTTTTTTTCAATCAATTTGGTACTCGATTTAAATATAGTTATTTGGGTTCCATTTAGTTCAGTCCAAATATATTAGCGAAGAGTAAAACCATACTTACCAGGTTCATCTCCGAAGGAGGAGGAAGGGAGACGACTTCGAGTTGAGACTCGCTGTTTCTCTTACTGAAGATTCTCACTTTTTTTTTTTGGAAGAAGACAATACCAACTCTTTTCGTTATATCCATTTCTACGGTTTCTGAAAACAGGCAAATACATACACATATACAAAGATTATCTGTACTAATCAGTGAAGGAAAAAAAAAAACCTCGGCTTTGTCTTCAATGGCGACTGTGGACTGTGGAGTCTCTCTCTTAAATTTCATCCCTTTGCTCCAAGGAACGGCTGCAAGAGAAAACGTGAACCTGTCGGTTAGATTCATTGCGGAATTCTTTGAAACAATCCCGGGGCAAGCATTAACGGGCCGGGCGAAGAAAAGGGTCAGCTGTGAACTGAATCATCAGTGTAGTACAATCCCGAGAATAAAAACCGGCACTTGGCTCAGTAAATCGTCCCTCAACTCTAACCCCTAAACCCTGAAATAAGTTCGGCTTTCACACTAGATGCAAGGAGAGGATATGGAAATAAAGAGTGCAAAACATTATGCATTGAAAAGACTCAATCTTTGCTATTTATATGGCTTTTTCCCGTTGAAATCAATCGAGATACGAGAACATTTAACGGAAAAAATCACAACTTTCGGCATGCCCATGAACAAAACTGTTCTTTGGAAAACAGTTCCCTTTTACTAACCTTGATACCAGCGGGCGAACCGCCTGGTTTTACAGTGGCTGAGCTTCCAAAGACGTTGTTAAGACCCATTGATGGGTTACTGCCTTTGGTCCCGAATCCGAACTCGGGTTTCTTATTGGCGGGCTTCAAGATTTGGAATGAACACATAAGGGTGTCGTCGATGCTCATTATAGCGCCTGCATTGTCAAACTCTCCGCAGTAGTTAGGCGCGGAGAATATCGTCACAAGTTGTCGGTTTGCGAAGAACTCATACCCGTCCTCCACAACCTGCAGCGACAAAATATCGAAATGAAATAATGAAAGCTGATACCAAAGAATCATGCACTGATTGAGAGATGAATGTGTTCATGTATTTTAGAGCGGTGATTTCAGGTCACACACGTAAGATTGTGATGTAGCTGCAACAATCTAAACGCCCATACTAAGGATTGGACCGGTTATATGGTTGATTAATTATAGTTGATTGCGATTGCGATTTGGTGTCCAAAAAAATACACGGGACATTATACAATTGTTTAACAGTGTGGGTATTTTAGTCTTTTTAGTAAAACACCACAAATCGCTACGCAGGTGGAGATCTGCAATTATATTTCTCATTTTTTGTTGCCGATTAAACCAATTAATTTTTCAATCGCTTGCAACCGTCAGAAGTCGCAAATGCAATGTTTGCAGGCGATTGCGTGACAACTGGTCGGGCCCTAAGACAGTATATCATACCTGATGTGCACGGCAGATGAGATCCAAGTCGTGCTTCTCGAGAAACTCGGCAACTTTATCGGCTCCAAATGTGTAGGAAACTCCCCTATCATTCATCCCCCATCCTTGAATATCTTTACTCGGGTCGGACCAAAGCAGATCGCACAGCAAACCCGTGTCTGGCACATCGGTCGGGCGATGCATGTTTCTAATCTGATCCAAATTTTGAAGGTCAGGCGAGAGCCCACCGTGCATACACAGAATTTTTTCATCGATTAGGGCTGCCACCGGTAAGCAGTTGAAACAATCCGTGAATACTTTCCATAGCCTGACATTAAACCTTCTCTTGCACTCGTCGTAAAACCCATATATACGGTTTATAGAAGCGCACTCGTGGTTTCCGCGCAAAAGGAAGAAATTCTCGGGGTATTTTATTTTGTACGCAAGGAGAAGACAGATGGTCTCGAGGCTTTGCTTGCCTCGGTCCACGTAATCTCCAAGGAACAAGTAACTTGCATCCGGTGGTAAGCCGCCGTATTCAAATAGCCTCAGCAGATCTGAATACTGACCATGAATATCACCTGAACCGTACAAAACATCGCGTTACCACAACGGATCCGTGTATTGTTATCCACAAAAAAGTATAAAAAGCTTCGATGTGCCGAGAAAATAGTATCGGAAACGGGAAGATACCGAAGCAATTCAATCCATTTTACTGCATTTTTTGCATCAGCAACAACAAAGAACAACACTTTTTTCAACAGCAACTGCATACAATTGATAATATCTCCCAATAAAGTCACCATTGAGACAAAAAAGTAGCAATCTAGGAAATAGTACTTCAGAAAAAATGGTTAAAATTCTTAAAAGAATCCAAGCAGGGAATGCTCTTTCCATGGAACAGAGAGGTTGAATTCACATGAAATCTATGTAGAAAAGAAGTATCAATACCTAAAATCTTGACTGAATGAACATACGATTCCTCAAGAACACATCATTCCCACTCTCATCTCGGTTAAAGTACCGAACCCCGCAATCAGCAATCTCTCATTCTAAACCTTGAGATCAATCTATGGTCGTGAATGGTAGCCAGTTCCAGAAGAAAATTTACCTTGAGGGTAGATGAACAAATTGCCCGCGAGAAGAAATTAAACAGAGAACCAACAAAAAACTTTACATCTGAATCTATGGATCCTCAGTATCGGTTGAAGCATCACCATTGTAGAATTGCAAGACAGAAGCTTTACCAAAGAAAGCCAATGAAGATACAAACAGAAAAACAGAATCTTTGATATTCAAAATGCTCAACAAGCAAACTTGAATTCACAATCTAATAAACCAAACTTGACAAACGAGCTCTGGTCTTAGCTGGACCGACACCATTGCTGTAGAACCAGAGAACATCACCTCCAAACATCATTCAAGAACTCGGACTTATAGATTCTAACAAAGTTGACAAGTAAGATTTGTTTAAACAGTACTGGCATCAGTGAAATTTCAAACTTTTGGGTCACTGATTCGACAACTAAACAACTCAAAAGGCTGAAATGGCAACACAATCAAGCAGAGATCAGATAATGAAAAATCATCCACCAAACGACACAAACCCTAATTCCCGAATTGCCACCGAAATTCGTTTAATTGTTGCTGAAATCTAAACCTAGTCAGGTTATAAAGGTCAGGAATACAGAGAAACAACTCCAGTTTCAAACAAAAAATAGGATGAAACTCCAGAAATTCAGACCACCAGAATCGATTACTCGACATCAACTGTACGGAAAAATGTTTAGGACCCATAACATAAGATGAAAGGATCCATCGTTGAGACCAAATTCGGAAAAGAGAAACGATTTCCAGCAAAATCAGAGATGGGTATGACGTGAAATTACCGCAAATCGTTTGATTGTTGCTGAAATCTAAACCTAGTCAGGTTCTAAAGGTCAGGAATACAGAGAAACAACTCCACTTTCGAACAAAAAATAGGTTGAAATTCCAGAAATTCAGACCACTAGAAACGATTTCCAGCAAAATCAGAGATGGGGTATGACGTGAAATTACCGCAAATCTTGATGGGGGCTTCGAGCTCCAACAAATTGGGCTGTTTCAAGAAAGTTTCTTTGGAGTAAGTACAGAGCTGTCGGATCTCGGACTCCGACAGCTGAACTTGCTTGCCGGGTCGGCCTCGGATCTCCAGAAGCCGATTGATGATGTCATCGAGAAGGGCCTCGTCCATTGTTGTATCCGAGAATCGTTGAAAAGAGGAAGACGATGGAGAAGCGGAGAGACGGGGAGAGAGTCAAAGTCCACGGGGATCGGGAGATGCGAAGTCGGGGACGATGGGTCTGTGAACAAAAAAAAAGATGTGTATACGACACTATAACTCTCCGCTTCATTTGGCGGGTTTCATTTAACTGGCGCTCTTGCATTTACTTATTTTGCTAGCAACCATGTATATAATATGTCTGCATTCTTTCTTGAATCTGAACCGAATGCCGGAAACGTACAACAATATTTCAAGAGATTCAGCGGCATACCAATTGAAATCGTCACGGCATTTATCGGTTGCCTCATACCCCCTCCTCTCCCACTTACGAAAGAAAGGATTATCAAATGTTAATCACATCGTTCCCAAAAATAAGAGATGTCAAATCATAAAAAAAAAATGCATAATTATAGCTTTTTATCTTGAAAAAAAAATTCTTAGGCATCAAAACTTAATTAATTACAAACAACATATTAGTCATGTCGATTTACAATGAAAAAGATCTCGAACGCTTATTTATTTTTAAATAGATCTGTATAATAAAAGGACGAGGAAATTGTAGATTAATTTTATAATATTATGTTATAATTCGGAGATGTCTTTCGTTGACCACCTAAACCCCTTGTTCACATTTATTGAAAAATTGCCAAAATATTAATTTTCGCAACTTGTTTTAGTTGAATCTTATATGTTGAAAAAAAAATCTTATTTTGTGAAAAAGATTTAAAATAGAATGCATTTAATAAGTTAATTAATAGATCATAATGACAAGTCAAGTAGCCAACTTTCTGATATAATTAACAAAATCAAACCGCATCAAGAAATCTTCCGTCCAAAAAGTCTGCTGATTAAACTACCAGTTCTAGTTCACATATGCGAACGTACACATTTGTGTACATACAACTATATACACATATACATATAGATGAGCAGTCTCACAATTATTGCAAGAAAACAAAGATCGAGGCGAACTGAAAATGAGAAGTATTTCTCTCTCTCACATTGTCGTCTTATCGGTCATATTGATTCTGTTATTGAATGATCCTTCATGGCACATGGCCTCAGCATCGAGGGCTCCATTAATGCACTTGCACTTTGGCCAAGTTTCCCAGCTTCATCATGACCATGATGATGGTGATCATCATCATTATTATTACAACCTTTTCCTTCCTTACATGAAGAACACGGTTCCACGCAAGACTAAGCCCATCGATTGGCAGGCGCCGGGGGTATTATTACAACCTTTTCCTTCCTTACATGAAGAACACGGTTCCACGCAAGACTAAGCCCATCGATTGGCAGCCGCCGGTGGCGGCGCAAGGCAAGGTTCCTATAGGCAACACCCCGGATCCGGTCTAAAGAATGCATTGGAGACCCTAATGTAATGTTTGTTTATATTATATGTCACTTCATTGTTATATTTTCCATTTTCAGATTTGATATAATGTGTCATCTTGCATTGTTTCTATTTCATTTGGAAATTAGATGATGTTTTACTACAATTATTGAAAATAATCAAATGTTATTTGTTAGTAACAAGACATGTCATTTCTTTTTCTTTTTTTTTATAATCCGAAAATTTATCGAACGTTCATCTCAATCTCAACTACATCTGTTATGTGACCGGAAAGTTCATACGAATATCCCTCACAAAATAGAAATTCGAATCTAGATTGGGACCGAATTATTTAGACAGACATGATGTAATAAAAAAAACAAAACAAAACGCGTCGTCGTAACTTGGATAATTTATTTTTATTTTTAAAAAAGTCATTGTAAACAGAAAAAACGAATAAGAAAATGCATGCGAACTACAAATTTAACTACATAGCTATGTTTCCTTCCTCACCATGAAATGAAAATTAACGAGATATCTCTCTTCATTCATTGACCAAACCGCGTTCTCATTGTTTTACTTCTTATTTATTTGTTAGAGGGCCTGTCAACTCACACCAAGAACACGTTTTCTGTATCGGAAAATGGCTTCAAATTCATTCATCTTTATTTATCTTATGATCGTTTCTGGACTACTAATCATGACAAACCCTCGAGCCCTTCGCGGTGTTGAAGCCTTCGGTTTACGGGATTGGTCGGGTCATAGATCTCATTCTGATAAACTGAAGTTTGTGGCCAGGCCGAGGGATAATCCTCCGAAACCTCCTAGCCCCGACCGTGGCATAGGTCGCCGTCCTTCCCCGGGAACCGGACCCGACGAACCATAAAAGCAAGTAAGTTGTGTGACTCGGGTACGATGGAACGTTTTAAACCTTACTGGTAGTTTTTTTCTTGTACAAAAGAAATGTGACTGGTTATGTCATGATTCTCCTGTAACAAAAAGAACAAAAAAATGATCTGTCCGCGATTCGTATCAAGATTTATTATATGTTATCTGAAACTCGAGCAGTTCCATCAAGAATCTGATCACTATAATATTCTTCTGTAGATCTACGTATCTTGCTATTTGATATATAGACATATTTATGAACTCATGACAAAAGTCAGACATGGTTACAGCCAGCATGTGGAAAAATAACTCTATTAAGAGAATTACAAACTGATGCGTACCCGTAACAGTTGAATCATATATCGTAAATCCAGGTTGAATCTCGCACTTCAAGTTCTACGGTGGTCGGGAATCCGATCAAAGAATCTCACGATTTCTCGGCCTATTTGTCCTTTGGAATGTTGCATTAATTTATACAGCTCCAGTAGGTGTTTTAGACAAGAGACATACATTTTTCCAATAGTTATGTCTATTCTTACAACAACACCCTTGTGTCATATATATATATATGTATATGTGTGTTTTTCTATAGGTGTATATGCTTTTTATGTTTTCTCTAACGATCATAGATTTGATTTGATAAGTGAATAAGGAGTATATTTAAAACATCAATTATTCAATCTTCAAAATTTTATGCATAAATCAAGAACATGGTAATCTCCTCATAAACGTAAATCAAGAAAGGATCTCACAAGATATAACTAACAACGATAAATAACTTATTCTTCAAACAATCGGCAATATATAGCGCAGTACAACACAATAAGATAGAACGGTTGAAGAAATAAACAAGCTCAAATTTCAAACATCGATCAAAAGGAATAACAGAATGATTGTTCAATCAAATCTAAGCACATTGGAAACCGGAGGGAACCTTCTTGCCGCAGTGGTTCAACACAAGGCTCAGTGAGACCGGAACGTTCAACTTAATGCCCAAGACATTAGCCTTAAGAGCGGTGCAGAGACAGGCGGCGGCTTCAAGATCGACGAGATCCTTGATAAGGGCGCAGCAGTTGGACTGCGGCGGGAGAGAGACCTTGACAAGGTTCAACACATTGGCACATACCTTAAGCTTAAGAGCGTCTCTCGGGCAAGTGGCCTTGTGGGTAGGTACGGGTGGGTATTTCTTGTGGTGGGTCTTGGTCGGAGGGGGCGGGCATGGGACGGAAGTGGAACTCACCAAAGTGAAGAACAGGACATTGAAGAGAATGATGAGAGCTGCCTTAGAAGCCATTGATGATATAATCAGGAAACCCTAGAAGTTTGGGGGTTTTGTTTTTCAATGTAATTTGGAATGTATGTGTTGTGAGAAACAATGGAGATGGGGTTAGGGTTTTATAGAAGGAGATCTTAAAAGGGTCATTTTTTTAATCATCAAATGACAACGAAGGTAAATAATTTGATGAAAGGCCATGTGGGATTATTACTAGATCATTGATCTCATGATCTGGCAAGATATGGAGTTTCATGCAAAATGCAGAATAAGATATTTTTATAATAAGGTTGGAACATGGTTAAGCTCATAATTAAGACCAAATCCTGGGGGCGACCAATGACAATATTCGTTGGAGATGTCAGGAGGAATGCTTGCTGGTTAAATAATTCGGAGTGAGAGTACATGTTGAAGTTGTCATAATTTCATTTTAATACAAACTAATTTAGCATAATAATTGCATCGCATTATTTCAATCATAATAATATTTTTTTTGCAAATAAATTTAATTGGGAATTTTATTTGGAAATTTTCGAAACCCCTTGTCATACATTTGTCTTCATGGTAATTTCATTTTGGAGTATTTTTCGAACTCTAATTTGGTATAAACGTAGGCTTAATTATTAAGAGGGGATTTTTAGAACCTTTTGTAAACATTTTTTTTCCACAGCGGTATTTTTTTACCAGAAAACATTAAGGAGAATCCAAAAGAATAGTAACCTATTTTTTTAAAACATTAATAAAATTTCCCTTTTTATCCTTTGAAATATCAAGTTTATCTGTGTATTAAAATTTTGGATTTTAATTTAACGGTTACTTTCATACTTCAATTATCAGAGAAAAATGTTTTCCGACTAAGGTTCTAAAATTATTTTACAAAATCTTTTTTTTAAAAGAAAAATCCAGATATATTGAAATCGAATTATAAGTTCAGCTGGAAACGGTGGAGATTCAATTGAAAAATAGAATCGATCGAACATGTCTTATTTTGGTCGTGAATGTCATTAAAGTTGGGATTTATTTAAGCTTAATGATGATATGTTCGAGCCTCATTAAACTAGTCTGACCCCGTCCAGATTATAGTCAAGGTTGGAAAAAAAAATAAAAAGTATTAATTTGGTTTATTAGATTAGAAACATAAAATCGCTATACAGATCTAGAATTAATTAATTTAAATTTAAATAATTAAGATTAATCTTAGTGGTATAGTGAAATGATTCAAAATGAACGTGTCATCGTTAAACTTTAGTGATCAGGTCTCATCATTGGTGTAAGTCTCCTAATTTTCTCATACTTACATGATTTTTTTAAAAAAAATTTTGGTAAACATAATTACATGATTATTGGTAAGGTCTAATTGAAACTTTGAAAAAATAAGAATGCGTTGCAAGTTTAAGGTTCTTAAATTGGGATTGAAGAACTTAATTAATAACCATTATAAGTGATGATAATCACAACATAATAAGAACCATATAGTTTATTAAAAAAAATGCCATAAACAATGCGAAACAATCGTTCTTTGAAACCAAATGCGGCGGAGTAACGACAACGCCACAAGATAGAACGATTCAAGACGCGGAAACAAACCCGAATTCGGAAACATCGAAAGGAACAAAGTTGATAAGTTATATGGGACGGTTCGATCAAATCTAGGCGCACTGGAAACCGGTGGGAACCTTCTTGCCACAGTAGTTCAGCACAAGGCTCAGTGAGACCGGAACGTTCAACTTAATGCCCAAGACATTAGCCTTAAGAGCGGTGCAGAGACAGGCGGCGGCTTCAAGATCGACGAGATCCTTGATAAGGGCACAGCAGTTGGATTGGGGCGGGAGAGAGACCTTGACAAGGTTCAACACATTGGCACAGACCTTAAGCTTAAGGGCGTCTCTCGGGCAAGTGGCCTTGTGGGTAGGTACGGGTGGGTATTTCTTGTGGTGGGTCTTGGTCGGAGGGGGCGGGCATGGGACAGAAGTGGAACTCACCAAAGTGAAGAACAGGACATTGAAGAGAATGATGAGAGCTGCCTTAGAAGCCATCGGTGATATAATCAAGAAACCCTAGAAGTTGTTGTTTTTTTTCTCAATGTAATTCGGAGTTTGTGTTTTGTGAGAAACAATGGAGATGGTGCTAGGGTTTTATAGATGGGGAGTTTAGGAGGGTTTTTGTTTTTTAATCCATAAAATGACGAAGCATGTAAATAATTTGATGAATGGTCATGTGGGATCGTGAATCTCATGATCTGGCAGATATGGAGTTTCATGCAACATGCAAAATAAATATATATTTGTTTTTGTTAAATCAAAATAAGATATATTTTATATCAAGATTTGAACATGATAAGGCAATAATAACTTTGTCCAAATAAAAATATGATTTTTAGGGTATACGGATTCAGAAAATTTTATTATATAAAACAGTATTAATACGATTAAAAAAACATAGAGCGTTAATTTGGTTTTATAGGTGGAGATTTAAATTAATGCTAAATTAAAATTAATGCTAAATATTTTTCGATTCAGTTTTACTTGATTTTATATATAGAAATGGAAACATTGGTATTTGCAATTTGGTAAGGAAAAATAATATAAAAAACTATGAACAAAAGGTTTAAAAGGATTTCTTGATCACATCTCAAGACTAAGACCAGTTTCAAATTCTTTTGGGCCTATTAATTTTTTTTTTGTCAAATTAAAATTTATGTATCTCTTGATGTGTTTTATTTATGGACTTTTTTTCATTTTTTTTTAATATAATAACAAACGTTTCTATTTTTGCAACAAATTTGGAACTGAGATCCGAAAGACACAACTATATATGAAGTTCACCCAAAGCAGAAACGCGTTGTGATGAAGTTGTTAACGTCCAAAGTCTAAACCGAATGTACTAAACCGGGTATTCTCTATTACTTTCTCTAAACCGAACTAAACCGGATATTCTCTAATACCCTCGGTTGGATCTCCAAAATCATGTGGAACCAGGTGACCGATCGAGTACTAGTTCACACCATAAAGTAAATTACGGTCACGGTGAATGTACCTATTATATATCTAGGTCTTGATAAAAACATTATAGCTCTCCAATCATAGATTATATAACATAAGTTTAATTACAAGTATTCTTTGCTTAATATATATATATATATATATATATATATATTGTACCACATCATACCCATCTCAAGTTGGAGAAGAAAGCAAAGGTTTAACATCTTTGAGTTCGTTCTCAACGAACGGATGATCTTTGTTGTCTCCGGCATTCTTTTCCTGCTCCAAGACCAAAGGCCTATCATTTTCCCGATCGTTGAAGAGCGAATGGCTTCTCTCGTAGTCTTTTCGAGATGAATACGAACCCGAGGAAGAATGCTTGAAGCTCAAGCCTCCGAACCCAACAATTTTGCCGACAGTTAGCTTTCGGTATCTTTCCCTCTCTTGCTTGTGAAGAGTGTCGTCTTCCAGTAATTTCCGTACCCTCTCGCTTAAGTTTTTAACTTTAAGCCCACAATTGATCCTTCAAGCATAAGATTACGTAAAATAGACGATAACACGGATAAGATCGGGTGATTCTAAGGTAAGATTGATCGAATGAAACAAACCCTTTTGCATCGATGCACTGAAAATCCGTCACCTCTTCGATAACGTCTTTCTCGTGTTGAAACTCTTTAGCGACACTCATAGGTCCATGGACCAACAAATGGTTCAAGAGGATCAGCGCGTTGTAGAACCCTCGCCAATCGTTTCTATCGAATTTCGAGAGTCTAGGAAAATTTATTTCGGAGAAACCGGCTTAGTGTATATCTCTTGTTCTCAAAAGAGATTCATCGTTTGATCGAATTCGAGAGAGCAGGAAGAAACCTTTTACGTAGAATCTTGACGATTCTTTCGAACTGGTCGACTTCGAACGAAGCTCTTGTAATAATCGACATGGACCGTGCATCTGGTGGCGAGCTGTCGCTGCTTGTAACTTCTTCGGTCAATCTTTCAAACATGAATCCAAAACGTTAAACCCCAAAAATCAAGAACCATATTAGAATTCTATTGCATACATATACATATATATATATATGAAGGGATCGATAAAATAATCTTACAACTCTTCGGATGTAACATCTGTGACGGCGAGACGGGCACTCTTGATGATCTTGTCTTTGAAGAAGAACGAAGCTTGCTTTGTGATTTCATGGAATCTTGGGCTCGCCATAGATTCGTTTCTCTCTCTCTCTAGAAATTTCTATCGCAAGATGATGAACCGTATGGTTATAATGAAATTGTAAAATAAATGATCAAATACCTATCGCTTGAATTGAAAATATACCTTATCCGTAATTGTGGTACGTAAGAACAACAACTCCACTAATACTTAGAAACAAAATTCCACCGACTCTTGGAACATAGAATTATAAACAAATAGAGATTCTTTATCTTCAAGACAATATCATCCTAGTTTTCTTATAAGCATGGTTCTACTTACAATTAAATTAACACCTAATGTCACGCATGAAAAATATTTTATTTTTGCGCTATTAATTATAGGATGGCTATTTCGATTCAATATATACAAAATCAAATCAATCCAAACCGGGTATCATATAATTATAAAAAGACAACCCGGTGTACAAAACATCTCTGTTGAGAGGGGGTGCGGAAAAAAGTTATTCGATTGGATTACGTGAAGGTTATGGTTTCATTTCCATTGAAAGGATTATGGTTTGTTTTTTTGTTTAATTACATTATTAGCTAACTTAATTATGAAACGAAACCGAATGATATCATACAAAATCTCGTTGGTTCAGTCCGGGTTTTGATTTGGTTATATGTGTACCGATTCCGAACCGATGATATCATGTAGTCCGGTTAGTAATTTCACTCGTTTGTCAATCCCTTTGTTTTTTTTTTTCATCTGGATCGTATATTACCGGTTTATATGGTCCAAAACAGTGCGATACAGTTGTTATTCGCAAAGTTGTAGTGTGATGTATCTTTAACTTTAATTTAAACCTAATTCTTCTAATCCCAATATATCAAATTTTAACCAGTTTTGTAATCGAATTGGACCGATACCATGGGGTTGCCTCTTTTGCTCGTTTCAGAATAGGTTGGTTTTGCTTAACCGAACCGATTCACATATACCGGTTCATACCGGCCACCACCACGATTCAATTTGGTTTTTCAATGCAGAAATCTCAAAGCACTAATTTTGGTTAAAGATATAAATGCATTATTGTTGCTCGTAGGTTGGATTCTAATGATCGAGGTCACGTTGATTGTGTTTGTATTTATGACAGTTATTAGGGGGTGAGATTAGAGGTTGATTATCCAAAATTTTATCAACCACACAAAGGTTACAGATAACAGATGTTGTTATGAACCCAAATTTGATTTGTTTTATATTCAATTAAATTAAAAAAAAAACAAGTTTATGATATATAATTGAATTTTTTTAGATATCGGGAAAAGATTTTAAACCCAAAATTATAGTACAACTTTTTATTATCTACACTTGAATCCAATTGATTAAATGCCTGATTTTTCTAAATCAGATTCGAGATTGAAATCTGGATTTTTGGATTATTTTGAAACCCTAATAATTGTTGTACACTGGTTCTTTTTGTTCCTCTAGCCCAAGTGGTTCTTTTTTTATTTATTTAAATTTAATGTTTGTACTAAAAGCAAATATATTTATATATGTTTTAATAAATTTATATTTTCACAAAAGAATGAACCTTTTTTTTGTCTCTTAATATGCTTTGCTTTGTCTTTCCTTTTAATGTAACTACACATCCAAATAAGCTTTTATATAAAGCAAAGGAAAACCATGTCCCTTGAGGAAACAAAATCTCTTTACGAGAAAAAAAAAAGTTCTTTCTTCATTGTTTTTTTTTTTCTATATTTTTCTGTTCGTTGTCTTTTTTTTATCGCCTAACAAAAATTTTCCGATTTTGTAATTTTTGTTTTAGATTTTATATCATTTATACGAAATACCGGAAAGAAACATGTATTACACTGAGTGATAGTGTGGCACATTTTATTTTATATTGAAAATACTATAACATGAGAATTATCAGTGCGGCACATTTTGTTTTATATATAAAGTTTGAATCTAAAGGAATTGGAAATATTATAACATGAAAAATTTCCCGAATCCAAAATGAACGTGAATTTTATTTTAAAACTAGACAGATATAAGTTTTACAAAATTAAGAAAACTAAAAAAGTAAATTGTTATAATCGTTATCTAAGTAATTTTTTTTATATGATGTTATTTTGCAAATTTTCTTCATCATTCCTTTTTCTCAGATTTCTTTTCAAATTGAAAACGATGGATACAAATAAATAAATAAATTGTTTGATCATTTACTCGTGGCCGTGGGTCAGGAAGGAGACGGCAAAAACAACGACGAGTAAAAAGGAACACTCGCCTCTCTTCCCTTTTCCTGGAAAAAAAGAAGATAAAGAGAGAAAAAACCCTTGTCTCCTGTTCGTGCAAATTCAAAAATCTACCATCCAATTCGTTTTTCTGATATTTCAAGTTCCATTTTCCCAGATTTCTCGGGAAAACCCAATTGTTCGATTCGTGAGTCAATCGCAGATTCGGGATCTTCCTTTGTTTTGGGGCTTTTGTGTTTGTCATTTTGTCCGAGCGAAATGGGAAGTAGAAGAGAAGAAGAGCGAAACGAGAAGATTATCCGCGGTCTGATGAAGCTTCCACCGAACCGTCGTTGTATAAACTGCAATAGCATGGTAGAAATGCTCTCTGCTCCAACGTATTTTTCTTGTCTAGGTGATTCCTAGTTTGGATTAGCTCTGATTTCTTGCGAGGTTTTTCATCTGTGCCGACTTTAACTGATGGGTTTCACAAGGAATTGTGATATTACATGAACTTAAGCTTCTGGAGTTGTCAATTCATCATTTCCTTTTCAATTTTTTTTCTCTCTCCATGTTTTGATGAAAAGGGTTTGGTTTTTTCCTGAGAAAAGATTGATGAGTTTTAATTGAAGTGCGTTTGGCTGCGAATGTATGGAAATAGAAAGACATTTTGGAAAGTTGAAGTCTTTATTCAATAGAGCTTCGCATCAGTTTCTTCATGTTATGGTGATACTTGCACTTTCATAAGTATGGATTTCCACTGAGACAAGCCCTTAACCTTAATTCGTTTCTTGATCTAATGCGTTAGTGTCATGAACAAATGCAGGGTCCTCAATACGTTTGCACGACTTTTTGGACCTTCGTTTGCATTGCTTGCAGTGGAATACAGTGAGTATCTGATCATGCCTTATGACTCATTCTTCCTTTTGGGTTTCTGAGAATTTTGCTGCCCCTTGTGTGCAATTTTTCATATTTGTTATGTTTCGATCTCCCAAGATTATTTGCTTGTTCCCTGCATTCTGCCTGATTCGATTTCTATCATCTTAGGTTCACCAATTAATATAGATTCGTACTGCCACATTGAATAAGCTCTTTGTCTACAACAATAACAGCAACATCGCCTTAATCCCAAGTTTATTTGGGGTCGGCTCTTTGTCTAGACATTGAATATATTATTTCCTCAAGTGTTAGTTTGTTTGCATTTCTTAGTTTCCTCTGTGATTTCATTTGGAATGAATCCTGCATCTGGAAGTAGTTTGGAAGTGTACCCACACTAGTTGATGCCATGATGGGGTTATCTTTAAGGATTTCATTTCTTTTGCAAGTGAATGTGAGATGTGGATCATAACTTGCTCTCTCTTTCTTTGTCAATATAAGATCTGAGATACTTGAGTGCTGTCGTTTTCTTTGGTGGTTGGCTTATTTGTGTAAGGTGATACTTTCCACATAATGTTAGGAAGTTTTTTAAATACTACTTTTTATTGTTTTTTAGTCTTTTACTTGCTTAACATAATCTTTCAAATCAAAGAGCCACCATGGGGAAGTGGGACTGATTTGGACCCTTCACCGAGCAGACCTGAGTTAGACTTGGCCGTTCTGCCCAATCATGTAAGAGCCATATGGGTCGGAATGGGTATGAGCTTCATCTCCGGATCGAGCCATTTACTGCGCATTTAAGTTGCCCTCACCTTCCCCCTTCCCCCAAGACAGACCCAAAAAGCAAACTTTTCAAATCTGTTAAATGCTGTCCTTTTCTTCTTTATCCTGTTGCACCTCTTTTCTACGAATATGGGCTTCTCTGGTATGGGATGGGGTAATATAGTTCTGCCTTTTCTATCGTCAGACATATTTGTTTCATATTCCTTTGGTACAGACACCATCTCCTGTTGGACTATGGGTTTCCTACCATTTTTGGTTCCTGTGCATAGAGATTTAATGTGCATTAATTTATAACCGTTTGTTTCTTGGTTGAGGTCCTCTTATATGATAATGTCTGTGTTGGTAACCCTTCCTGTCCTTTCCTCTTGTTGTTTTCAATTTTCACCATCTGTATCTTTCTATGTCCTACAGTCGGGAATTTACTCATCGTGTGAAGTCTGTATCTATGGCAAAGTTTACTTCTCAAGAAGTTGAAGCACTTCAAAATGGAGGTAATCAGGTACTACAATGCTAAACTTTCCTCTTCTTCAAATAATTGGAGATAGATACTTCTCTACGTAGCTTATGATTTCCTCTTTTTACAGCGTGCCCGAGAAATGTATTTGAAAAACTGGGACTATCAACGGCAGAGACTTCCTGACAGCAGGTGTAAAATATATAATTTGCTTCTGTTAATGTTTATTATAGAGATTCAGGATACATGGGTTCGTTTTTTTTTTACTTAAACAGCGATAGTATTTAATAACCATAAATTCGTGTGGTTGTTTTGATTTTAAAGCAATGCTGATAGAGTCCGGGAATTTATAAAACATGTTTATGTGCAAAAGAAATATGCTGGAGTGAATCCTTCGAACGAGCCTCCTAGCGAGAGTCAGGCAAGAAAATCTTACCTCTTATGCACCAATTTACAAATTTCTTGATATCTTTGCTCGAATTTTGGATTATAGTTTTTATGTCCAACTATGGAAATGTTTTTCAAAATGCATCAGAGTTACATGATATTTTTTTTCCTTAGATTTACCCGGTACTTTTTGTTACTTAAAAAATAAAATTTTAAAAATCTGCCTAATGCCTATGATATTATTAATTTAAGCTCATCAAATTGGCGTTGAAGCAAAAACAGCTATGTGATTCTTATTGTAAATGACTATTCTTATGATTAGTTTTGACATGCTTCATCTCCAACCTCAAGTAGTCATACAACTAATTATGATATAATTGACAGACCCATGGAAGTTCTGAAATTGTGACACGACGTTCTGAGTCATATCATTCCTACTCCCAAAGCCCTCCTTATGATTATCAGTACGAGGAGCGCCGATATGGAAAACTACCCTTGGGACTCACCAACAGGTCTGCTTCAGAAAGGGGTCTTCATGCTAAAGCTGCTAGTTTTGCATTTAGCCCTGGACGCTTTCGTGATCATACGTTCGAGGACCAGTTTCGAAATGAGGGCTCTGCTCCAAGGGCTTCAGATTTCTCCGTGTCTAGCGGAGGAGATCCTTTCAGGTCTGAAACAGAGTCCCCAAATTTTCAGAAGGAAGTTGGATTTAGCAGTCCGAGGTTTCAACATTCAAAGGGCCCTTCGAGTGAAAATCTTCAACGCACTGCAAACTTATTTCCAGACGGGCAGCATCAGGTAATATGTTTCTTAAGAACTAAAAGGTGAAATGGTTTCTGATGCTGCTAAATAGAGATATATTGTTCTATCTTGCTAAAAGAGTTGTTTTGAAAGTCATCGAGCTCATATCAGAAGTATATATTGCTTTGCTCCAGATTTTCTTAGGTGTCTTAACCTTTGCATATGTTTTTCTTTAACTTGCCACTCTCTGGAATTTGATATTTCCCCACTCAGAGAACTACATCATTCGGAAGTGTCAGATCATTTGACAGCAATTCCATGTCTGTCAAGTCATGTAACTCCGGCGGCGTAGCGGATGGAGTAACTGAAATTGACCAAAGTACAGGAAGTCATCAAGACAAAACGTCACCTCCTGCTCCATCATCAACATACGGAGGATTGGATCTTTTTGGTCCATCAGTTTCTCAAGAAGTAGACATAACAAACACTCCTTCCATTGATTTGTTTCAGTTGCCCGGGGCACCTGTGGCTCATTCTGTCAATACATTCCAACCTTCTGCAGCAGCTCAATCTCCACCTGTGAATTCATATCAACCTTCCAATGCATATCCTTCCGCATCTACAGAATTGTTTGCTGGGATTGTGGATCATCAAGCTACTTTAAAACCAGACATTTCTGTTCCAAATAATGAAGGATGGGCTACTTTTGACATCCCTGTACCTGCTGCTAAACCTACTACTGGAAACTTTACCTCCTCTGGATTTTCTCAGCTTGATAATTCTTCTGTGAAAATTGAAGGAATCTCACAACCGAGCTCAAGCATGCAGTGGCCACTATTTCCATCTAGTGCCAACCAGCCTGCTCTGTCAGTGCCTGGTCCATGGCATGAAGATTTATGTGGTGGTTCAGGCACTGCAGTTTTAGCACCCAACTCGGTTAGCTTCTTTACTATTCAATCTGTCATTTCAATTGCACTAGTAATGATTGTTTGTGTCACCTCATGGGCATTTACACCTCTTTATAGACATTATAGTGTAATTTCTCCTAAGCATGGAAAATGTGGTGGTGCTGCTAGTCTTTGTTTGCATGAATATCCATCAGGCAAGATCTGATCTGACAAGTTAAACACTGTAACTGCTTGTGCCCAAGATAATATCATGATGCCAAGATCCGAAAATACATTCATAGGATAGGTATGGCAGACTAATTCCTGCTCATTCTCTGTGAACAGCAATGGAATGCCTTTGACCACTCTATTAAGGACATTCCTTTCGGCTGCGCGAACCAGGTTGGTGAACCGGCAGATGGAGCAAATAATTCATCTTCCAAGGTTGATCAACAACATTTGGACCTACAACAAGTTGTAGAGGTTGTTGCATTTTTCTTTTTCTTTTTATGCAATTGAGAGTTTATATAACTTTTTCCCGTTATTCATCTTTGACAACATTATGCCCCAGGCCTCCAGCAATGATGGAATCCAGCCGACCAAAATCCATGATGATCCTTCTGGTTTTGGTTTTCCGGGGAACATTGTTCCAGCACCATTTTACCCTCTATCTTTGGAGCCAGTGATGGTTTGCACTTGATATTTCTTCTCCAGCCTTCTTCAATCATGTCAATCAGTGACTAATGCCTTGCATCATTTGCAGGAAGAACCTTGGCCGCTTGCAAATGATCACAATTCAAGTAATCCATTTGATCTTCCTTATGATTCGGAGTTGGAGCCCGACAATATGGTATGTAGAGTTCTGCCCTTGTACACTTTACAGTCACCTCTATAGTCTGATTGTTTGTAGGATGTTGCCTGAGATATTTGTTATTTGACAGACACTTTCGCTTATGGTTCATAATTATGACCATTTCTGCGAAATTCTTTTACTAACTTGAGATACATAGTGTTAGACCATGTTTTCATGGCAATACAATATGGATGTGGGTGTGCTGCACAGGTTTTCAGCTGACAACAGGTTTCCAGCAAAAACTTAGTGGTCTAATTAAAATCTGGCTGGGCTTGTCAAAATGTGAAATATTTTATTTGCCGAGGGAGTGATACATTTTTTCCATTATATAGGGTGGGGAAGTGGCAGTTGTTGGTTGTCATGATCAGAGATGTTCGCATAACTTCGAATCCTGTCCACAGGAATTCCCAAATGATGTCTTGTCGTTGAAACATTCCATTTCAGTGTGTTGCTATTATTTATGTTCATTTGGTTTTTCCTATACGATTGTCAATGTCGGGGTGGTGTTTCATACATGTTGCTGTTAGGATTACCTCTTAGAAGAAAGGAAGTAAATGACTTTTCTGTAGCTTAGAGTTCATTACATGTATAAAGAGTGTTAATGGAATTGATTCTTCAACGGTAAATATAAATTGTGCTCAGTGTAGACACCGGCATTTCCACGTATATCTAGGAATCTTTTGATGTTTCAAAACAAATATGAGTTTGATCGCCTCTCCCTTATGTGTAACACCAGTTCTTGGACATGAGCTCCTTGCACACGGCATTACCCAGTATCCAGCCACCAGCAACCTTCCATTCTGGTGTAAACCAGCCATGGTTCGCTGCAGATTTCGAAGCCTCGTATCCACCTCCTCCAGCAGCAGCTCAAGGTAACATTAAGTTACCGATGTTCCAAGAGCTTACATTAATGAAACCGGTTCAAGAAAATCACCTTTTTCACTGTGCTGCGTTAAATGTTTGCATAGACAAGCATTTTGTCTTCTCCCCAGTTTCAGTATAGCAAATTCAAGTTGTTTATATCTTTGGTATTTGCATGAGGATTGAGTCCAAAAACATCAAGAATGAAACTCTTTTGTTTGGGGGCAGACTACAAAAGTGTTTGTTTTATTTTACGACTGAAAAATCGGGCAAAAGGAGGTGTTATTAGTGATTGTTTGTTTATTATTTAGGCCGAGAACGACTCCTGTGTGGGCTATATCCATATCGTCTTTCATTTGTGTCGGTTGTTGCTTATTTTTCTTGAAATATTGATGTAGGTGGCTTAACCTACATGACGGGGCAAGCATCAACATCTCAGTTACAGTAAGTTCACAATTCCATGTTCTTTCACATGTGATGCTGTCATTGGTTTAATGTCTCTTCACAGGTTTGACAACCTTAACAAATTCTTGACATTCCCAAATCACAGGCACATACTTTCATGGAAACCATTGTATAGGCTTTATTATGTAGACAACGCCAACATTTTTGTCTCTGCATGCTTCCCGACGTGATTTTAGTCTGGTGATGAGCCTATTGAATCTGAACTATGCAGAGACTTGATTCGCACGTCGTTCCCTAAACCTTAAATCCTAGATCCGTATAGCTATCCATTAAGTATTATGTATCATTCAAGTGATAAGAATCTTTTTTCTTGTACAATGACTTGATTCGTAACTCATTTCCTTTCTTTTGAGTCTTTTTCATGCGTGATTAGAATCTTTTCTCGTCTAACGATGTAACGTTCGATCTTTCCCTCTAACGGAGCTTACTTCTCATTTTCGTGTATCTTGTAGGAACACGGCGGCACAAGAGCCTGTTGCTTCCATTGGAGGTAACCCATTTGCTTAGAAAATCCTTTCGAAATCACTAAGCCTTTCCCACGAGCTTAAGCTCATTGATTATATCAATCGTTATGCATTCCCTTTTGTTTAGAAGCAAAAAAACCGTCATTCTGTGAATAAAGAAAGCGTTTGTGCGTGTGTTTGAGAATGGGCATCGGCTATTGCGTTTCCTTGTGGTCGGGACTTGTTCATGACCAGCATTCACCACATGTCAGTTGAATTGTTTGTATTGTAGCTTCTTTTATTATGTCTGTGTATTGCAAGCGAAAGTTCTACAGTTTTCGTGTTGCCAAGATTACACCAAGGCGGTCCATTTATGTCGCAAGCAAAAAGAGGCATCTCACCGAAGGTATACCGGTTGGAAACCGAAGGTATGGATACCGGTTTACCCCGGACCGAACTTTACACTGGTTATTGAAATTTAGCTATGAAACGGAATCTCCTCGCGTCCTGTTCTTCTACTGGTTAACGTGAGAAGTCTTCACCCTAAAAGGGATTTTGCATAATTTGAGATTATTACCGTATGGTTTTTTTATTTAATACCAAATCTTTTAGAATTATCACTCCAAATCTTACAGTATTTGATTAAAATTAAACTCTAGTGGTTCCTAAACTCACGTGGGTTTCTGGAAAAAAAAAATTTCGTGAAACAGCAGTAGAACTTATGGATTATGACCGAGACTCCCTCCATCCACTTAAATTACCAATTTGTCCTCCATGATGTCACTGTGGTCTCGGACTCGATGTCTAGTTTAGTAAATTTCTTGTTCCCTAACATGAAAATACCGCTGACCACGAAAATACTGCGGGCTCTGTCTCTGTGTGTGATATATATATATATATATATATATATATAACACTGTGGGCTCTGTCTGTGCGTGTTTGTTTAATTCATAGTTATACACACCTATATATAATTGATTCATATTAATTTTATATGAAATAATTAAAATTAATATTAGTGGTATTACATTACGTAAGTATTACCAACATAAGTTTATCGATATATATGTCCACATACAAATATATCTTGCGCATATATCAGATAATTTCTATTTAAACAGTGTAATGGTATCGTTATAAAGAACAATTTCAATAACACAATTTTGAAGTAATTGATGAAAACATTTTATTAAATATCAATAAACGTTATATTATTTACACTCCATTAAAACGACAACCCAAAAACTCCTAATAAAATCGTCCTCGTATTTATACTCGTATTCTGAAACGGTGAAGAATCACAATTCTAAACGAATCTTATTACATATTTCACCCACGGAACACACACTCTCTCTCTCTCTCTCTCTCTCTCTCTCTCCAGAAACCAAACCACTGTTTGCAGGTACTTTGTTTCTCGCTCGTCCACAATCAACTTGTCAAAATCACAACAATTAGTGCCTCAACACTCGGAAGAATCCGACAAATCCGTACTCAGGGTTTCAATTTTAGCCTCATAAATCTTGATCTATATACTTCTTGTGGGTACCCATCTCGTGATTCTTTGTGGGTCTGGCGATCCAACTGTATATTTCGTAGTTCTCTACTCGTGATCGCCTTTAGACGCATCTCTTCAATCTGCTCCTGCATGGGATTTTGATTTATCCAACTTTGCCTTCTCTTAATTGTGCTTCCGAATCCGCTTGTCGGAATTCCGATGATTTAGTGTCCATTGCTGTGGACAAATCCAGTAAAATTCGTCTCTAAGTTCAGTTTATTCTACAAATCTGCGGATATTTTCAATTTTAATTATGTGGGTACCCATGAAGTGATTATCTTGATCTTGTTAGATCTCTTGAATCTGTCCTTCAGTGGAGCTGATTCATAGACTTAGGGCTTAAACCATTGATATTCGGACCCTGTTTTTGGTTTCTGTTTGATCCGTAGAACATACAACGTTATCTGCAGCTTTAGGTCTTGTCTCAGAAATTAGGGCAATAAGAGAAACAGAATGATCGATGACTAAGCCCATGGATGTATTGTGTGTGATCTAACTGAACAACATCGTTATCTAGACATATAGATTCTGTCGAGAAGATTTCACCTGTCTGTAGAAGCAATGGCGCAAGAAGCGAATGGATTCAGACTGGAACAGAGGCACGGGAAGGCGAGGGTGAGGCTCGGAAGAGTATGGCGCCGAACTCGTGATGGATCTCATCACTTTGTTGAATGGAATGTCAGTATCAGCCTTCTCTCGCATTGCCTCTCCTCCTACCTCAGCGACGACAACTCCGAAATCGTCGCAACTGATACCATGAAGAATACCGTAAGCGAATTCTTTCCCCATTCATGTATTATCACGGCTCGTAATCTATCGACCTGCTTGATTGTAGCACTTGCTGCAATTAAGTCACATAGATCGAAAAATTCGTATAGACTCGAATATATATATGTGACAGTTCTCTATATTCAAATGCAGGTTTATGCGAAAGCTAAAGAATGCGTCGAGCGGGTTTCTGCAGAGGAATTTGCTATTTATATCGGTAAACACTTCTGCTCCTTCTATCCACAGGTATGCACAATTAACATAATTCCACCCAAGAATTAAACTAACGTATACGTATAAGCTTTTCGTGTTATTTTTATAACGCGACATTGCCTGAATCAGTTTAACATTATACGGGTTTTATCTCGCTGCCTTCTCTGCTTCTCGACGAATGAATCTCTTTCTTTGTCCTAAACCAGGTTTTCACCGCCATGGTTAACGTTACTGAAAAGCCTTGGGAGCGTGTAACCGTAGACGGAAAGCCGCATATACATGGTGGGTTTCTTGATTTGAATGAAACAATCGATTAATTTCTACTTTGATCGTTTTCTCAATCGTTACTTCGTTGAAGGTTTTAAGCTCGGATCGGAGAAGCATACGGCCAAGGCAGTAGTACAAAAGTCGGGTGCACTGAAATTAACGTCTGGTATTGAAGGACTGGCTCTGCTTAAGACAACCAAGGTAAAGCACATACCGTTTTTGCAGTTATATTTTATAAAAGGAGATCTATGTAAGCCCTAATAGTTGATTGGATTCACACCAAGGTTTTTTTATGGTAATGAACAGTCAGGGTTTGAGGGTTTTGTCCGAGACAAATACACCGTTCTTCCCGAGACTCGAGAAAGAATGCTTGCAACGGAAGTCAGCGCATCGTGGAGGTAAGTTTTCGTTACAATTTTTACGATCATTATATTTACGCCGGCTCATGTAAATGCATATGGGATGGATACAGGTATTCATACGAGTCGGTTTCAACCGTTCCGAGAGAGAAACTTTACTTTGCCGAGAAGTTTTTGGAAGTAAAGAAAGTTGTGACGGAAACCTTCTTCGGCCAACCAGAAGTCGGTGTGTACAGCCCGTCGGTCCAACGTACTCTATACCTTATGGGAACCGCCGTGCTGAAGAGGTATCTTCTTCTTTAACAACGTCTTTCTGTTAGCTGTCACGACATTTTCGGGAAAATTTTTCGAGATTGAGTGGGTGATCTTTTGTCAGGTTCATCGACGTATCGTGGATTCACCTGAAAATGCCGAACATCCATTTTTTACCTGTAAATCTCTCGAGCAAGGAAAACCCTCCAATAGTGAAGGTGAGAGTCATCAACTCTTGAATGGTTTGTATACATGATTATTTTCCAAGAAAAAGAAGATATCGTCACAAGCCTGTAGCTCGGGGAAAACCCCGAAATTTGAGTAGAGTACCCGATCAAAATGGATTCAAGATCGGATAATATCTCGCGAGATCTGAGATGTTTGGGTTTAGATTTAGATCGGGTATCAACCCGTGTCCACCCCTACCCCTCTCGCCTGTTTTCCACTGTGCTGCAAGCTCTTAAAAAGGTCGAGCTTTAGCATAATCATCGGTTTGGTTTTAACGATAACGACGGGTTTTGCAGTTCGAAGACGACGTGTATCTACCGACGGACGAACCCCACGGGTCGATAGAAGCAACGTTGAGCCGTCTAACCTCGAAAATGTGACAGAGAGAGAGTGAACTCTTGCTTACGTATATGAATATGTCACTCAGTTTAACTCATCACTTGGACCTTTTCTGGGTTTGCTGGTTCTTGTCTGAATAAAAGGGCCGCCTCTTTCGTCACGTGACATTTAGAGTGGCTCTGTGTTGTACGGATATGTGATATAATATTGTATCAAAGTTTTCAATATAGGATCTGGTTTTTCTTGGCATTGTAGTTGTAGATGACCTCGAACCTGATTAATTTTCTTTCATTTTATTCAATTATAGAACAATAAATTACATCTACAAATCTGCATGCTTCAAGCCTTCAACTGTAAAGGATTCCATTTTTATATATTTTGATCTGGTAAATATTTTATATATAAAAAAAAGAAAGAACATATCTATTGGCTTATAAGCTTTGTTTTATTCACTACATGATGTATAAAAATATTTTATTTGTTAAAATATGGACATGTTATATTTATTTATTTATTTTGTAATGTACCAATAAAAAGTAGGGCTTCTGACACACCATAACTCGGGATCCAAACGGTGAAGCACTGAAGAGAGTAACGATCGTTCTTGAAGACGGCAAAATCTAAGGTATTCGCTTTCTCTTTCATTCTATGTTTCGAACCCCCCTTCGATTCACATGTTTTTTTTTTCCCTGGATTTTGATTTGCTGAACCCAGTAGAAAATGAAGGTTTTTCGATGATTGGCGTAATCTCAGTTGTTGTCGATTTCGTTCTCTCTATGCCTGAATTTTGGAACAGGAACATGCTTTTATCTTGATGTTCTGTAATGGATTCAGGGCTCTTTTGTTCTAACAGGAACATGTTTTTATCTTGATGTTCGAATCCATCTTGGGCCAAACTTTACCCAAAAAAAACGGAGATTAGATACAGAGCTGGAGAACAAATTTGTTTTTTTTCCCCTTGAATCTTATTCGCATTTGAGCTCTGTGGTCTTTGCTTAGTCTGGCTATGTCATTTTACGAGTTTTTATCAGATTTGGTTCTTTTTTGGAGTTGAGGGTTTGAATGTGTGAATGTGTGAATGTCTGAAATGTTTCTTGCATGAGGTTGCTCAGAAGCTGTTCGAGGAAATTTCAGACAGAATGTTCACATTAGCTTTTTGGCTTTTCGCTTTCCTTTATTGATTGGGATTCCTCCTGTAGAGCTTCTTGTAGAAGTTACAGAGAGAAATTGTATGATCGCATCTGTCGCTGCATGATATCGATTTGCTGGTTATCCACAATCCTATCGTATCATCATCCTTTTGTAAATGTCGGTTCCATCTTGATAATGATTAGATTGTGATCGAAAGGAGACAGGGTGAATGGGAAGACCAGAGAAATTGTATTGGATCCGTGATTTTGTTGTCAAATCTCTTTACAAATCCCAGTTTGACTTTAACATTTTCAGACCAAAATCCGAGAAGAAGAAGAAGAAGCAATGGTGATGAAATGCTGAAGCTGCAATCGAGTGGGAAGACAATATTATCAAGTATCTGTTACCGTAGAAAGGCAAGTAAACAACATCTCTTCTCTTCTCTGGTTTGATTAGTAACCGGCATAATCATTTTGTCTTGATGTCTCCACAGATGTCGACCTGTTCTTACTACACCTTCGGGCCCTACAAAATTGATCCCCGGGAAGTGTTCTACGCTACCCGTCTCTCCTACGCCATGGTTAATCTCCGCCCTCTTCTTCCCGGTATACCCTTTTGTTTCCCCGTGACTTGCGTTTTCTTTTAGACATCCCCCAGTCTTTTCCTTCTCATGCCCCTTCCTCTCTTTTGCAGGTCATATCCTTTTTCGGCTCCTTGCTTTTGTCTTTTTAGATTTCCTTTAGATTAGTTATTGCATTATAAGATTTGGGTGACTTGACCACATGAGCACATGTTCTCGTCTGTCCAAGGCACCATGTTCAGCGTTTTGTCGATCTCACAGCCGACGAGACCAGCGATTTATGGCTTACCGCACAAAAAGTCGGCTCTCGGCTTGAAACCTTCCATAAAGCATCCTCCCTCACTTTTGCTATCCAAGTAAACTTCTCTTTGCAATTACATTTATTGGTGTGGTGTTTGATAAACTTTGCCTTCACCTTATCATATAAATGACGGAATTTGAGGCGAGAACTGATTCTGGATGTTTTGTCACTCGGTGTAGGACGGCCCTCAAGCGGGGCAGACAGTTCCCCATGTTCATATTCACGTCTTGCCTCGTAAAGGCGGCGATTTTGAGAAGAATGACGAGATATATGACGCAGTAAGATTTGATTATAACCCCATCATTAGTTTCTCGCCTTCGTGGAGCTGAATCATCCTGGCTTACGAAATCTGTTGTGTGATTTTAGATAGACGAGAAGGAGAAGGAACTGAAGCAGAAGCTTGATCTCGACAAGGAGAGAACTGACAGGAGCCTCGAGGAGATGGCTAATGAATCCGACGGTTACCGGCCTCTTTTCGATCAGTAGCCAGGCCAGACCAGACCGGTTACTATTACCACTGGTCCAAAGATCTTTTGGAGACAGAGAGGTTTATGCTATTGAATCTGAATTTGGTATTGTTCCTTTAATTTGATGCACCAATTGAGTTGAGAGACGCAGATGCAGGGATCGTTTGGTTATGGGCTTAGCAATATCCTCCTCCTAATCTTAGATTTCATGGCCCTCAGGTTAAAGATAGAGATGTAAAAGGGGTTATCGTTAATTTTAGAATAAGATCAAGTAAGGGTTGGTTATATTACTTCAACTTAAAAAAACCAAACCGGGATCAATTACGTTAACTTAAAAAGGGACCTTTTGTTTCACAAGGCTGTCGGCGAATTTTACTCCGGTTTCCAAACAGATTAAAACCGGAACTAAACTAAACCGATACACAAATACCGAACCAAATCTGGAACATCTAACCCCTGGTTTGGTTAACATCGGATTCAGACTAATTTATTTCTAAAACAAAGAAATTTTCGGATTCGCATAGTTCGTTTCGATAATTCGATGTCGGTTCAGTTTGGTTCAAGTTAATTCGGACAGTGAGATATTAAATTAGATTGCAAAACCAAACTAAACTGGATTAGTTATGTTTTAGCTGTGCATAGTCGTACCGTACGACGACTGAAGTCAACGGGAAGAGGTTTTCCTTCTTTCCTTGCCGGGGAAGGAAGAAGAAGAGTCTACGGATCAAATAATAATAATATTCCGGCGACCCAAAATCGAAACGAACTTTAAATCAGATAAAGATGATTTTTCCACCTCAAAAGGTGAAGTGGCGAAAGCTTTCACCAAAAAAAAAAATAAATAAATAAAAAACACATAAAGGACTTTATTTTCCAAATCAACAAAGAATGATAATTTAGTCGGAGTCTACGACATAGATAACGAACGCTTAATTAAAGTCTTTCTTTTACTTGTTCATTTTCTTAATAGTTTACATCTCTAGTTTTTATAAATGCTATATTATATTAGATTTTATTTTATTTGAAATTTTTAGTTTTTAAAAAACTATGTTTATTCAATTTTATATTATTTTAGTTTAATTTAAGTTATATTCATTAGTTTGAATTCAATGTTTAATAAAAATAATTTTTATAATGAAATTTTCGTTTTTTTATAATTTCATGTTCAATTCGATCCTAATTTTGTGTAAAAAATTATTTTCGATCAACTTAAAAATGAAATTCAATTATAATAAAACCCGAAAGATTCGGGTTTTGGGGTTCGGAATTTTCGTCAGACAACACGACGACGACGACGACAATAATAATAATAACCGAACATTTTCTCCGATAGTGCATAGAGATTGTGCCAAAGGATAATGTTATACCGACAGTCCATTTTATGCAATTTAATGCAAAAATAAAATTTTCATAACAGATCATATGGTAAGGGAACCATGTCGCATCAAATATGGTTTCTGGATATAACATTTACAAGATTTGAACAAGAACAGAAGCTTGGACGAGAACTGGTAGATTGTTAACAGATATCATCGAGCTTTTGATCTCATATCAGTAAGAGGGTTTGATTCAGACATGAAATTCTTCTTGTTCATTCTCAGAAGACCGGAATCTTCTTCATCGAAACCAATCCTGGTTCAGCAAGAGCGGATGCGTAGAGATACGCTTCTTCGGATCTCGGGTTTTTTTTTTCCGGATACGTCGTTGTTCAGATACGTTCTTCGGAAGTTTGGGGATGAGAAAGGGAAGCAAGATTAGATTCCAAGATATGGTTGCTCCCGAAATTAGGTTCCAGCCCTTTAAACCCCGCAACTTCGGGTGAAATGCTCACTTTTTCGGATATAACACCCAACACATTACACTTTGAAGCTGCCTCCGTTTCATCGAGCCTCACCGTCCTCGGGACCAAAATGTACTTTCCCACGTGCATTTCCTCGAAACCGGTAGACTCTCTCGGATGCTTTCCGAGAATCGGAGATCCACGGTTTTCCAAACCGCAACTGGTTGACGGAGATAAGAGATTACCATTTGAAACAGAGAGAGACGGATCTTGCATCGTCGGCCTGCAAGTTAAGTACGAGGATGGCAAGAACTGAAAGGGTATGTTCGGAGGGAATCCGCCTCCGAGAAACCCTAGCATTGGAGTAGGAAAAAGCTGAATACGACTCGTGTTTCCGCCATTTTCTGCAGCGATACCGCTCAAACCAGCATTCATAGGAAAGCTCCATGGAGGAAAAGGGTAAAAAGGAAGTGAGCCCTGTGGAGTAGCTTGTTCTTTTGTCAGAACGTTGACTGTTAAATCGTGACTACGATTACCCGGAGTTGCCGATGCAGAAGCCCGAGAATCAGACTGCTCGGGTTCATGCCCTCCAATACCCGCAGTTTTTACATTCTTCTGACCTCCGAGCTGTAGCATTGTTTCCATGGATTCACAAACCGGTGGTTCAGTGTCAAACTTAAGAACTATCCCGCTTCCGACAGGAGAAGCAATCTGGTTATTCACTGAATCGGTCGTCTCGATCTTGGTTATCGGATTTCCACCCGGAGATACAAGAATCTGACGGTACTGAGAGGAGAACTGCTTGTTCTTGCGGCGTCCAGCACCGACAGGAACGTTTCTCATCATCCCGCCGGCCGTCCAATATCTCTGGCAGTCCTTGCAAAAGTGCCTCGGCTGGTTTACGTTGTAGTTGTTGAAGTAACAAAACTTCGTGTCTAAACTGTTACACCGCGGACACGGAATGATCTTGTCCGGTTTCTTGAAAGCTTTCTCCTGTTCTTCCTGCTCTGTCCCACCAGCCTCGCTCTGCTCCTCTTTGGACTTAAACTTCACAATTTCACCATTTGATTCTCCACAAACTTTATGTTCCTCTTTCGAATTCGATAATCCCAAGTAAAAATCCGGATTTTTTACTGCATCTGTAATCTCCTGAAATCCAGACAAGATGGTAAAATTCATCATCTGTGTCAAACATGATTATGCCATAACAAAGCAAATACATGAAAAATCAAATTTAATGCATAACATAAGAGCAGATATGAATGTAGATACAGAGATACAAGCAACCCAGTTGATATGCTCAGAAATTAGGTGGATAGGTCACATCACAGTCTCTCAACAAAGAGATAAAAGACGTGGCCCGCCACTCAGGACCTAACCAAGTACCATTAGAAAATTTCTTGGGCATCAATCAATGATTATAATGATTAAGTTTCCATAGAAGGGGAGCAATAGGATTTTATCCACATACGGAAACTGGACCATATGGCATTGAATCAGGCAAATTCTAATTCTGGCAAAAGAGAGCTTTGTAGCTAAAATCTTTGGCAAAAGCTTTCACTTCAAACCCTAAAACGACATCGTTCTCTAAACCCCCGAAAACAACCGCATCATTGGCATCAAACCAACATTTTCCCGAGAAACAATCAGAAAATGCGAGAAATTCAGCAGTCACTGCAGCAAGAACTTCGCAATCAAGCGTTCGCCTTTTTTTTGCACCAAGTAAACACCCACCCACCTAGTAAAAATCATCATACACGTATAATATCATAATATACATAAAAACGTACGTATATGCATGTAGTTTTGCATATAAAAAGATGGTGGTTGACGAAAAACTGGACGTACAGAGGATATGGGTTTGGTCGGAATCTGAGATTCCGGCAACGGAATCTTTCTCCCGAACAGCTTGATGGCCGGATCTCTGCGCTTGAGCGAATCACAACCGTCCATTTCTCTCTGAAAATTTCCTCTAAGAACAGGTCGACGATGATGATTTTCTTTTTGTGGGTCACTTGCCAGAAGATGAATATTGTGCTGAAGAACACGAAGAAAACAGATTAAGGCATAAAAAGAACCCGAAATGCGAAATCTTTCCAACGAAAAAGAAGAAAAGAAAAAAAGGGAAACGAGAAACGAAAAGAAAGCGAAAGAAAATTTTCTCTTCAACGCAAAAAAAAAAAGCGGAGCTTTCTGAAAGGAAAAAAAGGAGGGAAAAGGAGAAATTTTTTTTCTCTCTTGGGAAAGAGATGAAGAGATGCCACTTTTTTCCGCTCACTAAAACCCACAAAAAAACCTCAGAAACAGAAATTGATTTGATGGGAGAAAGAAAAAGAAATAAAAAGGCAAAAAGAACGTGAAGGATCAAAAGTACATCTTTTTCTCTTTCCTCTGCTTTTCTTTTTTTCGTTATTATTAATTTTCCTTGGGGAACGTTACAGTTCGCTTTTTTATATTGCACTAACGGTGTACATGCTCTACAGTTCTAAGCCTTTTTTTTTTTGGTGTGATTTTTTATATATTTTTTTATAAAGGGTACTTTTAAAATATTTAAAAACGAGTTATCTCGGTACGTAAACCGACTCGAGGTAAACTCATATGAGTTATTTACAATTTATAATTTTTTTAGATAACAAAAAAGGGATTCGTAGATTGTTGACTAGAATTTTTTAAGAATTTCTCAACAAATTATACATATATATATATTTGTTTTTTTTATCATAATTATATAAATCTGACCATGTGTATAAGTTATAACATGACTGCCATAGTTGATCGTCCTTGGATTCTTTGATGTTGGTCTTCTTGTTCTCTTTGTGCATTAAAACGTGTATATATATATATTTGTTTTTTTTTATCATAATTATTACTATTTGATAAAAATTTTGATAATTTTTTTTATATATAAATCTGACCATATGTACAAGTTATAACATGACTGCCATAGTTGGTCTTCCTTGGATTCTTTGATGTTGTTGGTCTTCTTGTTCTCTTTGTGCATTAAAACGTGTAGTCCATCGAACCGGTGACACCATTTGGTGTTCTTTTTGTAACCTCCTATAATTAACTAACATAATTTACAACATTAAATATTTGTTTGGCAGAAAAAAAATAGTTTGTGATGCTGAAAAGTATATCTGAAATTTCAGGAAAAAAAAAAGTAATTTCCATTCGAAATAGAATTCAGTGGTTTAGATTTGAGAAGGCTTTATAGTTTACTGGTTTAGCTTGTTTGCTCACCTCCAGGAAAATATATATATATATATATATATAATTGAATGCATGATTATGAAAAACAATTGAAGAACATTTACAAGATTGAAACTGAATGCATTTTCATAGGTTATGTGAAATTTAGGAAAGGAGACTAACCAGTTGTATGCAATAAGAGCAAAATGATTATACAACCAAAACCACACAAACTACATGGAAGAGTTTAAGAGTAATATTAGTCGTGGAAGGTTCTCAAGAGCTATTGTGAAGAAAGCACCAAGGACAAACATCACTGCAAATGCAATCAATATTTTGCCAATGTAAAGGCCTAACCTCTGCTTGGCCTCCGGTCTCGAACTCCTCCTTGTCAGCTCTGAATCATCGGAAACCTGTGACGCAAACCGTAAACATACGGAAAAAAATATGAACTAGTTTCCACCCATATCACCATACAATGTGGTTATAGTAAATGGATGAGAAAAAACAAGTGGAAAACAAAAGAAACAAGTGGATGAGAAAAACGGGGGTAGGAATCTTCAACAACTGACTAGAGAAGTTGTAGAAATAGATCCAAATCTCTGTACATAATGCGTCTTGCTAACGAGGCATTTAACCACAGTTCAGTCTATGTAATTCTTCTGGCTAGCCTAATGCAGAGCCATGAATGGTGCGGATTATTGTTTAAGGTATTCATCGGACGAAGATATGATTAATGCGAGGAAATAAAAAACCGGGTATTGGACGATTCATGGCACAAGTGTGATTTGTAACATCTACCCCAAATAATTGGGTCAACATCATTATGGACTCTATCATTTGATACTCAAAGATCCAGCTCCAATATGAGCCAAGCAAGAAAGAAGTTTCCTAATACACAAGTTTCCAAGTAGATGAGGTAGGGGAACTTCTTCTCACTAGGAGTTTTAGAAATTCAGGCTCAATCATTGATCACAATGCATTTTGCATTGTGACAAGATAAAACACATAGAAACCAGGCACATAACCTCATCCAATGTAATGAATGGAGCACAGGAAATTTACCGGTGATAAAGGAGGAAACTTCTTTGGTATTTGCCGAGAAACACCATCGCTATGCTCTGCTCCTGAATTCAGAAGGTTACAGAAAAATATCACCAAAAGAAATAACAGGAACCAAAAGGCAGAAAAGAAAAAGGTAGAGCTGCAGCTGCAGCATGCAAGCTGAAAACAAGATCCCTTCTCTTGTTTACTAAAATAACTATAAAATGAAAACAATATCATTGCAACCATCATTTCCGCCATTGAAAAACATCACAGTACCTATGCGGCCACCAACACCACAACCATAGCAATCGGTACTACCGCTATCAGATTTCAAGCGAACTTTACTAAAATAACTATCAAATGAAAATTCATATCTGCTCATCCTATAGAAAATAAAGAGAAACAAACAGAGGAAAGATACACGGCTCGAACAAGTTGCCATCTTGACATCATCATAATCCCTACTACTACTGTCTTAAGCACTACCAGATACTTATCCAAGTTCTTCTCCTTTTATTTTATTTTTTTTTTCTGGTTGAATGTGAATTCTATTAGCATAGTATCATCCTTACAGCTACAGAGATACACCTTAAAGATATTTACAAACCATCAAGAGGTCGAAAAAACAGTTCTGCATATTTTTTAGACCATACACAGAGGACACAAAACACATTCGACCACACATCATCTAAGTGTTTTCATGGATCGAGACAAGAACTTTTAAGAAAACCCTCCTCGGACACTCAAATGATTTGTTCAAAACATAAATGTATTGCCGAATCCACACGCTAAAAGCGAAGAGACAAGCATAGTTACCAGGATGAATTGTATCGGTTACTGTCTTTAACCTCCAATTATGCCCATAATCTACAAGATCCGCATGAGGCCCAAAGCTGATCGGTTCTTCACCTTCTTTGAAAGCTTCGATGTAAATCACACGGGGATTCACAAAACCCAGCTTCCTATTGATCAACGATACAGCGAATTCCGCCTTTGTTCCAGATGCAAATCGGTAGTTCCTACCAGAGATTTTACAGATAACCTCCACAAACTGTTAAGATTATACGTCAGAACGGATTCAGATGTCTGGAATTCGAGATTTCGGCAATCGACGTCGCAGGAAAACACAATATATATCAGGGCATGATCGAAACTGCAAAGAATCGCAGGAAAGCAAACGAGTCAGGGAAGCTTACCGGAGGCGGAGGTGGAGATGGAGATTGCGGAGAAGTGGTGGATGGGATTGCGTCCGCCATGGAAGATGGCCACGCTGACCTCGACCAGGAAGGCTTTTAGCTTCTGAGATCCGACTGTGTCAGAGGTGAAATTTATTAGAGTTTAAATCAGTGGATTTGAGGGGTTATATATTATATATATATATATATATTTTTAAAATATTAATGTTAAAAAAACTTTGGTTATTATCCAGGGGTGTAAAAGGATTCCCCCTTATGACAACGAGCCAGTACATAGTCGAATTTAGAATATTTAAAAAAAAAAAAAAACCCAAACGGTTCAGTTCATCACGAAACGGATTCGTGGTGAACCAGCCGGAACTGGCTCACAAAAAAATATATTTATTTAAATTTTTAATATTTTTATATATTGTTATATAAAAATTATATTTTTATTGGATATTTAGTTTGTTTTATTTAAAATTTAAATTTTTTTTAATTATATTTTAAAATTATATATTTAATTCGAAAATCGGTTCGTTAAGTTCATGGATTAAGGTTGAACTGGTTTATTTTTTACTTAGTTAAAAAATCGATTGGATTAGATGATAAAAATATTTTTAGATCAGAACAAGTCGGGTTTGACTCACACCCGTTTTACAAATATTGTCAGAGATAAAATAATGTATTTTCTATTTTTTAAAATTTATATAAATCCTTAATTCGATATCTTTTTAATATGCATTTTGAAGTGACACTATTTCTTTTTAAAAGTTTCCAAACTTTGTTAATTGAATAACAATACAAATATATAAATGCTAATTTTGAAAAGCACAAAATTTTAGTTGATTTTTTGAAATCATTAATTGAATAATAAAAACTTTGATTACTTTTTTTTAAAAATCTTTTACTAAATAGCTTTCCGAACTTCTCATCTCTCTCTATTTTCGACGTGTTAATCCCTCTTATTCAAAAAAAAAAAAATACCGTAACTGTAACGGAAGAGTTGTTCGGTACGATCAAGAAGGCCGAGCCTGCGAGGTTGTGGTCGGACACCCTGAAAAACTTGGGTAAAGAAAAAAGATACGGCTTACCACACAAAACTAGATCGTTTCAAACAGTTCCATATATGCATGAACTTTATAAGCTTAACCCGAGAATTCCTCGCAATTGCCAACAGCCAAAAAGAAAACGTCCCGAGAGTTTCCCCCCAAGTTCCATAATCCCTGACCAGAGACACCCGCATCGAAAAGAAAACATTCGTAGATCCATCTTCCCATTCATAGATTTAGCCTTTAGTAATGCCTACACAAGCCGACAAGGGGTGGAGTCGTGAAACAGAACATGACAAGGCAGAACCAAAGAGATACAGAACACCATCTCCGCAATCTCAGCAAGTGCTACATGGGGCGAACATACTAAAACCAAAAACTAACCTCGGGCAAGCAGCGGAAAATTAAGACCGGATGTGTCTGCTTAACCGGAGGCACCTCACCCAAATGTTGAAATGAGGAAATTCTTGTAGATGCTCATGAACTTGGCCACAAATGCTGCGGAAACAACATCAGACAAGACAAGAAACCGTTTAGGGATCCTGCAGTTCTTTGGAACCATTTTAGAAGGCCAGATTCTAAAGAGATTATATGATGCGTGTCATCGGGAATCAGCGAAAAGAGAGTTTTCTCTACCTTCTATGTGAAATATGGCTTTCTGACCAAGCCGCATCCTATGCTCCTGCGGAAGGATACCATAAATTTCATCAAGAACTCATCACATAAATAATATCTGCACCACCTTTTAGCTTTCTGAGGATTTAATCATGCATCATGTTCTTTCAACTAGAAAGTGGATGAGAAATTGACTTACATAATATGCAGCCCAGTGGCAAACTTCAAGCTTCAACTCCGAGTCCAGTTTCTTCAGCAATTCGTGAAGGAGTCTCTGAAGCACAAAAGAAGAAAACTATAATTGAGGGAGAGAAAGAAAAGGGAGAAAAACAAATGCAAAACAGCAAAAACATTGGATTTTGTTTTACCTTCAATATGACATCCGGTGGTATACAGTTAACTAGCAATTCATACACCTTTCCTCGCACCTGAAACAACCTAAGACATACAAAGGACACAGAAATCATGAGAGCCAGAAGTCAAAAACTTGTACGTTCATTAAGCGAAATTCGACAAAAGTTGCAATACCTTTTAGGGCTCTGCTCCTTCATCATGTCGGTTGCTATTTCAGCAACATATTCTTCCCAATCCATGGGAGGTATCTCTTGGTTACCCGTGAATGGATACCTACAAAGAAGACAAATAAAATATACAAATCAGAATGACGTAAAGCTATCAGAGAAAGGATCAAATGCATCAAAATGTATCATGGAGCTTACTTTTGAACACGACAAGTCTCAAATGCCAAAATAGCTCTCCTAAGACTGCGGTTTGACTTTTCGGCAATACGAGCAGCAAAGCCCTGGGGCATTTGCAGGCCTTCTTTCTTTGCAATGAACTCCAACACCTTAACTATCTGGAATAAGAGAATGTACACAACACATTGCTGAACAATATCTTCTACAACGGGGCAAATGAAGGCAGCAATAAAAATTATATTATCTTTCCCCATAGCAACTCCAGAATAACCTTTTGATCTTCGTAAATCATGTTAAATATACTCAGGCTTCGCAGACAGGATAATTACCATTTATCAATTAAGGTAAAGCGGACATGTTGAATGAACACACCTTTTATTCATAACAGATCATAAGGGCTGATCCAGACAGAAAAGCAGTTTTAAAATCACATATAAGATGACAACTCTTAAGTGACGAAATTATATCAGCTCTTTAGTATAGCATATCGCAAAAAGCCAGAGTAGTACCATCATGAGTCAAATTATATTTACCCAGAGAGTCAAGTCATATTTACATTTAATCAATTTCATTCGGGAAGTAAATTTACACCAAAATAACAACAATAAGAAAGAGGAAATAAATTTTGAACCTGTTCTTGAGAAGGTGCATTAATCCGAACATTCAGACATCTCGATCGAATGGCTTCTGTCACCTTGGACGAGCTGTTGCAGCATAAAATGAGACGACAAGAGGAGCTATATTTCTCCATTGTCCTCCGCAGAGAATGTTGCGCTTCTCTTGAGAGCTTGTCAACCTCATTTAGTACTAACACTGCCAAATCAGTATAAACAGGATAGGATCACAATTAGTCACTTCAGTGCATTCACCCAACCTCACTCTATGAAATGAAATTTGAACTAAAATCAGTAAATCCTGGAGGCTAATCTCAACCAAGAAACAATGTAATAGAAAAGAGATATTACCTTTATATCCCTTTTTCCCTTTAGTGTCAATTGGCCTATTCTTTGCCATTTCCTTAATTATCTCTTGAACGATATATCTGTCCTGAAAGCCTACATCACTAGGAGTGAGTTCCACATGGTTGGTGCTTGATAATGTAGTGAGCTCCAGCTCAATGGTTCTACTCCCTGCCTGTAATATTTTACAAATTTTTTTTAAAAAAAAAGAAAGAAAACCAAAAATGGTAAAACATATTAGGCCAAGGCCAACATACTGAGACAGCTATAAAATAGTTAATTGCCATGGAACCGATGTTGTTGGTTGTGAAGATGAATTCCGCAGCCAAAAGTTCTCAAGAAGCCAATGAGACTTAATATAGTTTAAAGAAGAAAACCGAAAACCAGGATGAAATCCCAGAAGAAGTTGACAATTATTCTACTAGTGCGAATCCAGAACATATAAGAGGATAGAAAAACAAGCTTTACACATCTAATACAGTAATAAAACAGATTTGGAAAACAAGAAGCAACTAATGTTGAAGTGCAAACAACATTAACATAAGACCAGATGCAACTCACATCAATCTTCCATGCCCTGTTCTCCACTTTCACCTGCAATCAAGTTGATGAAAAATGCATCTGTCACTGATAATGAATATGAACATCAAACTAATAAAACAGAGGTTAGCACAGTTCCACAAAGATCATAACTCTACGAAGTCAGGATGTGAAAATCATGAAACTTTTCAGCTCCAGTCACGAAGTCAATCACAATAAGCACCGTGCCAAAATCAACATACCCAAACAGCTTACTTTTATCCAAGAGCTGTAACTAGGGTTCAAAATTCGAAAACATTTAACTAAAAACTACGTAAGTGCTATCATAGAAGAAGAGAAAAATAGGAAAAGACCCAGGTCTCGAATTCTCGTGTTACACAAAATACTACTACATAATAGAGGGAAAGAGTCTCTGAAGCACAAAAGAAGAAAGGGTTTTCTTACCCGAACCAGACGGTCCGTAGAAGAGCAAATGCGGACAATCTTGCTCCATAACCTACGAGTTGAATCAAAATCGCAAAAAGGGTATCCGAATCAAGTCGAAACCCTATAAAAGAAGACTGACGAAAACCCTAGAAATGAATCGACTGCAGGAGAATACTAGAGCAATTTGCGTACCAGCTTCTTGAGGTTCTGGGCAATGTCCTCATGGACAATGACCTGATCTAGGGTTTTGGGTCTGTACTTGTCTACCCACAGCATCTTTGCTTCGCGACTGGTGGGTCGGAGAAGACGAACAATTAGGCGGGAAAGAGATTATGTGTTTGCGATGGGAGAAGGCTGTGGGATCATATGGGAGGGGTTTTGTACTTCAAGGTGTAATGTAAAAAAAAAATTAGATTACTGAAACTAAACAAACAAACAAATAAATAGACAGTATTACAAACAAAAAAAATAAGTAAATAAATTATACGCAAAACCAAAAACAAGTATCCAGATTTTTCGTATCTATTTATTTAGTAAACTTTCAAAGCTCTTATTTTGATACCTAAATTTTGCATATTTTATTTTTTAAAAATAAATTTCAATAAAATTATCAAAACGACTTTTCTTTGATGAATTACAATTACAAAAATCAAAACTACATTATTTGATGATTTTAAAAATATAGGTATCGAATTCAGATTTTTGAAAATATTGATATTGAAATAAAAATATTTAAATTGAGATATTACAATAACAAGATAACCATTTTCTAAATTTAAAAGATTTGACGTTTTAACTCATAAATGCATATTTTAACATTTTTAAATTTCCAATACTCGATAATATAGAATGGAATATTTAAAATTCGAATATTCGAAGAACCACAGCCACTACAAGAAAACACGAAAAGGGTGACACAAATTTTGCGTCACTAAAAAGGTGACGCAAAAGTGACGCAAAGGGTGACGCAACAAATGCGTCACCGGAGCGTCACTAAATAGTGACGCTTTTGTGACGCAAACTCAGCGTCACCCAATGGTGACGCAGTGATGAGGCAAAATTGCATCGCCAAATAACGCGCGGAAATATCGTCACCCGTTCGTTACCCTTTCGTCACCATTTGGTGACGCAATTGCGTCATTATATTATACTGACGCAATTTCATCACAAAAATGTTGGTGACGAAATTGCGTCATTAATAGTGACGCAATTGCGTCATTAATAGTGACGCAATTGCGTCATTGATAGTGACGCAATTGCGTCACTATTTTTTTTATTTAGTGACGCAATTGCGTCACTATATTTCCTTTAAACCACACACCACACTCATACACTCTTGCACCCGAAATATTTTATATATTTTTTGGTTTGTAAATTAATTATGTAGAACTTTAATTATATATTTAAATATAATAATATTTTTTTTTTATTTTTTTTTAATATAGTGACGCATATTAGTGACGCAATTGCGTCACTAATTTGGTGACGACGTGCGTCACTGCGTCACAAAATAGTAACGCAGTTGTTCACGCAATTTCGTCACTAATTTATGACGCAATTGCGTCACCAAAGCGCGTCAATAATTAGTGACGAAATTGCGTCACTAACTGGTGACGACTTTGGTGACGAAATTGCGTCACTAATTGGTGACGCAAGATGGTGACGCATAATGCGTCATATATTGGTGACGATTGGGTTACGCAATTGCGTCAAATTTCGTCGCCGTTGCGTAACCAATTAGTGACGAAATGTATGCGTCACCCCAGCGTCACCAAAGGTGACGAAATTGCAAATGGTGACGGTGCTATTGGTGACGCTTTTTTTGCGTCACTATTTCATCACCCTTTTAAAAGGGTGATGCAAAATCGCCCTATAGTGACGCAAAATTTGCGTCACCATTTTCGTGTTTTTTTGTAGTGAGAGGATATAGGTTTCGACGTGACAAATTATCGTAATCCTTGCAAATGGGTTCTAGTAGGGGTGGCAGTCGAAATTTAGGGTTACCCGAATTTGAATTCGAAGTCGAATTTTTTTTTAAGATTATCTGAATTCAGGTTATCGAGTATTCGTGAATAACTGAATTCGAATTTTAAAATCAAAATTTTAATAAAAATGTGAATATTTAAATAAAGGAAGGCTTACGACGCTCAAAAGCGAAAGATTGAATATTAGTAATTTAGGATTTATTTTTAAAGTAAGGGTAAAATAATAATTTATTTAATTATGGGTATCTGAGGGTAATTAACCGACTCAAAAATCATTTCCTAAATCCAAACCCAAAATTCGGATATTTCTAGTTTGTAGGGAACAAATGGATATTGGGTCACCTCCACGCCCACGGATTGTAGGGGGAACAAGTGATGGTGAAAGGTCGAAAATACCCTAGGCTTCATGAGATTTACGAAAAAACCTAGTCTTATATAACTATAGTGTTACGCATTTACAAAAAAAAAAAAAAAAAAACAATTTCCATATAAAATAACGATTCCGTATATAATTCCTTGCAGAGCTCACAGTATCGTTGTTGATTTTCTTAAAATTATTTATAAATTTATTATTTGCAAAATTCTGTAGGAATTGATATTTGCAAATTTGGTACGGATATTCTTGGTAATATTTAGATTAATTATTTTTAAAATTATTTTTTATTAAAAAAATAATACATTATTTTTATATTAATTTCCTAAAAATATTTATTTCAATATATTCATAATTATATATATATTGATTAATTTATTAAAAATTGTACCAAAACAACTCTTAAATTTGATCGAATTTAAATACAATTATAAATAAACAATATCCACTCCTCTCAGTCAAAATAATTCACTATTTGACAAGAAAAGGAAAAATGTTTCAAGAAAAAAAAACATGCAATTGGTTTTTTCCTTTTTTCCGCAGGAAAATATCCAATACAAAAAAGTTGAAATTTTTTTTAAAAAAAGGAGAAATAAAAATAAGAAAAGATATTTCGAAGCCGAAAGATGATCGCTCAAACTCAAACAATAAGGGATAAGCATATATAAATCGTCATTGAAGCCCCATTCACATTTTCTCTCCCTGAAAATTTTTCTCGGAAAATTAGGAAGAAAATTTCCCCTCTTTTTCCGTTCAATTGGATGGGAACTCTCATAAGCTTGAGCTCCGCCACCGCCGTTAGTGTGGGATTTCGATCGTTTGCCGCCTACAATAGCGGATTTCGGGAGAAGATTAAGATAAGCGAGCACAAAACGTTATCGCCATCATCATTATCGTCATCGTCATCGTCATCGTCATCGTCATGGAGGAGGATCTGTTTCTTGTGCATAGAGAAAAATGGTAGATTTAGGGATTTTGCTTGTGCTGTGAGGTGTTTAGGTAGTGACAACAATGGTGACAGAGACGATAATGGTGGTGAAGACGGAGGGTCGAAAGTCAAAACGGCGTCGCGTGAAGAAACAGAGGAGACGAGTACCAGTAGTAGCAGCAGCAGCCGTGAGTTCAGTTCAGAGAAGACACCTGCTTCTGTTTCTTCGAGGGTACGAAGTTGTCTGTTTTTGCCTTGAGACATTCTGATTCCTATGTTATTAAGAACTAGAGAACTGTTAACAGTTGCAAATATTAGTCTAGTGATTGCTGGGATAGGTTTGTTCTGGTCAACAGAACTTCCCAATCAATCACAATTTAAAAATTGATGATAGATTTTGTGCCTATTTCAGTTTTTACACAGGATGAACTTTTTTCTGGGCATTCCAAAAGCTATTAGCAAACCTTGACGAGGGTTTTCATCGTTCTTCTTGGTGATTCTGTTTACTCCTTAATTTCTGTGTTTTGAGCATTGAGCATTGAAAATTTTGGATTCCGTATCAGTAGGATATTCTGTCCGCAATTGGACTTGGTTCTCTTGATACTGTAGGCTGTTGTTTGAAGCGATATCGAAAAGCTTTAACTCAGAGTGCAGTTTGTGTTCGTCATCGAGAGTGTCTATCTGTACCTTAAAAACAGTTTGTTACGCTGTTTGCAATCTAGTCTGGATACTGATGTTCTTCGGCTGTAGTTTTTTGGCTTCCTTATCTGAGGACCTCTGATTCTTACAATCTTACTGACTTTGGAGTAACATACTCTAGCCGCTGAGGTTTTTCAAGACTATCGTTTCACAATTTATGTTACCAAGAATCTCATATTTGTAGCGTTTTTTCTTAGATAAAGTCAATACTGTTGTGTTTGAGTTAAGCTGTCTTTGATGTTTCTTCTCTTGCCTTGTATCATGCATATAAGACCCTTTCCGTACCCGGCAGACATGACATTGAGGTGCTAACTGTGTTGATTTTAGATTTTATGTATCTGACGACTCTGCAAGTGAGACTGATGAGATTACAGGCAAGTTTGCTGACAGAACTCTAACGCATGAAATGTTTCTTTTCTCAGCCATCAACTGTATCCCCTATTGACCCGACCTACAGCAGTTTCCAAGTGGACTCATTCAAGCTGATGGAGCTTCTTGGCCCAGAGAAAGTAGATCCTGGTGATGTCAAGTTAATCAAGGAAACGCTTTTTGGCTATTCGACGTTCTGGGTGACCAAAGAGGAGCCCTTTGGAGACCTCGGGGAGGGCATTCTTTTCCTCGGGAACTTGAGAGGAAAGAAGGAGGATGTTTTTGCCAAACTCCAGAGAAAGCTAGCTGAGGTTACTGGCGATAAATACAATTTGTTCATGATAGAGGAGCCTAACTCAGAAGGACCAGATCCTCGAGGTGGCCCACGTGTTAGCTTTGGTTTGCTCCGGAAAGAGGTCTCTGAGCCAGGACCGACAACTCTTTGGCAGTACGTGATTGCTCTAATATTGTTCCTTTTGACAATTGGCTCTTCCGTGGAGCTAGGAATTGCTTCTCAGGTACATTTTTACCCGGAAGCACCTTATCATCATGCCATTGATCCTTTTAGTACATCACCCTCCAGGATATAGTTAGGTGCAATAACAGCAAATGCTTGATTGAACAGATTAATCGACTTCCGCCTGAGGTGGTAAAGTATTTCACTGATCCAAATGCTGTTGAACCGCCTGATATGGAGCTTCTTTATCCTTTTGTTGAGTCTGCACTTCCTTTGGCATATGGTGTGTTGGGAATTCTTTTGTTTCATGTAAGTTCCTCTGTGTATCTTTCTTGATGATTGCCGATATTTCCTATAAACGCCTTGGACATCGCGCTTCAAACTCTGGATACAGCATGCATGTTTCCTTTGTGGAATGATAAAAAAATCTTGCATCTTGGTAAATATCAAATTTTTCTTGTTTTCTTTTCAATGTTTTCTAAAGAGTTTGTTTCTCAACCCATCTATCTACAGGAATTAGGGCATTTTCTTGCTGCAGTTCCAAAGAAAGTAAAGCTTAGCATTCCTTACTTCATTCCAAACATTACACTTGGCAGCTTCGGTGCAATTACACAGGTGGCTATGTATATACCCATTGAAACTCTTTGAAGTTTCCTTTTCTTATTGCCTCATACACTGTTCATATGTCTCTCCTAACGGAATCCATCTTGACGGTTTACCTAAAAAAGAAGAATCCACCTTTATGGTCTGATATTGTGTATGAAATGCATCCATGCAGCGTATCTTGAACAGGGCATGTTTGAGAAGTACGGAAATAGCAAACATAGAACTGTATGACCATATTTTCTGATAAGGAATTATGCAATTGAAAATTCCATTAGCTACACTGAACATCTGCATTTGGGATTTAAGTTTACCACCTTAGCAGTAGATAGTTAGTGTCCATATGAATCTATAATTTCCATAACCCTTTTATCAGCATTGTTTGTCGGAAGCTTAATCTTTGAAATTGGCTAAATAACATGAATATTAGCCACTGATACTTGATTTTTACAGTTCAAATCAATTCTTCCAGACCGGAGTACAAAAGTTGATATCTCACTAGCTGGTCCGTTTGCTGGAGCTACACTATCGGTTTCCATGTTTGTTGTTGGCCTGTTGCTATCCTCTAACCCGGATGCAGCAGGCGATCTGGTGCAGGTCCCGAGCATGTTATTCCAAGGCTCATTGCTTCTTGGACTCATCAGCAGAGTAACTCTAGGATATGCGTAAGTTCTCCACCCCTGAAAATTCTTCAGCCTTGTGGGAAAGTATAACCTCGGGTTCTTCAAATATCTTATTGGTTGCAGAGCTATGCACGCTTCAACGGTCTCAATCCACCCTCTTGTAATCGCAGGATGGTTAGCAACCGATGCCATGACTTCCTCCCCTATTCACCTGAAACTGTAACGGTTTTTATGCTTACCGTGTTATTGAATTCTACTAGGTGTGGTTTAACAACAACGGCTTTCAATTTGCTTCCTGTGGGATGCCTCGACGGGGGAAGAGCTGTACAGGTACTTAGTCCTCCTCCTTCAACTTCATTGAACGTAATTTAGAAACTACTAGTTAAGAAAGTGATTCTGAATCATGTAGGACTGACAGACATGGTTCCTCCTTACTGTCTCTAGGCTAATATGATATATATACGGTATATCCTCAGTCGGTTATACCGAAAAGATTTCTACATTGACCAGACAAATAGATTATCCGTATGCAGGCTAATTATCGGAACATCTGCCCAAATATGTTTGCCGTTTCTCCTGCAGGGTGCTTTCGGAAAAAATGCGCTGGTCGTGTCTGGTCTGGCAACCTATGTAATGCTTGGACTCGGAGTGGTAAAACCCTCAACTACACTACCATTTTTCTATGTTACTCGTAACTAGCAAAGTACGGATTTTCGAGAAACTGCTAAGATTGACGTATTTTAACCACTCGTCTGCACATTTATGTCCGTTTCTTCTCAATTTCAGCTCGGAGGGCCTTTGTCGCTTCCATGGGGGCTCTACGTTCTGATATGCCAGGTAACCGATTCACAATAATATCGCAAATCGCCTAATGCCCGGTTCTAGGCTGTATATTTTACAAAATTACGGCGGTGATTGAACAGAGAACGCCCGAGAAACCGTGTCTGAACGATGTGACAGAGGTCGGGACATGGAGGAAAGCCCTTGTCGGGACTGCCATTTTCCTGGTGACGTTAACGCTGCTGCCTGTGTGGGATGAGCTCGCGGAAGAGGTAGGCATTGGTCTTGTAACCACATTTTGATGTATCCATATGTAAAGGGAGACACCAATTTTTACTTGTCCCCAGACAAAATGTAGTTTAGAAAGATCGTTGGTACATACATGGGTTTTGTTCAGTGTTGTGCTTACCACTGTCAGATATATCATCCAATCAATATATACATACACACACACACATATCATGTTAATTGCGAGCCCAAGAAAGAGACTACATCGTCCTAACTCGACATATAAATAACACCAATGGTTCCATAACGGGGGACACGATAAGTGAAAGCAAGTAGAGCCATTCAATTGAAGGTGAGAAAAATAGATTCCAAATTCGTCGGTATTTTATTTGCATAATGTAATTTCTATTACGGATGTTCAATTTGGATTTAAAACAAAAGGATAACTACTTAGTGGTTATGTTTTTATAATAATTAACACGTCGAAAGTCGAGTGTTTTCTTTTGGAACCAAAAACATAGTCCTCATAATTTGGAACCAAAAACAGAACCCCCCCCCCCAAATGCGGAATCATGCGTAAAGAAACTACGGACAGAACTCTCCATTAGTGATAACTAATTTTAATGTCTCCGAACAGCACGAGTGAACGATCAAAGTAACAAACTGTTACATACAAAAGGGCACAGACAGTCAAAGCAGGCAAAGATCCCCGCAAGTTTTTTTGTTCCTTTTTGTTCTCAACTGCGAAGATAGATGTCTCTACTAACGGGTCCATCTTATGAACAGATACAGGATGACGATGGTTGCTATCATTCCCGCATATTTGATCCACGTGTCAACTCGGTTCCGCCTCTCGATGAGTCTCAGCACCGAGTTGGAGAGCCCCACCGTGTTCAGAACGTCCAGTGCTTTACGCTGCGCCCTCTGCCAGATTCAAAACCCGATTCATCAAACGAAGAGTATGGAACTACCCCGGTCGTGTAAGTCATGTGAACGGAAGCATTTGCCTACTCAAGCAATATAGCCTTTAGAGCACCAAAACGATCTGGTTCGACGAAATACCATTTTTTTTGTTACGAAAAACAAAATGCATGATGTGATTCATTCCAACCGTAAGTGTCAACAATGACCACATGAAATGCTGCAGAAATTTGTGCAAACCTAACTCCACAAGTGAAAGCAAAACAACACATCTCAACATAGGGCATTCTCTTTTACTCCTAAATAATCTATGTCGGTTACCGTGTTATTGTGTAAGACAATTGTCAAAATGGTGAAAGAAAAACTCGAATACATGCAAATTATGCTGCAATACATATGTAGAGTTATTCGATATCAGTCGGATGGTGAGGTACTTGTCTATGGATGTGCAAAATATATATGTAAAGTTAAGCTATGTGCTAAGAGTGGAAGAGTTACCTTCAAGCGTTCTCTTTGTTCAGAATACTTGGAAAGGATGGCTACTCCCGTTGAATAAGACTCTTCCAGCATTCTCTTTGAATTCCGGACTGAACCCATTGCTTGAGCTTCCTCGTCAAATATTTGCAAAATGTGCGCTCCTTCTCCATTCTTAAATCCAATACCGAACCCGTTAAAACTTGATTTTCTTAAGAAACGCTCAAACGTGGGCCAAGAAAGAGAGAGTGTGTGTGTTTACATACAGCTCTCGCTAGTAAGTCTGCCCTCTCTTTCGCTTCCATCATCCTTCTCTGATTCCGCGATATGTATTTATCCAAACTCTGGCTCAAGTACTCAGCTTCTTCCCCCACTTGTTCAGTCTTTCTACAAGGTATCGCCAAAATTATTACGACTAAAATCAACACAATGATAACAGAGAAAAAACCCAGTTGGGCACCAAAACACTACTCGGAGGATTACGAAAAGCAGATGCAGATTCAACAAGGAAATTGTTAATAGAGAAATTTCTATTGAAATAGGAACAAATTTATCCAGCATTCTGATATCTGCCGAAAAGAACTTCTGAAGGTTGGATTCTCCAAACACAATTACCTAAAGAAATGAACTATACGGCAAGAAAGATGCAAAATACCATTTCTTCATCCATCAATCGACCCAATTTCTACTAGCCACCCTTATGAACATTATTTACAGCAACGGTGAACACGTAGCAAAACAAACATGATCCTCCACAGAGAACAACAAATCGAACTCAAGAACGTGGAAAACCTACACAATAAACTCGTAATCTTGAAATTTTGGCAGTTGTTTGTTCGATTTCTGACAAAATCTCGAAAACAATACAAAATTGAAGAAATCCCACAAGAGCCCCTCACCTTCTCCAGAGATCGCGCTGAGATTTGCCAGCTATGGAACGCCAGAGACCGTCCATGTCGGAGCATAGGGATTGAACCTGAGTAATGTCCCGCTTCACTGCGGCGGCGAGATCCGGCGAATCCATTGACGAAGCGGCGGAGGAAGCCGTTATGGCGGACTCGAGCCTCTCCAACCTCTCGATCCCGTCACGAGCCCTGAGCAGGACCCTCTTCGCACCACTGTACAACTCCGACAACGTTCCCCCTCCTCCTCCGACAAACTCCGTCGCCATTGTTATCGTTCCTATGAAATTTTTGGCGGTTTCCACGGAGGGAGAGATAAAGAGAGAGAATCAACGGAGATTCTTGATTCTGCTATAACGTCTCTGATCTGTGATCTTCTCCCGAAGGAAATTTCTTTCGGATGTCCTCTCCTCAGATTCGTTTCCAGGGGTGAATATAATACGACTCGTGTTGTGGTTGTGGGTCACGAATTATGATCCAATGGCCGTTCGCCACGTCATTCCCTGTAAAAGAAAAATGTTAAATATATTAATCATGAAAATAGTTTATATAAATAAGTAAATTTTAAAATATGATCAATCCGTAGAACAAATTATGTCGAAGTAGTAATTATGTTCGTTCATTTTGACTTCAACATAGTATTTGTTCATCTGTGTATATATATGTGTATTAAAGATCTTATTATATATTATATTTTATTTTACGAAACGGTTGATATACATTACACATGAAGGCGGCTGAAAATTCACCTTCGAAACCAACACTTGGAAGAACCGTCCACGACTCGGGCCGGGACAACGGGGATGGAGTCTCACCGCTCTTTCATCCTCCGGTTACTCTTATCTTGTCGTTGCTCATGTATCTTCCCACGGCCAATTCACGACGAGACAATACAAAATGCCCGATATTATCGCATATTTCGATGGTACCTCTGTGAAGAAGATCGCCACGGCGGTGATCGTCGCCGTCACAAAACTCGTGCGTTGCTGATAAATAAGAACAAGAACGTATACGAGATCTAAGTTTAGATGGTCTAATGGTAAGAGTTAATATGTAAAATATGTTTTTAACATGGGTTAAAATCCAAATATGGAAAAAGATATTCACCAGGATTTCTCCAAACTTCTATAGAATATAGTTATACTAAATGTACGATAAACTTTCAGATTATAAAAAAAATATATAAGAGCAATAAAAGAGTTGTTCCAACACCCATTAAACCTTTCCAATAGAGGAAAAGCGATGAAACCAAGACAATGTTTAGTAATTATTTTTCGAATTTCTAAGTTTTGAGTTAAAGTAGAACTGGACGCACGTCGGGAGACATTGCTTCGGTTTCGGTCTCACGAAACCCAAATATCTGTGGTTAAATTCGGATATTCCCAAAAATTGAGTCATTTTTAATTTCACATACAATAAACTTATATATTATAGATATCATAGTTAGTGATGTCAAAACGAGTCTAGTTTGTGATCCAACTCGCAAGTTAGCTTATATTTTCTGATCTGAACTTCAATTTTAAAGTTGAGTAAAAATGAGTCAACTCGAACCAACTATGTGAACCCATAAGTTGCTAACTTGTGAGGAAGAAATTTTTCATAATTATTTTTTTTAGTACTTTTTAATAGTTTTAAAAAAGATTTATCAATTTTAAATATTTTATTATTTTTAAATATATTTTTTTATTATTATTTTAAAAAATATTATTTTTAATATTTTTTAATTAAATTTTAAAATTTTTATTATTATTTTATTTAATTAATTCGTCACATCATATATCGATATATTCATATTTAAAAATGACAATGATTATAAAATTTGGATGTTTAGACCGTTTCAAGATATATGAGTTAGATAATCAATGTTCTAGTTCAAAACAATAGTACTTTGGCAAGTTAAATTTCACATATTACTATAATTATCTAACATTGATTTAAGGAAAGAATAGATTCAATGAAAATCATAGAGGAAATCAACTTTTGGCGGTAAAAAAATTAGCATGTGAAGTTGTAAACACCGTAAAAGCCAAGAAAATTTCTTACCACGATTAGCCAAGAAAATTTCTTGCCATGATTATTAGCCTTAGGCCCTTATTCCTAATCCCTAATCATAGAGGAAATCAACTTTTAACATGTAAACACCGTCAAAAGCAAAGGGTCTAAGCGAAGCGACGTCGTTGAAGGCGGATTATTAAAATTTAATTTACCGCCTTCATCTTCTGGATATTTCACTTTAAACCTTACAAATATTAAATTATCTAAAAGAACCTCGATTTCTTCCTAGTCAAGGATTTATCCCAGATTTCTCTGCTCAAAGCTTCGAGTCTTCGCCTGCATGCTGGGTCCTCTCTCTGAAATATTAAATTAGGAGTCTTATAATTCGCGTATATTCTTTGACAATTCTATATAAATTTATGTATTATATGGTATTTCTCCAAAATAATACGATTCGTATGTGTACATGTTATGGTTTGGTTGTCTTCTACCAAATCCAGAATCCGGATCGTACCTACCGGTCCCCTTTTTAGCAAAGAGATACCCGTTTTATTTTTAAAAGAATGTGTAAAAATTAACATAGGTAATCGTTTCATTTGTTAATTTTTAGCTGCAGTTCTCCATATTTGAAAAAAAAAATATTTACTTTTTCTATTAAATTTTAGTTTGGTTCCTTTTATTTGATTAAAAAATATTCAATTTTTCTAAAAATAATTTTTTTATTTTTAATTAATTTTAAAATTAAATTTCTGAATTTGATTAATTTTTTTTTTAAAAAGTTATATATACTCAAATTTTGAAATGTTATTCTAAACCAAAATTTACACCCGCACTTTAAAGTATTACACATAATATCGTATATAATATATGTATATATATATATATATATATATATATATTATGTGGCGGCACAATACATACATATATAAATTGTGTAATAGATTCTTCGTACATATTGCAACACTTCCAAACTCCACCGGAAACCTAAAAGACATTGGAAAACATGGGGAGAAAACTGGGAGTTAAGAACCAACTAGTTACAAGTAAATCCATTAACTCATGTAAAATAATTAGTTCTAAGGGAATTTAATTTCCTACCAAATTTATTTCATGTGTAAATTACAGGACCAACATTTGGTGGTCTAGTGATCGAGAGGTGACAAAGTCATTCTTAAAGTCTTGAGTTCGATTCTACTGATGAAAAGAAATGTAATTTCTAGATCAAAATGATCTATATACAAAAGCTGGTCCTGGATGTATAGGTGCATAGTGCCACCATTCTGTTTATTAAAAAAATATATTTTGATGACAGGTTCTCTAGCCGTTAAAGACCTTCCCTTTCCCGCTGAACAGAAACTACATATATGGGGGTGTATAATCAATAAATATAAATATATAAGCGTATGATTTAATAACTATATACTTACGGGGTTAAAAACTAAATTTAGAAAATTCTGATCTCCGATCTACAATCACACCGACCGCTCACCAAGAATCCCCTTCGATTCCTATATATATAAAAAAAAAAAAAAAAAAAAAACCCAACACACCCCCCCCCACTTTTTTTCTTCGTCGTCCGCCATTTTCTCTTCTTCCCTCCTCATTTTTCCACTCCATTTCTCTCTCGCTGAAGGTAATGGCGATCCTTCAATTTCTCTCTCGCTTCCTCTAGTTATTTGCGTTGATGGGTTCCCTTAGTTTCCACTTGTTTCCCTTTCTCCACGATCAATTTCGCTTCCTTAGATCTGTTTCTCGAGCTTTGCCTTGTTTTCTCTGTTTGATCGATCTACTTGGTAATTGTTCTTCGCTGGAGATTGTTAGTTTTTGGCTTATTCTTTCCCTTTTCGGTTTAGTTTGTGCTCTGATGCTCTATTTCCATCGCTCGTGGATCTTAGTGTTCCGTTTGATCCATGTAAAAGTTTTCTCAGGTTTTCTCCATGTTGTTTACAACTGAAGTGAGGATTTATGGAAATGGAAAGGATTAATTCATTTTACGTCAATATAATTGGATTTTCAGTTTTGTATCAATCTGGTTTTCCTTGTTTTGATTTGCATCTTCACGATGTTTGTTGTTTTCCACATCCTGTTTATCTAGTTTCAGATCTTAACATCAAGTGATTTGCTTGCTTTTGTTACTGTTTCGATATTTCGTCAGCATTCTCTCATTTTTTTCAATGTTATTCTTAGTTTCTCAATCTGTTTTTTTTTATTTGCATCCTCTGCTCTAGATAGTTTTATCAGCTTGCTTGGCCATTGTCAAATGCCCTGCCAGATTTGTGAGATTCATTGATCTCGGGTTCTTGTGATACAATTTAATTAAACTCTTTCTTTTCACATGTTCCGGATCTGGGTGTTCATTGAAAGCAGTAGCTTGTCGTGTTGTTCTTTATTGTCTTGCCCTATTTTCGGAGTCTTTGGTGACACTTTGTGGTTCTTTGTTCTGTAATGGATCTTTATGTTTTTGGTGTAGAATCAATGATTTTTAAATATGCATGTGAAGAACTTGAAACCCTTTCCATCGGATGATCATAAGTCATAACACCTCTTTAAAAATTGAAATTCTTGTTCATGGTGGAACAAAAGACTAGGTTGTCTGATTTGATTCCGTTTTGTGCAGAAAAATGGCATCACACATTGTTGGATACCCACGCATGGGCCCCAAGAGGGAGCTAAAGTTTGCCTTGGAGTCCTTTTGGGACGGAAAGAGCAGTGCTGAGGATTTGCAGAAGGTGGCTGCTGACCTCAGGTCATCAATATGGAAGCGGATGGCTGATGCCGAGATCAAGTACATTCCGAGCAACACGTTCTCTTACTACGACCAGGTTCTTGACACAACGGCAATGCTTGGCGCAGTCCCTCCGAGATACGGATGGAATGGTGGCGAAATTGGGTTTGACGTTTACTTCTCCATGGCCAGAGGAAATGCCTCCGTCCCTGCTATGGAAATGACCAAGTGGTTTGACACCAACTAGTGAGTGATGATGAATAACATGAAGCCCTCTTGTGTCAATGATTATGATTCCATTTGCTTGGTAATGTAATTTGTAATGCATATACTTGTTTTGGTGTATTGCATCAGCCATTACATCGTTCCTGAGTTGGGTCCGGAGGTGAAATTCTCATATGCTTCTCACAAGGCTGTGACTGAGTACAAGGAGGCTATGGCGGTATGTTCCTCTCTTTAGACAATGATTAGATGAAGGAAAGAATCCTCTGTTGTGGAATATTAGCTAATCTGCAAAAGATATTGAACATAAGTAGGGCAATGGAGTAGTACAGGTGAATCATTTACATCTAAAATTTGGGGAAGTGAAACTTGACCCTCGTTTCGTATCCTGATGCAGCTTGGAGTAGAGACCGTTCCAGTTCTTGTTGGTCCCGTCTCATACTTGTTGCTTTCTAAACCAGCTAAGGATGTTGAGAAGTCATTTTCTCTTCTATCCCTTCTCAACAAAATCCTTCCTGTGTACAAGTAAGAGACCTGATTTATCTATCTTAAAACTTGAAACTTTCATTCTTGTTTGATTAATTGCAACATGCTATGTTGGGTTATAATTCTTCAGGGAAGTCATCTCGGAACTCAAGCAAGCTGGTGCTACTTGGATCCAATTTGATGAGCCACAACTTGTTATGGATCTTGATGCTAATAAGCTCAAAGCTTTCACTGATGCCTATGCAGAGCTTGAGTCAGCTCTCTCAGGCTTGAATGTCCTCATTGAGACATACTTTGCTGATATCCCTGCTGAGGCTTACAAGACCATTACTTCGTTGAAGGGTGTTACAGCATATGGTCTTGATTTGGTCCGTGGAACCAAGAACCTTGATTTGGTCAAGTCTGGTTTCCCAAAGGGCAAATATCTGTTCGCTGGTGTCGTTGATGGAAGAAACATTTGGGCCAATGACCTCGCTTCCTCTCTTAAAACCTTGCAGGAGCTTGAGGGCATTGCAGGGAAAGGTACTGTGCCTGAGTCATCATTTATTTTCATGCTAGTATCAGTTTCAGTTGAAATGACTTATTTGATGTCTACTTTTGCAGACAAGCTTGTTGTCTCCACCTCCTGCTCTCTTCTCCACACGGCTGTTGACCTAATCAACGAGACGAAACTAGACAATGAAATCAAGTCATGGCTTGCATTTGCTGCCCAGAAAGTTATTGAGGTTAACGCCTTGGCCAAGGCTTTGGATGGTCATAAGGATGAGGTATTCTTGTCCCCACCTCTTTGCTCGAGACGTTACATGTTAATCTTTTTTGTCGAAATTGGATTCCATGATTACTAGAACTTCCCCGTAGTCATAAGCTATTGGAAAGGGCTTGCATTTTCTGGTGATGCTTTTCTTTTCCTATGGGACATGGCTAATTAGCTGTTGTAAATTCTGTTTTTAGGCCTTCTTCTCTGCTAATGCCGAGGCTCAAGCTTCGAGGAAATCCTCCCCAAGGGTTACCAACGAGGCTGTTCAAAAGGCTGTAAGTACTTCTTATATCTTGGAAACGATCAAACCTAAGTTGTGAACTCAATCATTTGTTTTCTCAGGCTGCTGCTTTGAAGGGTTCCGACCACCGCCGAGCAACAAACGTTAGCGCTAGACTCGATGCTCAGCAGAAGAAACTGAACCTCCCGATCCTCCCAACGACAACGATCGGGTCTTTCCCTCAGACAGTTGAACTCCGGAGAGTCCGCCGTGAATACAAGGCTAAGAAGTGGGTCTTTGATTCTAGAAGCTTCTCGTTTTAACCTATATGAGAATATTGTTATGTAAATCCTTTGTATATATTGATTTTATTTCGTCCCTTAGGATCTCTGAGGAGGACTACATCAAGGCCATTAAGGAGGAGATCAAGAAGGTTGTCGACCTTCAAGAAGAGTTGGACATAGATGTTCTTGTCCATGGAGAGCCCGAGGTGAGATCCTTCTGATTTCCATAAACATCGGAAAGGAAACTAGGTTCCTTTGATTTGATTGTTTCTTGAACTTATAGTGTTTTCTGAATTCTGGTTTTAATGCATGTGTTTGAATTATCAGAGAAATGATATGGTTGAGTACTTTGGAGAACAATTGTCTGGTTTTGCTTTCACCGTCAATGGTTGGGTGCAATCCTATGGATCTCGATGCGTGAAGCCTCCGATCATCTATGGAGACGTGAGCCGACCTAAACCAATGACCGTCTTCTGGTCCTCAACTGCTCAGAGCATGACTTCTCGTCCGATGAAGGGAATGCTTACGGGTCCTGTCACCATCCTTAACTGGTCCTTTGTCCGAAACGACCAACCTAGGTAAACCACAAACAATTTATTTCGTCTGTAATATAAAACTTTCTTTGGATTCAACAAATCTTTTGACGTGAATTCTCCTTTTCTCGGGGATATCCAGGCATGAAACTTGCTACCAGATCGCCTTGGCAATCAAGGACGAAGTGGAGGATCTGGAGAAGGCCGGGATTAACGTGATTCAGATCGATGAGGCCGCTCTGAGAGAAGGATTGCCCCTCAGGAAATCCGAGCAAGCTTTCTACTTAGACTGGGCCGTCCACTCCTTCAGGATCACCAATGTCGGTGTCCAGGACACCACCCAGGTCCGTTTCTCGGGTTCTCCATCTCTCATTGTCGTGTTCGTCCACTCGGGTTTTCTCCATTGTTGATATCTTTTCTGAATTCCGATCCAAAACCGCAGATCCATACCCACATGTGTTACTCAAACTTCAACGACATCATCCAATCCATCATTGACATGGACACCGACGTCATAACCATCGAGAATTCTCGATCAGACGAGAAGCTCCTTTCGGTGTTCAGAGAGGGAGTGAAATACGGAGCAGGGATCGGCCCGGGAGTGTACGATATCCATTCCCCGAGGATACCGTCGACGGAGGAAATGGCGGAGAGGATCAACAAGATGCTGGCGGTGTTGGAGAAGAACATATTGTGGGTGAATCCAGATTGTGGTCTCAAGACTCGAAAGTACACTGAAGTGAAGCCTGCCCTCAAGAACATGGTTGATGCTGCCAAGCTTATCCGTTCTCAGCTTGCTTCTGCCAAGTGAAGACACCACTCAAGCTTCTTCTTCGAAGGGAGGGTTTCTTTTTTGGATGAATAACTCGTTTTCCTTAGTTTTTTTTTATAATAATTTTTGGGAATGTATTAATTTTGTTTGGAGGGAATTTAAGGGGTCGGAAACACCGTACCATTAATATATGATGTTCATCAATATCAATTAATCATGATGGAAATTTTGAAGTAATAAAAAAATATGAATTGCAATTTAGAGTCGATTTAAATAGGGTCAACGTTTCAATTTCGATTCAATAATTCGTGAAATTTGGTTCGGTTTATTTTGATCTATAAAAAATTTTCCAAACTAAAACCGAATATAAGTCGGTTCGATTTAGAACGGTTTTGTTGTATAAATATCAATTTAAAATTTTAAAATTGATATTCACACGTATATTCGTATGTAAAAGTGAATAATTCAGGTTTTATTAGGTATTTATCAAATTCGTTTTGTTATTTATTGGGTTCGATTAAGAAAAACATTTTTCTTAATTCTTCAAAATTTATACCAAATTGAAATGAATATTACTCGATTTGATTTAAACTGGTTCTCAACCATACTTTTTTTTTGCATTGGACTAAACTCCCTTGAAAAAAATCTAAAAAAGGAAAAGAATTTCTAAAAATGAACACTTGAATATATAACTACTGAAAGTATTACTTCTTAATTTAAATTATTGTATCTAACAAAATGTCGTAAAAAGGATTAAATTTTCTTTTAAAAGAATTAAATTAAATATTAATGAAATTATATCATTTTTGTTGTTAAATATTAACATTAATATGTTATGTTTTTTTATGGCTAAAATATTTCCCGAAATTGAAAACATAGTTAGATACATTGTATTTTGGATTGCTACCATCTATCCTTTGCCTCTTTTGGTATGAAAAAAAAACTCACACAACATTTCCCGAATTCCCATACTAATTTTGATAATGTTCGTTGTCATTTTGTCCTTTATAGAGCAATAATTTTTTGTTAATTTATTTTTTCAAAATACAACTATTTCATTAGATTATTTATTCTTTATTACTTTACTCATTTAATTTTTATATTACTTTATTCAACTAAATTGCAAATTTATGATGAGAGGGGAGAAAAGTCAATAAAAATCGCTATTGTTTTATAAAATTTCAGGAAATCTGGCCTATGTTATAAAGAACAAAATCTCAAGCAAATCAATGCAGTAAAAGTAAATAGGTGCATATATTTTTTTAATGTAACAAGATGAAATTATATTTGTATTTTTCTAGATAGTGATTCAACAATTTTGGATGCAAAATAGTAAACATTCATGAATTAATGATTTATTGATGATATGGCATAAAATGATGGAATTTAAAATAAAAATTTTAAAATATAAAATTATTTTTACTGTTTTAAAATTCTTCAACTGATATAATTTTGTGGAAGAAATAAAATGATAACGTAATTAAGTGAGAGAAATATAAAGATAAATACTTTCTTGGTAATATTATGGTTGCTCTTTAGACTAGTAATATTTTTATTAGGTTTTTTTTAATATCATAAATCTCAATTTTAACATAAAAATAAATAAAAATGGTACTAGGCACGATTTTATATAAATAAGATCATATAAGGAATTTGAAGTAAACAAAAAAATTATTTTAATACTAAATAAAAAGAACATGAAACCAACGTAGCCCTAAAAAAATCTAGCAAAAAAGGAAAACAATTTGTAAATTCATACATATCCATAGACAAGTTCTCGCTCTAGGTTTTGGCATGGCGTTATGCGTAGCTAGTATATACATATATGTATGTATATATATACACACGGAGTCATCCCCACCTATTCGCACAGAACAGAATCCAGATTCTCCTCCTCAAACTCTGTCAGAAAAATTCCAAGGAATCGCTGAGATTCTGACAAGAGGAAATGTACAAATCGAAGCTTCAAGACGCATGTCACCGGCAGCGATGGGAGTTGCCGGTGTACGCGGTGAAGCGAGAGGGTCCCGATCACGACCCTCGTTTTCAGGCGACCGTTGTGATCGACGGCGTAGCTTTTCAGTCTCGCGAGAGTTGCCGGTCCATTAAACAAGCTCAAAACGAGGCTGCTCGTGTCGCTCTCGGATACGCCATGTTTCCTTCGGCCGGTAATGCGTTTCGAGACTCATCTCCTGTTTCCCAAATTCCAAGGTTTCCGTTTATTTAATTATTAGGGCTATACGGAAATGGCGGACGGAAATGACAAACGTTCGTGGGTTTTGTCGGGTTCGAAAGATCGGGAGCTTATATCGAAGTGTTTTTTTTTTTTGCTTTTTTCTTTTTTACATTTTATTCTGTTTTTTAGCATAATTTTAAAGGCAAATTTTTTTCGAATATATATAAGATAATATGCCTATAAATTCGGGACCATAATTCATGTGGGAAAGCTTTAGGGCTAGTTGTTCCAATTTAGGGTTTTGGTTCGCGTACAATCTCTGCTCGAATCCATCGCCAATACAATTGAATCTGGGATTTTGAATCGGTTAGTCCTCTGTTCTCTATCGCCTTTTTCGTGGGAAATTCACCTGATTGTTTATGATGTATCTGTAGAGTCGGCAACTTTGTCTGTTTTGCATGATAATCGTGACATTTAGTGTTCATGGATTATGGAAGAAATGTATATATTTGTGAAGCATTGGATCTAAATTTGAAATGGTTATGTATTTATGGCAGGACGAAATCTCGAATCTAAGCTTTTGTTTGAAAGTTCAGAAACTTGAATGTGTTGCCCGGGTTTTGTTTCTCTTCTTGCAGGATCTTCTAGTTCGAAGAATGTGTCGGCGAATACTCTGAGTAACCAACAGACACATTTGGAAGAAAGAACCGAAGGTGGTGAAGTTCCTGTGATCGGTGTGTCACTTCCCGTTGTTGAGGAACATAGCAGAACCAAAGGTGAAGCCTTTTTTTAACTGTTGTCCCTTTTTTTAGTTGTTTTTAGTATTTTTTTTAAGTCGACATTGGTCTTAATTATGGTTTTAACAATCTGTTTCTAACGTATCCCCGAATTTGTGCATTGTATGTGTATGTGTGTGGAGTGTAGATTTAGAATTCCGAATTTTATTTTACTTGCGTGCAAATAATTTTTGTCTTGTACGTACATATGAACTTGTTCTTGATTCGACGCTAAATTCAGTCGGGAAGTTTTCCTTTCCTGTAACCCAACATGTTCGAGGGAGTTTAGGACTCTCGGGTTCAGCTAGGACATAGTTCCGGAGTTTCTACGGGAGTTTTGTGTTTGCTTTGTTGCATAGAACCCTTCTCTTTGGAATGACCGAAGTTGACAACTCTCCTGACCACAAAATTTGATTGTTCTTGCAACTTCTCTTCTTAACTTTTTAATCTGGATGGGTCAACAAAATGTTATTCTGTCTGATGTTTTAGGTTATGTATTCTTAAATCAACTCTTTGTATGTAGATTTAAGTAAGTCTCACTGTTGGAAATTAAACACATCAGGTGTAGTGTCTGATTTGGACCGGTTATGTCTTGTGTAATCGAAAATAGACTTGGACCTTTCTACCTGTGACATACTCATTTTGACTGGGCCTTTTTGTTCTTGCAGGCATTTCACAAGCGATAAGTGTCCCGACAAAGAGTATCACCACCCAGCAGAGGTTCCAGCAAGAAGTTGATCAAGTTCCTGTGTTCATTGTTTCAACTCCTGTCGTAAAGGATGATAACAAAACTAAAGGTGATCTGGGAGATTGTTATGCTCGATTATCCCTGTCTTTTCCCATTTTAGTGTTTGTTTGTGTCTGTTTATGTCTTGTCTATGTACAGAATTTGCATAAACGCATCTGTGTACACAAATATGTCTGCCTAACAGGTCTGACGTTCCCTGCCTTTGATTTTCCATTTCCTTCTAAAAATGCCGGGAATTATAATTCACGTCTTGTAGATCCTATTTTCTTGCGCAATATTTTCCGTATTTGATTTCTGGATCAGCAAAATAATGCCTCTAAATGACATTTTGGGAGGGCCAGAAGAGTACTCATTTTTTAGAATTATGGCACTGTTAGGGTTTCACAGACTTTGTTTTCTCCATTTAGTTGCAAAGGAGTCAAACCTATTCTCTGATTGTTGTCACATTATGTTTTGGTGGACGTACGAATTTCAGTTTTCATGTACAGTTGATGTGTTGTTTACTCGATGCGTGTAAAAAGTTACCTTTCGGAGGTCCATTTAAATAGTTCAAGAAGTTTTAGGTTTGGAACCATGATGCCAGAAATTGACTTGTCCTAAAATTTTTGTTGTTTTTTTAAATGTTGGATAAATGTCAGTATTTGGTTCTTTTTGCAGACGCTCTACATGCATCCCATGAATTGAAAAATAGCATCACCCGCCGACAGGGAATTGAAGAGATAAGAGAAGTTGGTAGGATTCTTGCGTCCTCCTCACTTATTAAAGAAGATAACACAACCAAGGGTAAGATATTGATATTTGTTTCCCATTTCTTCACTATTTCAGTGGTTTTAGCTCGTTTATGCATATCCATGTGTAATGTATGCATATTCATGTGAATATACGTGCACATGGGGTCTAAATATTGTTCTGCTTGGTCGCCCAGTTTCTAGTGAATAATCTGTGTTTTCGTGGATTCTACCATATTTTTGCAGCCGTTTCCTACTTGACTACAGAGCCGACAAATCGTGCTTCCATTCGGCATATTTTGCAAGAACAGAGAAGAGAACTTGATCCAGTTGTTAGGTCCCTCCCTCTCATCTCTAGTAACAAAATGAAAGGTGGGGAACTGTTCTCCATGTCCTTCATCTCTGAGGTTTCCATATTTCCTAAAGTGGTATTTTGCGCCTTTGCTATATATATATATATGCCTTTTATGTATATTGTATATGTATGTATATATGTATTAGTTGTTTCCTAGGGCTATTAGGCTTGCAAATTCTGTTTGTGTACTATTTTTGTTTGTGGCTGGCTTTGCTTCTGAGAATGGGAGAGATCCTACTATTTCGACAGTAATATCGGTATCTTCAAAAATGGGAAATGAATGAACAAAGATGTCATTTAAATACTTGCTTAAAAGAATCCATTTGCAATATATAGACACTCCTGCATGTGCATGCGGTATTACGTAACCTAAAAAGTCGTACGTGATATAAAAGTTTTTTGCATTTCATCGTATCGCTTTTTCTCTTGATGTTATTTGTATGAGCAAAACCGATCCTTTTGAACTGCATTATCTTTATATACTTTAGCAATTTTCACTAACCTTTTTTTCTCATTCTCAGACGTGAACAATCTATGCAAGAGCCAACTGCAAACTTATACTCAGAAAAAGAATCTTTGTATGCCGACATATATTCGTGAGCGTGTAGGTCTGCTTCATGCTTGCCGGTTTAGGTGCAAGGTGGTAGTCAATGAGCAAACTTTTGAAAGCCGAGAACTCTTCTCAACATTGAGAGAGGCTGAAAATGCAGCTGCAAAAATAGCTTTGGTGTCACTGGTGCCAAATGCGAGTCAAGAGGCTAGTTTCCAACTACTTAATACTCATCGATATCCATTTCTTTCTTCCCCGTTTTTTATGCCATTTTATCTTTTCCAGGTAGATTCCCTTGTGTACAAGAACCTTTTACAGGAACTGACTCAGAAGAAAAATATGTTGTTACCGATTTATGCAACTTCTAGATCTGGTGCGTCTCACTCGCCAACATTTCTGTCAACTGTTGAGGTTGGTGGTAAGTTTTTTGGAGGACAGGAAGCGAAAACCAGAAAGTTGGCCGAGATGAGTGCCGCTAAGGTGGCATACATGAGTTTGACAGGTCGGTACACGTTTAAATTTTGTTGTCCTCGGGTGTTTGCTTTCCATACACTACCCAAGAGATAGTCAAAACCTTAAAAAATCAGCTGGTTCAAAGAAACTGCATTATATGCTTAAGAAAATGTGAACATGAAATCAGCTGGTTCCTAGAGTTTTTTTGTTGGTTTTGCATGCAAAACAAATTCATATGCAACGTTGGGATAGATTGTATAAATAATTCCCTTACATCTACATAGAAGGGTAAATAATTATAAAAGGACAAAAGCTATGATAGATTGTATAAAGCTTCGTTTGGAATTTGCATTTATGTCAGTCATTTTTGGCAAATACACGTTGTCTTATAAGGTAGCCATATATGCTTGAATATAGCTATATATATCTAGACTTTGAACATGGTTTAGCTATATCACAGATTAGATTTAAATCTTGAACGAGAGTGCTAAGATGTATAAACCGTGGCTAATATGTGCATCGGTATTGTTCATTGAATTTCCATACACGCCATTTTTTTCTTCTCCAGGGATGCCGCGTGAAACGTTGTCACTACCTCTGCCTTCTGAGCAGCAAGAAAAACCTCATGAAGCATTCCATGCAGGATCAAGTGCGAGTAACGGTCTACTAGATTCCCCTCTGACCCGTGGCCTCAGGAGGGCGGTCCCTGATGTGCCGTCAAAGTGGGTTGAAGTCGACGAAGAAGGTTAGTCTTTTTCTAAAAATCCCGTATTACCCGAATTCTGTTATGGTGCAGTAAAGCAAAAGCTCTCTTTTTTGCTCCATCTTTCGCGTTCACTATCATTGCGAGTAGAAGCCGGATCATTTCGGTCGTAGGGATCACAATCTTGTGAGTGGGATCTGAGATGAGGATACATGATCTTTGAACTTGGTTAATCTGCAGAACCACTTTCTTCGGAACTTATTCGTGTGCCGCTGAGAATCAAGACCCCATCCGAGAAAGAGATGGATGCTTCATCCATGGTTGAGAATCATACCGGGAATGACTCTACAGTGTCGTCTGTGGACGAGATTGCCAAGAAGTTGGGAATAGGAACTGGCAGCCGTGGTTCTTCCCCGGGTGAGCACGTCGTGGTTCGCCCTTTCACTCCGGGAATGACCATCCCTATGGATTCCGAGCTGCTGTACAAGGATGATAAATGGGTCGCCTTTCGTCCGCCTTCCCTAAGCCCTAAACCTTAGAAAACCTATAAGGTTCCTTATATATCTCTATGCCCTAGGAACAATGTTTTTTCGTGGCTGTGCCTGAACTTCATGAATTTGGCAAAAGCTCTGAACTATATGCTTTCTATGAGGTGTGCTTACAGCAGGTGTATGCATCGCATAGTTATCAATAAGACTTTATGTTATACACATACTCTTTGTGAAACATGCCTTGATATTGAATGTGGGGAAGTGATCCATTACTATGTCTCATCTTCTAAAGACAACACATCCAAGTGGAGAGTTTCAGGACATTACAATGTTCAATGACAGCCTGAGAGTAATGTAAGTCTTGTCCTTTCATCATTTTTTTGCCCTCTGTTTTCTTTATTTTCACGTCTTTTGTGTGTTGATTTTTCGTTTTATATTATCTCAAATTTTACGTATATTTTTTTTTATATTTTGTTTTTTTTTTCTTTTTTGCTTTTTTTTAAAAAAAAATTAAATTCACTTTTCTATATTGTTTTCAGGGAAATTCTTTTGGTTCGAAGCATTTATGTTTTATTTCTTGTGCCATGTAACTTTTTTAAAATTTAATATTTGATGCTTTAAAAATAATATTTTTTTAATAATTTAGTAGAAAAACTAACAGTTTAATTTTATTATACACCAACTAATAACTTAATTAGCGTGAGAATCGAATTATTTCATTTTTGTTTCACTTCATTTAATTTCAAATTCAGTTTTCCGTAGTTTGTCATGGTAATAACTTGTCTTCAAATTTAAATTTTCATACTTTAATAATGATATTTATTTCAAAATGTTTTTTCTGTATCACTATGTTTAACATCGTTTCTCTTTTATATTATAATTGTCGATAAACTATATTAGCTATTTTATATTATGGTCTAGTATAGTATAAATGTACTATTTTTTGTCACCAACTCATAACTTAATCAGTGTGACAAATGTCATTATCGATTTCAAAAGATGAAATTGACTATGAGGTGCTAATTCGTAAACACTGCACATCTTTTACTGTAAAGAATCAATAATACAATAAAAATGAAGTTAAAAGAAAAAACAAATCAGTAACTAACATTTGTAATAATTAGTTTGATATTTTAAAACAGCGATATTCATATCTTACATAATCTTTTTAGACCAATCACAAATTAAAATGATGATAGAAATCAAACTAATAATTAATGCTTGTATTAATTAGTTTGATATTTTTTTTCCAATTTCGTTACTGTTATAATAATCTGTGATTTAAATTTGTTGCTGCGTGATGATGTGAATTCCTTTGAAATTTTTGTTTACAAAGAAGCGAATACGTGTGGGACCCTAACCAAAAGCATCATAAAATGACCTTCCAACTAATACTTTTGTAAATCTCTCAATTGAATGCATTATATATTATATATTATGTTGATTATGATTGAGGACCCATTCTCTGATTTCTTTTTAATTTACAAAATAGTCACTAGTAATGGGATGACCTAGGATTTTGGTTCGATTATATTCGGATTCGTTTATTTCGATTATAGAAAAACTATAACCATTAACTCAAATTCAGTTTTTTTTTGTCATAAAAAATCCATTTTTTTTTCCAAAAAATAATCGGTTGTTTTTAATTGATTCGATCGGTTTCGGTTTTACAGAAATCATAACGAAATCTTGTTTGGTACTACGTAGGATTCGGTGTGGTTACAATTATATTTTATTTGGGTCGGTTGGTTTCGATCCGACTATTAAATTAATAACCAAAATGGTTACCCCTAATTAATACAATAATACAATGATCGAATGAATGTGAGTTTGCTTAACAAAATAACAGATCTCCATATATATATATACATACATACGTACGTATATATATATATATATAACTAAGGAAATTGGAAGGACAAAGTAGGCCCCACCGATATGGCTGTGTATATATATCAACCTCTCCATAGCTTGGGAGGCTCGACCATTCACTCCCCAATTTTTTTCTTATACTCATATTGTATGTCGAACCATTTGAGCATTGAAGGCTCTCTTAACCATTAGAAGAAAGAAGAAGAAGAATCTTTTGGGTACTCGTATCGTATGTATACTGTATATCTTCCCATCTCCATTTTTTCTTATTGTTTTTTTTATGGGTTTTCAATAATCTCATCTTTTTTCTTGGATTTCTCTTTATATTTCGTAGGACAATATGAAACAATAACAATAACAAGGATATATCGGTTTTTGTTTATCTATTTGCAAGTATTTTTCATTTTTTTTATCTAGTATTTAATGCACAATCTATGAGTTTTTTTTTATAATATGTGATTTGTCAAGAATGAAGTTCGAATTTGGATGGAGCACTTTTTGCGTATACCCACATACCAGTTGAACCAACGGGAGTTTTTCAACCAAAAAAAAAAAACATAATCTTTGAAAGGAATGCTTCTAAAACCAATATCCAATATGTTCTTTGATTGTTTTTAGATGAAATATAAATAGAACCAATAGTATTGATTTGAGTTTTTTTTTATATAATTTGAAGTTATACAGAAAAATCGAAAAAATATATTCAATGTAAATGAAACAAGATAAATAAACAAATAGTTAAAAAATAACAATTTACAACTTGTTATTTGATCTTATCATCAAGTGTAGCTATAAATAATGTTAATTGCTTGCGTTGACTTTATCTAATGATTAGGTTTAGTCGGATTGCTTCAATCACACGTGATTATTTAATAGTTTCAGAGTCTTTAATTATTAAACATAACGTTTTTATTATTATTTCCGTCTTTTTCTTCTCCGCCGGCCCCGTTTCTTTGTTGGTGGGTCGATAATAATAATAATAATAATAATAATAATAATAATAATAATAATAATAATAATAATAATAATAATAATAATAATAATAATAATAATAATAATAATAATAATAATAATAATAATAATAATAATAATAATAATAATAATAATAATAATAATAATAATAATAATAATAATAATAATAGATGTAATTTTCAATTTAATTTCAAAGCATAGGAAAATAAATATTTTTCACCACTATATCTTCGATCGCTTACTTTTCCTTCTTTCACAAATCTGAGGTGAGGTCCATTTCCTCATTATTTTCTTACCTTCATATTTTTATTATAATTTTCTGTCATTCATACAAAATAGAATGTTCTATTATGAGCTGATAAAACCTTTATTTTTTTATTTTTTTTCCAGGTGAAAATGGAAAAATATAAAGCGATATTAATATTAATGTTGATTTTGGTAATTCCGATTTTGGTAAGACCAGAATATGTGAAATATAAAGATCCAAAAGAAACAAAGGAAAATAGAATCAGAGATTTATTAGGAAGGATGACGCTGGAAGAGAAGATCGGCCAAATGGCTCAAATCGAACGAAGCATTGCATCCCCACATGTCATGCAACAATATTTCATCGGTATATATCTCTCTATATACATGTATATACACACATATATATCATTTTATTTTCATCAATGATTTTTCAAGTTAGAAATACGTTATCAATAATAATAGTAATTTTTCAATTTTTTAGTATTTTTTTGAAATCTGTATAATTATGGTAATTTAGTGACATAATTATAAGAGATAAAATTGAAGATTTGTAAATAAAAATTAATATCATTATCCTATCATGTTGTTTTTCTGATTTTTATTTTAAATAATTAACTCCCACATTGTTATATTTTATAAATCAATGTTTTTAATGTTTTTCTTATTGGTTTTATATTTATTTCTATATAAACAACAAAAAGAAAAGAAAATAAATAATATATAGATTATGCTTTCCACTAGAATTTTCTGAACGACAATGAAAGCATCGTGCGCTCCACTTTGGAGACAAATTCGGTATTCCCTTTTGTCGCTTTCACTCTTTCTTTCTTCAATTATTTTTTATAAAATATATATTTTTTAAAAAAATACATAAGGAAAATAATTAAAATGTTAATTCTTGGGAATTCTAGAAGACTTCCTATTTCCTAATTACTACTAGAGCCCCACAAGCCACAACGAACATAAATTTCAACGAGCCCGAGTAAAATGCAATATATATATATATATGTATGTATGTATGTATCAGGGAGTGTGTTGAGTGGAGGAGGAAGTGTACCGGCAGCCAACGCAACGCCGGAGGCATGGATAGAGATGGTGAACGGATTGCAAAGGGGAAGCTTATCAACGAGGCTCGGGATACCGATGTTGTACGGAATCGACGCCGTTCACGGCCACAACACCGTTCACAGAGCCACCATTTTCCCGCACAACGTCGGCCTCGGCGCCGGCCGAGACCCTCTCCTCGTCCGTCGTATCGGTGCGGCCACCGCTCTCGAGC